CTCGGATCATGGTCGGATCGGTTCCGCATTGTAAATGGGGTTTCAAGTGTTTTTCGTGCATGTGCGGTCGACAGAATTCCATTGTGATTTGCAACTGTAGGATCGTTCCCGCAATGTAAATGGGATTGCAAGTGGTGCTGGTGGATGAGTTGCCGATGGAATTCCCATTGTGATTTGCAACTCTAGGATCGTTCCCTCACTGTAAATGGGGTTGCAAGTGGTGCTGGTGGAGGAGTTGCCGATGGAGTTTTGAAGGAAGTCTCGCACGAAATGCGTTTTTGGCGCTACGAAGACTGTACGCTTAAAGTTATAAGACTTTACAGACTTAGCCTAGATATACAGAAGTTAAAGGATTTATGTTGGAAGTTAACATGACTTATCAAAAAGATAAAAGGAAGTTATGTTAACTTTAATAACTTATTTGTAAGTTTTGTCTTAACTTTTTATAACTTCTGCTAACTTTTTATATCTTCTGCTAACTTTTTATAACTTTTCATAACTTTTTGTAACTTTTTTGTATATTTTTATACTTTTGAAAGTCTTTGCCTTGGTTTCCGACCACGTGGATTTTATAACTGTCTTGTTTCTAAAAGAACTTTCAGATATGATATCCTTTTTTTGAATCGACGAAGTGATGTGAAAGCGTTTCAGTTATGTATGTTTCAGGAATCATGACACCTGAGGCGATATGTTTTTTTTAGTGATATCTCTGTCTGTATTTTTGGATCGGGAAACAAGTTTAGTTACAACTGTTCCCGTTCGGGATCCGTTATTTTGTTAAAACGATCCCGTTCGGGACTTGGTTGTTTCAACCTCTCCCTTTCGGGATCTGGTAACTATTTTTATCTCCAGGTAACTATTTTTATCTGAACTATAGCCATTTTTTATCTGACCTATAGCCATTTTTTATCTGAACTATAGCCATTTTTATCTGAACTATAGCTATTTTTGTCTGAACTCTAGCTATTTTTGTCTGAACTATAGCTAGTTTTGTCTGAACTATAGCGACTTTTATTCTGAACTATAGCTAGTTTTGTCTGAACTATAGCCATTTTTTTCTGAAAGACCAATATTTTTGTCTGAACTATAGCCATTTTTTTTCTGAACTATAGCCATTTTTTTTTTGAACTATAGCTATTTTTCTTTGAACTATAGCTATTTTTGTCTGAACTATAGCTGAACTATAGCTGAACTATAGCTGAACTATAGCGGAACTATAGCGGAACTATAGTGGAACTATAGCGGAACTATATTGTGGAACTATAGCGGAACTATAGCGGAACTATAGCTGAACTATAGCGGAACTATAGCGGAACTATAGTGGAACTATAGCGGAACTATAGCGGAACTATAGTGGAACTATAGCGGAACTATAGCGGAACTATAGCTGAACTATAGCGGAACTATAGCGGAACTATAGCGGAACTATAGCGGAACTATAGCGGAACTATAGCGGAACTATAGCGGAACTATAGCGGAACTATAGCGGAACTATAGAGGAACTATAGCGGAACTATGGTGGAACTATAGCGGAACTATAGCGGAACTATGGCGGAACTATAGCTGAACTATAGCTGAACTATAGCTGAACTATAGCGGAACTATGGCGGAACTATAGCTGAACTATAGCTGAACTATGGCGGAACTATAGCTGAACTATAGCTGAACTATAGCTATCTAGGGACATTTAGAGGGGAAAGGTTGAAAATCGAAGAATCAATCCTTTTCAGAAACTGTCTTCTCAGACCGGATCCTTCTCAGGAATTGTCATTTCAGACTCTTTCCTTTGCAGGAACTGTCTTCTCAGACCGGATCCTTCTCAGGAACTGTCTTCTCAGACCGGATCCTTCTCAGGAACTGTCATTCCAGACTATTTCCCTTTCAGGAACTATCACTTCAGACTCTGTCCTTTTCAGGAAGTATCTTTGCAGACCATATCCCTTGCAGGAAGTACTTGTATATGATACTTAGTTTAATCTAAAATGATCAAACCAAAGAACTCAGGCAGCACACGCAATATGCCTTTTTTTCACCCTGTATAAATGTTGACAAGCTTTGTCACAAACTTAATGAAACTCTCCAAAAAAGTAAAATAAAGAAACATTTTCATTGCCCTCTTGTAAACATATTTTAAACTTTATATAACTTTATATAACTTTATACTAACTTTTTGTAACTTTTTATAACTTTTTATAACTTTTTATAACTTTTGTTAACTTTCAGATAACTTATGATAACTTTTCCTAAATACTTATGTTAAGTCTGTTAACATAGTTATAAAAAGAAAACATGCAGTTAAGATACTTACGATAAGTTCATTAACCATTTATATTTTACCTAAACATTTACAACTTCTCGTAGCCGGCTAGCTAAACTTACAAATTACTTATCAAATGTTATGACACTTTACATACTTGCAAGCAGGTTATAGACATGTTATAGAAGGTTTATATACATGTTGTAACTCGTCTAATTCTGTAAACTCATATAACTTCCAGCGTACAGTCTTCGTAGTGATTTTCCTTCTAAAAATCCTTTTAAAAAGTGCTTCAAAATCGTCTTTTTTTTCGCTCTGGCGTCGAGATCCGGTTTTGGAGCTACAATTTCCGACGCCGTTGCGCGTAGTTCTATTGTGCTTTGCAACTCAGTCTCCGCAGATCGCATTGTAATGGCTGCGTCAAGGTTGCTTCATGCTGTGGCTGCATGCGTAATACTATTGTCTTTTGCAGCTGGACTTCGTAAATCGTATTGGAGTGGCTGCATGAACAGTGATTTGTCAGCAGATTTTCTCCATTTTGGCGCTAGTGATTTTCCTTCTAAAAATCTTTTTAAAAAATGCTTCAAAATCGTCTTTTTTTCGCTCTGGCGTCGAGATCCGGTTTTGGAGCTACAATTTCCGACGCCATTGCGCGTAGTTCTCTTGTGTTTTGCAACTCAGTCTCCGCAGATCGCATTGGAATGGCTGCGTCAAGGTTGCTTCTTGCTTTGGCTGCATGCGTAATGTCTTTTGCAGCTGGATCTCGTAAATCGTCTTGGACTGGCTGCATGAAGGCTGCGAAATAAATTTGTTAGCAGATTTTCTCCATTTTGGCACTAGTGTTTTTTTGTTGCACGTAGGTTTAGAGCGGTGGGAAGTGTGGGGCGTAAAGAGTGCAGTGTGAAGTGTGAAGTGTGAAGGAAGCAGTGGGAAGTGAAAAGTGTGAAGTGTGAAGTGTGGAGTGTGAAGTTTCAGTTTGGAGTGCGAAGAGCGCAGTGTGAAGTGTGAAGTGTGAAGTGTGAGGTTTGGAGTGTGAAGGAAGCAGTGAGAAGTGAGAAGTGTGAAGTGTGAAGTTTGAAGTTTGGAGTGCGAAGAGTGCAGTGTGAAGTGTGGAGTGTGGAGTGTGAAGACTTTGCTTCGTCTCTCGCTGAAAAAATCAAACGGTTGTCGAGGGAAGGACACGGTCGGGACAGGGTGTCTTTGAACTATAGGTCATTTATGTTTGGGAAACTTCCGCCGCCGGCTTGCCCGGGTCTATGTTATCACTGTTACCCATGATAGGAAAGCAATCCCACTCATGAAAAGGAACAGGAATGTATCACTGTATTATATAATAGGACTTTTAAAATAGTGGCCACATCTCCCTTTTCATGCTTGAATCCCCACATATATGTATATATATATATACACACGTATATTATTGCTGCTTGAAACAACATTTTTTGTTGGTTCAATCCTAATTTTAAGATATCCTCTTTGTTGCTTAAAACCCCAATGATAAAAACGCTATCCCTCAGACCGCCGTCCTTCTGTCGCGCCGCGCGGGTGGCATACCACGCCCCCAGACCAAAGCCCACTGCCAGGCCGGTTGCGGCAGCAAGGGCTGAAAGTCCAGACGACGATGCCATGGCGATTGCGGATGGCTTTTGCTGGTGTGGCCCTGAACTCAAGCAACCAATAAAATCATGAAGTGGTTTGGAAGTTATACCGATACCGATACATCCCTTAGAATGAGAGTTATGTTTTTTTTTGCAGGGGATGTGGTGTCACAGCAGTTTAACACTGTAAAAGTGGAGGATATTAAACGAGAGTAACGAGAGCAAAGAATCTATGCTTCCCTCTGGTGCATACATAAATTGCATCAGTGTTGACCCACAACCAAATCCATGCAAATCCGCCAATTCATCCATGTAGGACCTTTGGATCCAATGGCAAAGCTTGGGGCCTGGGCTTTCCCGAAATAACTCAGGTGGAGGGTTTCCAAATCTGAGACAGCTACTTGCATGATGAAGAAAGGATGTCAACCTAGGAAAAGCCGGTCGGGATCATTTCATATTTCAGTGGTTTAAGATGTTTTAAGCACATATCATCACATACCCATGACGGATCCATGTATGGTATATATGGTGACATGGATCCCATCAATATATCCCCAGTCATGTTAGCATATATATACCAGCACCATGGATCCGTCATGGGATATCATCACATATCAACACACCTTTTGTTTATCTGGGATATCCAACATGTCACGTGCCGCACAAAAATGCCCAAACAACCAACCACGATGGTGGCGTTTTGGACGAGTCCCCGATAGGACACTTGTGTCTCGCATCCAAGTTCTGTAGTTCTGGATGCTCATCTAAAAGATTCTAAAACCATCCACATGTCCTGCATTTATATGCATTTATAACATTATTGATAGCTATGGATCCATACCCTAACCAACCAAACCCGAGAAATTCGCAGGGTCAGCTGGGAAACCCAGGCTTTCCAAACAAAACCCAGGGTTTGGCAACTCCGACCAAGATATTTTTTTTGGAACCATCCAACTGAGGAGCTTTGTTTCGAAACAGCAGCAACCACAAGCCACTTTGCTTTCCACGCAACAAACACCAACCAAAACAGGATTCTGTTTTGAGGCATTCAATCCGCGTTGAGTTTGGTAAATCACGGGTCCATCACGGTCTCGTCACAGGGTTCCCCAGGGTTTCCGTGTCCCAAAGCCAGGGTTTCAGCCAAATCATGTCCCAGGTCTCCCAAGTGCCAAGTGCAGCTTGGAGTGCAGGCCACCACATTGCTGTGCCGCTTTGTCGCGATCATGAAATCGGTATGGATCCTTAGCTCGAAAAAAACACACATGATCCGTGTTCCTTACTGCAGACTTTCAGCAAAATTTGACTAAAACATAACTAACAAAACTATATAGTGCTTATTAATGTTGTGTTGATGTGGGTGTGTCTCTCAAAATTTTCCAACAAAACCATGACTGGCAAGGCACAATCCACTGTGAACGCCAGCCTCCTTGGAGCAGATCGGTTTGCTCAGGACAACTCAGAACATGGGGAATTTCTAGTTTGCCTTCCGGCTAAATTATGCTCAGGACACTCAGAACATGCTGAGCCAAATGAGCCAAAGTAGTCAATAGTAACTGAGATATCACCGATATCACCTCTGTTGCCCCATATATATAGCTACAGTACAGTAATACGCTAAACCTTAAACTATTAGCCCACCCTTGACCAAGACTTGCCAGATTTGTGGTTCCTAGTTCCTACGGGGTCTGGAAATTTTGGCAGAAATATAATGAAATATACTTATGGTATTCTCTGGGTCTTTCGGTTGATATACCCCCGATTCTCCTCACCAACTGGGTAACTTCGTCCCCAAACTCGACTCTCCCAGCGGCGGTCGTACTCGTAGTAGGTGGTCGTGCCCCCACCCACGTTGTCTTTTCGACTTTCCGAGCGTTCAGTGCATTGCAACATCTCCTTGGAAATCCAGGATGCCAAGACGTGCCAAGGGTATCAGGAGGTTTTTTAGCGGACCGTCATCCCAACAGATCCCAACAGCTGACAATTTCAGCACCAGCTATGGAATTTATTCCGAATCCCGGTGATGTGTCCAGGCTAGGAATCCAGGCGAAACTTCCATCATTCCGACACCCCAAAGTCAAATCAGGCCTGAAAACCAAGAGCTTCCATCGATGGTTGAACACCACCGATGGGTCACATGCCAAACATGGCCATTCTAAGATTCGAAGTTTGAACCCGTCTGTTCTCATGGCAACAGCCTGACCGAAAAAACATGGAAAAACCGTGGGAATAGCTGCAGGCTGCAGCCAAGTTTCTGCCTCCACTTTGATTCCAGTGCCAACCTGGGGATCTGAAGGTTCCTGGCTGATTTCCAATAATGTGTGTAAAACAATAGGATCCACCATCCCCAAATTTACAATGTTTATGAGTTGTATAAACCATCAATCCACATGAGTGGTTTATGATGCAACCAGTTTAACAAGCTGGAGCCCTGGAGCTCCTCCAAATGCGACTGGTGACATAAACCATCTACGCATATAAGGAGAATGCTCAAAAACTGAACTTTCACGAGGGAATCCAAAAAATCATGTTGGGAAGTCAACCAAACAAAAAACATCTGAACTTTGAATACCGGAAATCCATGGAAATCCCATACCATCGATACCCCAACCTTTCGGTCCGGGCCATCCAAGCAACGTAGCCGCTGAGGGTGCTGGCGAATTCACCTCCGCCGAAGCCAGTGAAGCCTTGCGCCGCAAGGCCATCCTGTAGGAGGTTGCCTCGGGGGTGTAACACCGGCATATTGCTCGGGTTTCGATGGAAAGTACGGGGATTTATACGATTTATCATGGTTTATTTTTAGGGGATGTATTTTTTTTTCGGGTTTACAAGGGTGAGTTTGCATGGGTTACATGGGGTTACGACAGAACTTATTTAGATTATTAATGACATGATGAATATCATCAGCGAAGGGATGGGCAAGGATGGGCTGCGTCTAGCCATGGTGACTTCCAGTCACCAGGATACTGCATCCCTTGCTGATTTACCATGGAGGTTTTGTAGCTATGTGAATCATTGCCAGAGGGTAAACGTACCATATAGGTATAGAATTATAGAGACGAACAACAACTGGTTGGATATTTGGCTACTGCATATCTCTGCATCATCCCAAACAAATTAGTCAATGGAAAAGGGCGGAAAGGGAAACAACACATAATATTTAAAACAAGTGGGGCCAACCATTTGTCATTGAACTGGCAATGTTTTTGCAACTTATTGGTCCCACAGAACATTCAGCGACAGGAGTTCTCTGCAAAACAGTGGGCAATTCCCTGGCGGCAAAGCGACAATTCCCAGAATCTTGAGGTAGCCGACACAAGCTAAGGAAACAATAAATAGATGGCTTCATGCCGTCCCAACAATATCCACAAATCATCACAAATCTATATTTATGTTGATGATGGATGATCTTCTGTGGGGCATCATCTTCTCGACCCCACTTGAACGAAACCCTAGGTGACACCTGTCCCTCCCAGGGCACTGCATTGCAACCAGGAGACAGTTGAAGAAGACCAGCTCGCCTGGCAAAGTTTTGCGCCATTGCTCAAGGACACTGGATTTGTTTCCTTCTTGTTTTTCAAAGAGCAGTTCCTCAAAATAAGTGTTGTTGAAAGACATGCTGCCTTCTGGTAATCAAACGTGGCAACGGGGAAAAAAAAGACATTTTTAGATAATTTTTGAGAGATGGTGGGAGGCTCTGCTCCCCTTGGTGTTTCACCTACATCCAGAACGGCAAGATTTGAGTGTAGAACCCTTCCTTCAACAGCTTCAAGCGAAACCAAACTTAGTTTGGCAGGATTCTCTACGATTCTCTAAGCATAGTTATTATTAATTAATACTTTCTTGCATGCAAGTGGTCCGAATTTCAAGGTTATCTTGAGGGGGGGTTGGGGGGAGGGGAGGAAGCGTGTTGTGCTAGTAGGCTGCCTAAAAATCATGGAATCAGAGTTATATATATATATATCATTATATATCAATTTGCGCAGTCAAAAATCATGGAACACATTGGACCACATCTTTACCTGGCTGACTTCCCCCACTCCTTAGCTGCACCTTCTTCCTCAGTGCTGTCGGTGCACTTCACCGGCCTGTAGCTCGAGTCTCCGGCCCTCACAGAAGGCGAGCCAGGGAGAACCATCCCTTAATGGGATGAGAAACAAGGCATATTTATTCATATTTACAGTAATATAATATATACAATGTAGAATATATATATAATGTATATAATGTATATATATATATATGCATTTGAAACCACCAGCAGGGCTATCAGTATCATAACGCATACAGTACTTAGAAAGAATGCATTCAATGCAGAACGATTTGCGTTATAGCAGGAAAAACATTGGAGACATCACTCATGGTTCCCAAATCATTGGCTGGATTGACTGGTAAAATTAAAAGTGGCCGAAATCTGTCTGTGTCTCGGGTCCGACGCTTACTCAAGTTTACCAATATATGATCATAAGTAAGCTATTTATATATAGTACCCTCTGGTAAACTAACATAGCTATTTAAAAATGAACCATTTATAGTTGATTTACCCATTAAAAACGTGGATTTTCCATAGTTATGTTAGTTTACCAGATGGTAACTTATACTAAATTATCTTCTATCCAAATAAACCAACTCTTTGCCGAATGCTCCCACGGTCGTGATGGCTGGTAATGTTTGTGAACCCATCATTTAGGGCCATCTGCGGTCCCCATGGTGGCATGAACCACTCAAAAACAGATAGTTACACAATGTTACACAGAGACAGAAACAGAAACACACCCAAACCATCACGAATTTTGGTGGGATACGCACTTAAGTCACGTATTGTTTGTATATTAGATTATTTTGTTCAATGTACATATTGGTGATTTCTCCCTGACACAAGAATCACAAGCACCATGTTGATCACCTTCCCATGTTGATAAAAATGGTGGCATCCGCTCCACATCCACCAGGTAAACCATCTGGTTATGACATTCACAGTTTGCCATGGAAAGATCCACCATTTTTAATAGGTAAACCATGGAAAATCACCATTTTTAATAGGTAAACCATCTATTTCTATGGGCCATCTATACCATGGCTATGTTAGTCATAACCAGAGGGTATCTCATTCATATTCCCATATGTTTGATAGTTAAAACCCCATCAACCCCACATACTTGATGCTATTTAACCCATTCGAATCCCATTAAACAATATGTTAAACATCACTAGACCATCATTGATTAATATCATCATGATTTTTGTTGACTACAACCATCTACAACCCATGTTTGACATTAAAAGATCGCTTGAGCCGTTAAACATACCCCCTATCCCATCTCATGAAATACTAGCTGTTGTTTTCACTGCTTTCCCCACGAATCAAACGGGTGAGTTATGGTTACTTCTTTCTTATCCCCAGCAAAAACCCATCACGGCGCCGAGTTCTTTTCGCCAAGCTGCAGGATGGCCTTCTGTTCACAAACGTCACGCTTCTCATTCCAGCCCAAGAGCACTGAAGCGCCGATCCTGGGATCTTTTGAAGCGAGGCGCTAATGGATCTGGGGTGGTCACACACACATTGTATATATATATATAGGCCATGATATGATGGGGTGATATGATTAAAAAAACGTAGTGAATATATATATATATGCTTGGAATAGTTGGGTTATATCATATCCTGAAATTTCCTGACATATCGTGGTATATTATATAATGTATGATTGGGCTAAAATTATATGTATGTATATATATATATAGGCCATGATATGATGGGGTGATATGATTAAAAAAACGTAGTGAATATATATATATATATATGCTTGGAATAGTTGGGTTATATCATATCCTGAAATTTCCTGACATATCGTGGTATATTATATAATGTATGATTGGGCTAAAATTATATGTATGTATATATATATAGGCCATGATATGATGGGGTGATATGATTAAAAAAACGTAGTGAATATATATATATATGTTTGGAATAGTTGGGTTATATCATATCCTGAAATTTCCTGACATATCGTGGTATATTATATAATGTATGATTGGGCTAAAATTATATGTATGTATATATATAGGCCATGATATGATGGGGTGATATGATTAAAAAAACGTAGTGAATATATATATATATGCTTGGAATAGTTGGGTTATATCATATCCTGAAATTTCCTGACATATCGTGGTATATTATATAATGTATGATTGGGCTAAAATTATATGTATGTATATATATATATATAGGCCATGATATGATGGGGTGATATGATTAAAAAAACGTAGTGAATATATATATATATATATGTTTGGAATAGTTGGGTTATATCATATCCTGAAATTTCCTGACATATCGTGGTATATTATATGTATATATATATACATTATACGGCCTTTAACAGGCTTACTACACCACGGTATATATATATATTATTGGTTATTAGCCAGTTACGATTCCTGGATTCCTGTCACATCCCAGGACCATCAAGGATCTATGAACATTGTGGACTTTTTATCAAAAAAAAGAGAAAAAAAGGACCAACACCAATAGCCCAATGGGCTTCAAGTATCTTCAAGTAGCCCATTTGAGTCAATGGGATAACACATGATAACACCGTGAATAGATGGGAAACGGATCAGCAAACGGATCACATTTGGATGCTACTCCCTGGGAATCAAACATAGAAAAACCTGCAAAATCCCGTTGCTATTTTGTCAATATAATAAAGACACACTTTTGGATGCTACAAATGATTAGGTGGCCAGAGGGCACCAGGTATTAAGTATGTATGAATATGCGAGATCTGAAAATTCGATAAGACTCGATATCATCATCATATATATATATAGACTTATATAGAAGATTATAGAAGTAGCCATTTGCCCAAATGAATGGTTTCAACATGTTTGAACAAACACTCTTGCACAGATGTTCCAACGAAATTTAGATGCATGATAGCCCCGGCGTGTCCCAGCATATCCCAGCCATAAGGTGGAGAAAAACATAGAAAAACACATGAGGTTCAATGACTATATCAGCCATATATCATAAGGCTTTTCATTATAATCGAATCATATCGAATCACAAAATAATCACTGATAGTAAGCCAAATTATCATCCCGGCTTCAATGGTTTGACCACTCACTACTTGCAATCGCCAAGGTACAGCACCAGTGGGAATCCCACGATGGCGCAGAAGATGCCTTGAATAACCAACCGCAGATGTTCCCTGAAACCAATCATTTTAACCCCAAAAAAACGGACACTTGCCAAAGGATATGAACGCAATTGTCATATTTTATCATATTTTTCTCTGGGGTCCAACGTGAGTTTTGAGGCTTACCGAGACTGGCTGGTTGAGCCATCCCAGAACAAGGAAAAACGAATCATCCTACGATTTTTCTTGGGCATGCGTATAAATAAACATGAATGACACCACCAACCATAAGAAACCTTGGGCTTTGCCAACCTCAGAGGACTTCAACTGACGAGTTGGCACGAGGATTGAGTTGGGTTGACCAACAAAAGGGCGTTGAATCAGCATCTGAGCCTTCAAAATCGGAAGATATATGTAATGCATGTAGCTTTATATATATATATATACATACCCTGCTTCATCTATGTACATATAATATTTTTGTGCATATACATATATATATATACACATAATATGAGTCAAGGTATGAAACATCTAGGTCAATCTAGGTCTGACATATTTATATGACATTGTAATGGATCATGTAGAATAGCAAAGAAAATAATCGTGATAATGACAATGTTAATAATCACAATCATAATTAATCATAATTATATGTATATGTGTGTATATGGAAGACAAAGAATGTGCATATGCCCCTAAGCAGGACGTACCACAAATCACACATCAAATCTTTCGGCGGAGTGTCACATGGTTTCTATGTGCTTCAATATCATGAAAAATCTGAACATGCATACCTCAACAGTAGATACTTGTACATGTCCAAACTGGCTACTCCTAGCAGTTGTGGGTCAAAAAAGGCCGGCTCCCAAACCACATTGCGGCAGATTTTCCGATTCCCTGATCATAGTAGAACCCCACAAATGAGCACATTCAATATAATATCATTTAATGCATGTCAGCAGGTTTTCTGATGCTTATTATATCTTATTGGAGCCCATCCCCAAAATATTGGCCATGAAACATCAGGGGTGAAATCCCAATGGTTTATCAATGGCTCCACAAGCATTACAGCTGATAAACCATCATGCATTTGAAAAGTCATATGTTTTTCATTGGAAAACAGATTTCCGGGGCATTCCGAATCAACATGTTCAGTTCTTTTTTTCAGATAGACCCAGATCGAGCTAACTGCCTGCGGCGTTTGGCCCTGTTCCAATAATAGCGCTCAGTGGCTTTGACACATACGCTGGCAGCCACTGGTGTGCTCCATGGCCTTTTCAAGCATGGGGGATCCGGTATTATCATAGCATTTTCCATCATTTTCCACAGAAATGTGCATCTTATATGCGCTTTTCTTGGATGATAACGTGATATTTTTCGTGGGTCCCCCCATTCTAGATAACCCCCTTGGCTAGATCTATTTTTCATGGATCTCACAGGATCATATTAGCTCAACAAAAGTCACCAGGAACAGCCGAAAATCTATCTGAGAGATTTGAGACAACGTTCACTCAGGTGATGCACTACTATAGGTCTATAGGTAGAAATGAATAAATAATATGACTATAATTGACTATACCCTTCGGTTTCATCAAAGGTGGCGTGCTCGAAGTTGAAGTTCGATGATTTTCCCATTAGAACCTTCATTTATAGGGGGGTTCCATGGCCACGTTTGATTGGCGGAGGGTAAAAACATCTTTGCAAAACATGGAGCCCCAGCATGTCAAATGTCTGTGTCTGAAATATATTTTATGGATCCCCCAGCCAGATTGTAGCCCCTTTGTCGTTGGGTTCTACTCCATTTTGCCTCTATCCACATCAACATGTCCAATTGCCATCGGACAAATCTTCAAGCTGGGTACCGATTAATGATTAATAATTCAAATGCACAGCGTTTAACGATTGCAATTGTTTTGTCTTTTTCGTTCTGAGCATCCAATTCTTGTTGAGATAGTCCCGTTCCGCTTGCATCCCCCAAGGGACCCTAATGGTGATTGCTGCAATTTTTGGTGACGAATTCAAAATGCTTTGGGCTTTGGGTGATTATTTATATTATTTCCAGACTTGGGTCTGTCTGCAAGTGGGGGAAACAATAACAATTAACCATCATTTTTTTTGGGAGGCTCCCAGCATTTTCAGGTACCAAACCCATTTTTGGGTTCCGATGCGCCTCACTCGCGCCCCGAACCTCGCCGAGTTTCAACGCGTTTCGGTCCGAGGACGGCTGCGGTGTTGGCGCGCGAAAAGTGTGGATTTGATCGATTTTAAACGACTTTTTTTTGCCCTCTGGTAATTGAACATATAGCCATGGCACATATATTAAAAAAATGATTTACGATGATTTCCGGATGAAACCTGGGTTCTCATCCATAGCTATGTTCGTTTAGGGTACGCATGTGATGCAATGTGGATCGCACCGGTGATCTTCAGAGGCGGTTCCACTGGCAGGCAGGACATGTTCCAACATGATTCCAAAGAACTCATGATCATTGACAAGTAGGCCACAATAAAACTATGGAACACCCACGAACTCCACCATACTAACATATACTAACCATCATTTTTACTGATGATTACTCATGGTTACTGAGACTACTAAGGTCTTTCCAGGTGAATCAGCATCTGCCACATCGGCGCCTCAATCCAGCTGCGCGTATTTGAAGATGGACGCAGTGACACCTGCCACGCTCAAACCTGGGGCTCCCGTGGCAAACGGTGGGCCAACCTGGGAGATATGGGAATAGGATACGTTCATCGATGTTCCATGATCTACCTAATCCCTTCACCCTCTTACCTGAAACACCTCCCCAAATGGTAAACATGGTGATCAATTTTAATCATTCAGGGTATTTTGTATTAGGGGCCTAATTACATTGTTTTAGAAATTAATTAAATCTAACATTTTCTATTGCAAATCAATTAAATTCCGTGTTAAAATCTAATTTTAACTATTCCCAAACACTGGAAGGGAATCCCCTAATATTAAATCAAACACAACAAACAATAAAAACAACTAGTTCAAAATCGATTAAATTCCTCTTTAAAATCTATTTAAACTATTACTATTACCATAATTGGATTTCGAAGGTTCCCGAATATTAAATTAAAAGCCCTTAAACAATAGTTCAAAATCGATTGAATGTCATTTTTTAATCTAATTAAACTATTGCCAAAAATGGGATTTCGAAGGTTCCCCTAATATTAAACTAAAAACATGTATATAACCAAAAAAACTATTTCAAAATGGGACCCTAATAATAGCATATTATAAAACACAAGGTGTGATGCTATCTTTATTAGTAGTGGGTAAACTCCACTATGTCACCATCCTCTTCTCCTATTGATTCTCGATTACCACAATTGAGAACGCAATTGTAATCAACCAAAAAAACACAAAAGTGCCAATCCAATCCTTTTTGATTAATTGGGAAAGTTTAGTAATAAATAATAGGGACAACAGATTATGTTTGGTTGATACGTTTTCACCACGACGCCTCAAAAACATGAACATCAATGGACCAGGACCAGAACGTTTTTTTTCGTAGGATGGAACAAACAGCAACCACTGTTTGCAGCTGCAGAAAGTGGTAATACAAAGCCCCAGGTGTCCTGGTTGTACATGAAGGGACATCAATGGGGATATGCCAAAAAGATGGGGATCTAAAGATTCGTTCCATCGGAAAACTCATTTGGGCTTTTGCTTGTGGACAAAACGAATCGAAAAAAACGTCAACTACCAAACACACAGTTTTAGGCAGAATCATCCAGACCCCTCCTGCTCGACCCATCGTCGATACTTCCCCAGAGAAAAGTTTGAATTTGAGGTGCGTCGAGTCTATTTCTCCATGAAAAATAATGAAAACAACATCCTCCAGGAGCTCACCAGAGTGATCTCCCCTCCGCCAAGGCTCTGAAATGCGCCAACATGCAGAAGAGGAAGAACCTACGGCAGTGAGGCTCGGCTAGGCTGCTCCGAAGATGAGGCTGGGAAAGGTCAGAGCTGGCTGGTTCCGGTTGAGCCATCCCCAAAAAAGATGAGTCAAGTGGGATTCTCGTCCGATAAATGACAGAATGACACCACCAGCTGGGAACATTTCAACATATTTCAACCATCCTGGCAGGACATTTTGATCCAAACATATCCAAACATTGTGATTCATCGGAACTCTGCGTGATCTGGCAGTGGTTCGTTGGATCATGCACCTTCGATACTGGATGCTTTCACATGGATCAAACATGAATTTTCCAACACATATTATAACCAATTACTCTACTTCGTGTGATCCCCACCATGACATGTCAGGACGTATATTTGTACATATATTTAGTATATTCTGACATCCTATCTGACATATATTCTGGCATATATTCTGGCATTCTATCTGGCATATATCCTGACATTCCACCTGGCATTCTATCTGGCAGTCTATCTGGCATTCTATCTGACATATTTTCTGACATTTCATCTGACATATATTCTGGCATTCTACCTGTCATTTATTCTGACATATATTCTGGCAATTCTATCTGACATATATTCTGGCATATATTCTGGCATTCTATCTGGCATTATATCTGACATATATTTTGGCATTCTATCTGACATATATTCTGGCATATATGTTGGCATTCTATCTGGCATTATATCTGACATATATTCTGGCATATATGTTGGCATTCTATCTGGCATTATATCTGACATATATTCTGGCATTCTGTCTGACATATATTCTGGCATATATTCTGGCATTCCATCTGGCATTATATCTGACATATATTTTGGCATTCTATCTGACATACATTCTGGCATATATGTTGGCATTCTATCTGGCATTATATCTGACATTCTATCTGACATTCTATCTGGCAGTCTATCTGGCATTCTTTCTGGCATTCTTTCTGGCATTCTATCTGGCATTCTATCTGGCATCCTATCTGACATTCTATCTGGCATTCTATCTGGCATTCTTTCTGGCATTCTTTCTGGCATTCTATCTGGCATTCTATCTATCTGGCATCCTATCTGACATTCTATCTGGCATTCTATCTGGCAGTCTATCTGACATTCCTACATGAGGTCCGGCAGGGAACACTTGGCATGGATACTCGCGGTTGAGGTCCGGCAGGGAACACTGGGCGCGGATGGTCGTGGTTGAGGTCCGGCAGGGAACCCTGGGCGTGTATGGTCGTGGTTGAGGTCCGGCAGGGAACACTGGGCGTGGATGGTCGTGGTTGAGGTCCGGCAGGGAACACTGGGCGTGGATGGTCGTGGTTAAGGTCCGGCAGGGAACACTGGGCGTGGATGGTCGTGGTTGAGGTCCGACAGCGAACACTGTGGATCGCGAGTCGCAGTTGAGCAGGAGGACGAGGAGGACAACGAGAGGAGGAGGAGGAGAGGAGGACGAGGCAGGAGGAGGAGGAGGAGAAGGAGGAGGAGGAGGAGAAGGAGGACGAGGAGGAGGACGAGGAGGCAACTGACATAAAATCTAACAACCCTCACCTGGCAGGTGGGGAAAAAATCCCAAATACATGGATATACCAATTTGTTTAAATGGATCAGGTGTATGGATATCGAATTATGAATATCCCATTATGGTTTGGGTATGTTTGGGTTATACTAACTCTGTCACTTCCCAGTCCCAGTCCTGGGTCCCGGCACTGGTATCCCTGACTTCTACGCTTTGTGAGTTCATTGACCTGGATCAGTGCGGTGTCGCTCTGCAACTTTGAACCGTTGAGACCCTTGAGCCAGGCAGATTCAGACCCTTGAGATCTTTCATCGCTGTATCAACAAAGACTCAACAAAAATCTCATGTCATCTCTCAACTGATCACTGGTGAGGCACTTCACTGGCAGATTGCAAGATTTCTTGTTTCTCAGTGCACTCAGCCGGGTGAACGATGATTTTCTGGCTCAGACCCCCAGGTCTCCCTGCTGGATCTTCCACCCATTCGAAAAAGAGAGGATGCGCAGCCCTGTCGCTCTGATTCAGGTGGGCCTACCATCTGATACCTCTCAGATCCATGAAGTATGTCCTGATAGACTCCAAAGGTAGGCATATACATATAATATACGGTATATTGCAAATGTATGATATGGCTTTATGATAATGTGAGCATTGGAGGTTTACTGGTTTACTGGTTTGCCTCATTTTTTTCAGTTCCCTCGACTTCTAATTCTGCTAGAAATCAATACACCTTGGTGGAAAGATCCCTGCCAGCGCCTTGGTTTGGGCAGTGGCTGGGATGTTCGCTTCAAATATCTGGGACACTTTAAGGATTATCGGCATATATCTATGATATAATTTATATCTATATGATATAATATAATGTAATATAATATAATATAATATACTATATTTTGATATTTTATAATATAAGACAATATAATAATATAATAATATAATAATATAATAATATAATAATATAATAATATGATAATATAATAATATAATAATATCAATATAAAATAATATAATATAATGAAATAAAATATAATATAATTTAATATAATATAATATAATATATTATAATATATCTTATGTAATACTATAATATATATATAAATATCATTATATATATATATATCCTACAGTTCCAAATGCGATGTTTAAAATTGTTTAACATGGTATTTGTTCAAGTACGAGGTGTAATATTTGTAAGAATAAAGACTATTTTCAACTATTTTCAGTTACACTACTTGACCCTTCCCTGGACCTGGTATGTCAGAGATGTCTGGGATGTAGCTATTGGGTAGCTAACCCCCAGGTCCGGTCAACCTGGATGCACACTTCAATGAACTTCGTTGCTAATCTTAGAGACCCCAGCCAGGGAAAATAGCTGGTTGGTGGTTGACCTACCCCTCTGAAAATTATGAGTTAGTCAGTTGGAATTATTATTTCCAAATATTTCCAATATATGGAAACATAAAAACTGTTCCAAACCACCAACCAGATAGTGTTTGGCTGGGTATTCTATCAGAATAAATGCTAGCAACCAATCTTCTACCCTCCATTCACCAGCTGATTTATTGGCGATTTCTAAAACCCATCAAGGCTTAACCATAATTAAGATGCTTAAAGCATGCAGCATGCTCAATCCTTAGTAATGCCATCTGTTTGGTGGTTTCAACCCTCTGAAAAATATGAGTTCGTCAGTTGGGATGATGAAATTCCCAATCTATGGAAAAGTAAAATTCATGTTCCAAACCACCAACCAGTCATGTCATGTCTATTTTTGTCTCCCCCCCCCATTCTGCTCCAAAAAGCAACGTTGCCGACACCGTTGCCGACGCCGCCTCAAGTTGAAGGTGGCCTCTGCCGATTGCACGGCCAATTTGAAGTGCGGCCGATCATCTGCACCTCGGAGCCGTCTCAAAGCACCATTTTTCATGGAGCCATGGTAACGGGTAACCAAGCCTTTTTGATCACCATTTTTAGAGGTGCTAACTCAGTGGTATCCCTTCTTTTTATTTCTTTTTCACCATTTTTAGAGGTTGAAAAAGAAGAATTATCCCCAAATGGTAGGATTCTTATCGGGTTTTGCGACATTAGTTAGCCTTTAGTCAATGTACAAGCATGCAGGTATGGAACTTCCGAGGTTTTTCTTCCGTTAGGAAAAGCTACCCATGAAAGTGGTGGATTTTCTGTATGTCCGTTGAACACTGGAGGGTAGGGTCTAGTTTTACATCCCAACAGGTAAATCCACATAATTTGAGTGTTTTTTGTAAGGTTGGTAATGGTTGGCATGTATTACCAACCCACAAATACAAGTAATTCGTCTGTTTTTGAGTGGTGATGCGGTGATGCCAAGTATAGCAACCATTGAACCAAGGATATTTATGCTTATCCACAATCCCACAAGGTGGTGCCCCATAGTTAGCTAAGTTGGTTTATAACTCCCATAACTATGGTTTATGGCAGATATAACTATACTTAATGGGGTTTATAAACCAACTTATAACTGGGGGGCAACATCCTGCACCATACATAAATTATAAATCGTGAACCACGGATTCTATGAGTATTTTCAGGGAACGCCAAGGAATGCCAACTGACACTTTTCCAACGATCGGGCAGGCGCTGTCGCAGCTGTCGCATCACTGCGACGTGGCGCAACACGCATTTCGCGTCCTGCGTCCTAACTTGACGCCCTCTCGTTGTTCCATGGAAGAGGATATGAAACTAGAACTGCACAGAGACTTGAAGGTGGACACTGTTTATGGACCGTGACAATTGATGAAATGTACTGAAGGTGATACTCATTTTGCACAAGAACGCCGGAGCTGTCTACTTGCTTTCAGTATTTTTCAGCTAATTCGCCCAAAAAACATTTTCTTGGATCTATCATTTCAGTTGCAGGTATGACAAGAGTGCTCTTGGCAGATGAAGATCAACATCATAAACCATCAACCATCCCCAATTCCAAGAAATGGGTGGTATAAAGATCGACCAGCGACCATACCGTAGGGGATTCGGTTTATCACATTAAGGTACGAGTGCAGTAAGCAGGTCTCAAACTTCACAGTCGCTGCGATGTTCTGTTATGTGCACCAATGCACCATCAGTTGGGCACGACGGCTTGGCGAACCGATTGTCTCTTTGTCGGTGTCTCTTGTTCCGCGTTCCACGCCAAAAGGGGAAAACAACAACGAATAAAAAACACACGCATGTCCTGGTCTTCCTCCAGTAAAACAACACAGACCCTGGCAGATAGGGTTGGAAGATTGGTGTCCACAGCAAAATGTGTTTTTTTCAGGGTCTATTTTGATTTACCAAAGGGAAGATCCAAGAAATGAACAGAAATAAACATCACAAACATCTGTGTTGACTGTTAATTGCTTCTTCATGCAGAACTGTGTCTTATCCGGTGCAGTGAAATACCTTCCAATCCGCCTTTCTGTCAGTTCAGGACCGACCGCCGGTGGAGAAGGTGTGCAAATCTCCCTGATGGTAGTAGCCTCAATGGTACGGCTTTTTGCACCACGACATTTTTCTCCGTGCAGTAGGGAGGTGCAGTTGGACTGAAAAACATGGGGCTATAACCCCCATAAGTTGACTACTTACATATGGATGCTGGTTGGTGGTATACCATGGTATACCTACCCCTTCTGAAAAATGATGGAGTTCGTCAGTTGGGATGATGAAATTCCCAATATATGGAAAAATAAAACATTTTCCAAACCACCAACCAGGATGGTTCTCGAAATTAGGGTACTCCTTACACCGTATGCTTTCCCCAGCACAAAATAGACAAATGTTGCATGAGCCCGGGCAGCCCGGGGTCCATTTCAGGAAACACATTGTATATGCCATCAAATCATATCCCAATATATCCCGCAAAATGGTTGTAAACCAGCAATTTTGGGAATGGCCTTTGCTGGTACGAGTACCATCTATTTCTGGCAAAACTGGGGTTACAGTACTTGATTATTGGGTTTAGCACATAAACGATATTCCAATAATCATCCATTTATTTTTCGATATATAGTTGGATATATAATTGGATAATTATTGGATGATTATTGGATACCCTCTGGTAAATAAACATAGACCCTGAAAAACACCAATTTCCAATGGAAACTAGTCTTCCAACCCCCATCTGCCAGGGTCTATGTTAATTTACCAGAGGGTATATATATATGATTATTGGATTATATGATTTATACATATAGTTCAATAATCCCAATTCTCAAACAATATCATTCCAATAATCAACCATCGTGAAGTATTGTTATCCATTGTCAACCATCATGAACCAGTCATTCTCAACGATGTTTTTCCATTGCCAACCATAGTAAAAACCACAAGAAAACACGTATGACACCAGCATAATCCTTGTATCATTACCAATTATCACATCCAATAGATATTCACCAGTATTAAACCTTATGGATCCTTAACATTGTCAAACATGATTATCCATTGTCAACCACTATTGATCATTATCAACCATGAAGCATCATGAACCTTTTCATTCTCAACTCATTCTTCTCCATTCAACAGTTTCCCTCTGGTAAACTAACATAGCTATGGAAAATCACCATTTTCAATGGCTAAATCCACTATTTCTATGGGCCATTTTCCATAGCTATGTTAAATTACCAGAGGGCATTTCTAGTAGAATTAGAACCTGATTGTTGTTGGATTAACCTGAGTAATTTCACCTTGTACCTCCAAATGGATAGCATTCTCAACAGTTATCATCCATTCTCACAATGGTTTTAAACTAGTGGATCAATATCTAACCATTATCACGGATTATAATGGTTATAATGGCTTATATCTAACTATTGACAATGGTTATTGGATGTTAGATGGCTTCATGATCCACCACTCTTCCCCAAGACTGCTCCGACTATAACCAAGAGACCATCCACTTCCCATCCCAAGACATCCGCCGAACTCAGCACCCGATGTTTGGAGCTGTAGACCTGGCTTTATTTTTTCGCTGGCCAAGAAAAAGACATGGCAGTTATAGGATTTATGGCCGATATAACCAGCTTTATGTAGTTGATATATATGTATATATATATGTAGTTATCTTGGTAATAACTAGTAATAACTAGGTTTTAAGTTCAATATGTTCAATTTCACCAAGGCTTATGGTAGTTATATGTAGTTATTATATGTTATTATAATGACTGGAGTCTTCATGTTGCATTTTTTTTCCAAGGGCCACCTCATCGGATCTGTATGGTCTCAGATGGATAACCAAGAGAGTTCACGTTGGCAAAATATGAGTCATAGAAATTTAACATCGGATGTACAACATAATATAAATCATAATATAACACGAATATATTAACATTGTATCTATTAACAATGGGAATATATCATAATATAATTCAGTGGGAATATATTAACATTGTATAACCAACTATAACCAACTACAACCTCTGGGAATATGAATCATAATTCATAATTCATCATATATGTGATAGAATGAACATCTTCCGGTCACAGGAATGATTCTGTGGTTGACAAAAAGGACGACGCTTCGCGGATCGGAGAAGGTACTTTCCAAGGTGGACGCCATCAGAACATGATGCTATCATGATCTTGGGAGCAGATTCCATCTACAGCTTTCAATACACCTGTAAAATTCAATCTTGAACCCATATTCATCTGGTTGGTGGTATACCTACCCCTCTGAAAAATATTAGTCAGTTGGGATGATGAAATTCCCAATATATGGAAATTCATAAAATTCATGTTCCAAACCACCAACCAGTCATGATCATTTCATACCATTTCCAAGCGCAGGACATCATCGTGGCGGTATCCGCCCTTCTGGTCTGGTGATATCCCCAGCTTCTGGATGAAATGGGCAACCTGAAAACGCATTCTTTTAAGCTGGTAAGTGTACTCATGTGCATTCTCGACAGACTCCATTTCAAACAAAAATACTCCAGGAACACAGAGCTACATATATTTGATGATCTATGACGTAAATCTTATTTAACACTAGTCATGTATCATATATTTGGTTATAAAATACAACTGTTATAACATGTAACTCCAAATCATGTTATTTAACAATAGGTGTATATATATATATCATTATATCTCATATATTTGGTTATCATTTACTTATTTGATGATTATGATATATATCCATGCTTTTATCAGTAAATGTTCCAGATGATAAAAAGCCATGATCGCAATGATCCACACAGGTCATATTGATCATTTTTCCCAATAGGACATGTAGCTAGAAATTGATGGAGCTTGTGGATTGCCATCTGCCATTTTTGGGATCTCCAATGATGTGAAAAAGTAATATCAATGAAAACCAGGATCTAAAAAAATATTAAATTCATCATGTTCATCCAATATCAATTGCCATGATATCAATTAGTTCATTTCATTCATAAGCAATCAACAGCTAGGCTTGCTAGGCCCTAGGCCCCAATCATTTTCACAACTGCCGCACCCTGAGAGTGTCAGGACTCAAAGATCCCAGCTGGACGATGGCATTCCCTGGCGGCAAACGGCGCCGGTTGCAACGTTCTGAGATTATAATTGTAGCCTAACAATATCCCATAGGATCCATGTATGGTATATATGCTAACATTGGGGGTGTATTGATGGTAAATGGATCCTATGGGTATGATAATCTATAGAATCCATGGTAATTATGAGGATTACAATAGGCTATGATAATTTGATAGTGATTGCGATACTTGATTGTGGCAGATTACAATGGATTGCAACACATTGTAATAGATTGTAATCGCCTACAATAAGAGTATCATAAAATCATATGACATAATGTATTAACCCCCCAGAAATGTTGCAAGAGTAGGTGTAGTTCGTGGTTCTGGCTTTCCCACAGTACAGCCTACACAAATGAGTATGGTTGCACAAGCTGCAAATGACAGTTCTGGCCAGTGACCAGTTGGAAATGCAGCGAATTCGACCCGGAGACAAACACTCTCTACCTTGGTCATTGTGGTGAAACTGTCTCCTGACAACAAGATCTGTGGTCTACCTACCATCGGTCGAACATCATGCCTTCATGTTTTCAATCCATGGGACCCAAAATTTCAAAAAGAGTATAGTATAGGTACATATTCGTACCATCACCCCTCCAGATTATACGGTAACATAATATTCCAATATCATTCCTTTACGGTATTGCAACAGTAAAAAGTATGACGTATCAATCATATTCCAGCAAGCCCCCCAAAAAAACTCACATCAGAACAGATAAACAAAAACATATACTAACATAGTATAGACTTCGTCATGAATTCCGTTGAACTCCTCAATTTCAGTCTCTTTTTTCGGGGCTAAAACACCGTTTTGGCCATCCCCCCATCCCCAACCCCAACCATCCCCAACGGTCACCGGGGCCCGGGGCTCGCCCCAAAGCGCCTGTGAAGCGCACCGTCTCCAAATCGATGAGCCGCGCGGCGGAGCGCTTTGCGCCCATGATGCTGCGCTCCGACTTCACGCTGCCTGAGCCATGGCTTTAAGCCATGGCTTTAAGCCATGGAAAAGCCATGGCAAAGCCATGGCTTAAATGGTGAATCTATGGCGAATTGCTTAGATTCTGAGAGAATACTACTAATGAATACTGATGAGATCTTAAGATATCGTAAGCTTCATATCATTGATGTGTTGCAAAATCCATCGTTCTTGAGCTGGCTGGGAAATGCCACCCATTTGGAGGTACAAGGTGAAATTCCATGAAATTACTCTGGTTAATCCAACAACAATCAGTTTCTAATTCTACTAGAAATAACTTGTAAAACCATCCCAAATTGAAGGTGTTCGTGGCATTGGGTCAATCCCACATCATCAACGAACAACTGTTGACGAATTAGGCGCCTCAACCCCCAAACAGTGATATCCAAGTAGCATTAAAATTGGTCGCCCCATGAGTGTGGTGCCACATTCATCCACCAGTCACTACCAGTCCCAGTTGTGAAGCACCAGGATAGGACGAGGAGCCTGGCCAAATGGTGAGCACATAGATCCCATAGTTTCGCACCTTTTCAGACAAAGCTGCCATGGAGCGGTCGAAGGTCGCCTTGTTACCTGACAATGTTTGGCCGGCGACCTTCACATAGGGTCAAAGTCTACAAGGTGAGGCCCCCGGCTTTAACTTGCTTTGTAACCCCCATTAACTATATAACTATAGTGAATTATAGCTATATGCCCCAACAACCCAACAGTTTTCACCAAGTTATGTGCGTCAACGCTAAGTTATACGTGTTCAGGCCAATTGACGAAAAGAGGCGATCCAAACTGGCTCACAATCAAACACAACCCACAAACCATACATTCAAACATCAAACATATGGATAAGAAGAAAACCGACATGTGTATCATGTGTATATACATACATATATATATATACACACTGTAACTGTACATACATACTTATATAAACACCATTTAAAATCAGGGACACGAAACGACAAGACATGAGAGCTACAACGCAACAAACCCCTCTTCATGGGGATTTCTCTGGGCAATGATTGGTCGAGCAAATCATCATTTCGACCCATATCATCCTGAAATTAATTTCTATATATATATATATATGTATGGTATATGTATAGTCTACTTTAATGAGCGTCTTTTTTCCATAAGCCTTCATGTTTGCCTTTATTACTTCTGCTATTCCTAGGTGAACCATATGACGTAAACTGGAGTGCGAGGTGCAACTATTGACAGTGCCCAGATTGGTGGATTGGTGCAAGTGCAAAACATAGGTGTCCACTTCCACTTCACTGTAAAATGAGATAAGCAACAAACACATATCGCTGTAGATAATCTATGGGCCACAAGCCACACCTACCATAAAATGATATGACCAACATGTCCAAAAAAGATGTGGCAAACTCCACTGAAACAACCGAACTCTATGAAATTCAAATATGAATGACATAGGGTACAGCCAAAAAACATACATCACCAAGGATTCTCTGTGAAATGGGTGTAGGTAACATCATGTCAGGGCAGAGAAGGTAAGTCCGTCCATACAGGCCAGAGTATATACGGGGGATGACCGAACACAATCAAGAATACTTCAACAAAACTCCCCGACATGTAAAAATCACTTGTGACCATCATCCCGGCTCTATTTTTGCACATCCAAAGATAAAATGTTAAACAAATACCACAAAACTGGAACGATGGAAAATCCCAAAAAACAACAACATTGGAATCCATGCTACACAACATCAGATCCAGAATTTTGATCCGCAAATTTGTTGTCATTGTGACGCTCATTTAACCGGATGCTTTTTTTGATTTTCAAAGGATGATCATGGGCACATTTCTGTAGTTGCAACTAAAAAACATATACTGTATCATACATACGTATATATATAATATATATATATGAGTACATATATATATATGATATATATATATATATATACACGGTATATATATATATATATTGATATATAGAAAACCACCAGCCAGCAAGGTCGATGCAAGTCTTGTTTTGTAGTCCAAAACATTGACATCTCGCTGAAAGATATCAGTCTATATCCCAAGTCCTTTGCTTTAAAGTCTTGCACTGGCAAATGGCCATTTATACATTGATGATGTACTTCTTAAACATAGTTTTAAAAAGATATGACTTTTCCAGTTCGCAAAATCTGAATTTTCCAACATATATCATTATATTCAGATATGACTGTTCTTTTAGTTTTTAGTTTCGCAAAATCCAGGCTTCTTGGCCTCTGAGTGTTTGCAAATTTGTTCGCAAAATCCAAGGTGCAGTAGTACGACATGGGAAAGACCGGGATGTTCATCTGCGATCCCCAACTGGACACGTTAATGACCACGCCGCGGCCGCGACGGAGGTATGGCAACATGCCCACGGTCAGACCTGTGAACGTTTAGGTGGATAGAGGTGGGCATATCCATGTCTATACAGTATATAATGTATATATATATATATCATATATATATATAAATATCTCATATATATATAGAGATATGTATAGATGATGTACATATATAGTGATCATTGTATATGTATTATATATATATATGTATAATCATATTCCAATACCATCCAATACCAACTGAAGGTGTAGTGGAGTTTCAAACCAACAAAAATTGGAGATTTCTTTAACAAAAAACGGGAGGACTAGACCAATCTCCAACGTCGTCGGTCCATGCCCCCAAAGCTGTCATCGAATGGATTGACACCCTCAGGTGTTATCAACCATGGCAAGCTGGGAACTCCCCCAAGCTGGGAACTCCCCCAAAAGTGAACAAAATAATGAGAAGATCATCTATAGATTGGGAATTTTCCAGCAAACCATGTTTGATGACACCAGAGTGTCAAACGATTGAAACTATTGTTTTTACTCCCAAATGTAAGGCTTTCCCGCAAGGGCTTCTGACAAACAAGTGAAGCACGTCCCTTTACACTGCTTGGTGAAGAACGGGATTCCCCGTTCATGGATTGCGAGAATACCATGAATTGGTTAGTAATCACCGAAAATCATGAAGCGACCGGGGTTTCGAACACCGCTCAACTGACTCCACAGTTCATCCTAACCAGCCCAGCCTATGTGGTTCAGACCTCCCACGGAAGTCTGCTCGTTTAGGAAGCGCATCGGCTGATTCCAGATGGGTGTGGAGAAGAAAATCATGTCCGGCTTTGGGATGTAAAAGGCCTCAGGCAATGAAATTCTTGGACCCAAAAATGCAGATCTTATAGTACAATCTAAATATAATATATATATATATCATTATAATATATTATATATATATATATATCATTATATATATATATATCTATATCTGGAGACTATGCAGATATCTAAACGATGTAGGACCAGTTTTGGTCGGTTTGATGGTTTTTTTCGCACATGTGAAGGGATGTGAGCATGGGCCAGTTCCATGGGTCCAGATGATCCTTGGGACGTGGCACCTGCAGATGATGGTTCTGGTCAACTTACATGGACCTTAAAATTTGAGCCGCGACACCATACATATATATATATGTGATTATATTTATGTATATGTATTAGTATATATATATATACACGTATCTGATCATCTGTACTTTCCAACCTGACCTTAATTAGTTCGCCTTCACCTTTCACCACCGACCACCATTGACCAATATTGACCATTGGCACCGACAGCATCCGCTGGGCTCCCCGACGCTGTTGACGCAAAGGTCCAGCCTCCCGTGGGTGTCCGCGATCATCTTCACCATGGCCATGTTCTGCTCGTCCTGAGCACATGGGATCCATGGGATCCATCAAACTTTCCACAGGGAAAACTGGGGTTAAACCCTGGTCACTTCACCAAAAATATCATTAATATAACATGTATAATTATAGCATGTATATAGATATATATCTGTACACAATGTATGGATATGTATGGTTTCTAAAGTTATAGATGTTCATGCTGAAAAACAAATCCATGATATCCTAACTGATAGCACATCAATTTGATAGCATTTGATAGCTGGGTAATTGATAGCTCTTACCTGTATGGATTCTTATGCAACATTTGGATATCACAATTCTCCCATTCAGAGGATTGCATTCAAAGGTCGCATGATCCATCTCCAGGGTCAGTTCCTGCATGGGTCCTTGTAGCAACTGAGCCCCGAATCTTGCGTCATACAGTTCTACCGGTTGCTCAAAGTTTTTTTGATTATGGATTCCCATTCCAATGGCCTACCAGTAAGGCAAGTCCTCTTGAACCAAAAAGTGTGGCCTATGTTAGAACACACACACACACTTGCTCACTCACTATTTTCTCCAGATACTATACTCACCACATTTTTGTTTACAATTTTCGCATAGCCTCACCATTGTTTTGGTCGCCACAACATTGGTCGCCACAACCACCCCGTTACGGCGGCGTGTCGTACTCGTCTCGCCTGAGCATGATCCACGTGCACCGCGACGCCAGTTCCACCCATCTTCCCGAAAGTCGCCGCGGTTTCGTCGACGGTACCCATGAGGATGATGTCTGTCTCCTGCATCGATGCACTTGGCCAATGGAATTGATAGGGACGGATATTCTGTTGGATATTGAATGGTGATATGTCTGTGTATATATATAATAATAGATCTAATAGTAATAAATAGCAATAAGAATATGATTAACTATAGTAATAATAACTATTGAAAAATAAATGTAAATAAAATGTTTGTAAATAATTTTATATGTAAATAATGTTATATATACGTGAATCTACATGTCATGAAGTGTATGGATAATGATATATGTATATTGACGTGTATATAAACATATGTATGTGTATACGTGTGTATATACTAATGTAATATATATATATGTATATGTATATATGTATATATATATACATTTGTGTATACGTGTATATAAGCGGAATATTTCATTTTAATGGATCCATCAAGAGAATTTCTAATCTAATGGGATACAGTACATCTGTCTATATTTCACCAACTGTGTTGTGTCTGAAACTAGGGTAGACAACGATAGATACTGCCATCGTAATAGGACATATATTTTTTAAAAGACTGGTTAGGTGAGTCTGTCTCCCCATGAAAAAAAACAACAAACATATGCCCCTAAAGGACCAAAACCAGGAGTGGCGTGGTGTAGGTTCGGTCATCTTGCTCATAAAAGCTCCACAACTATGGGCAGATAATCTGGAGGAAATGGGATGTAGAACCATCATCAAAAGGGGTTTGAGCAACAAAACTAGACATGTAAGCATCAACTATGCAGGTTAACAACTCTAAGGGACCCAAGCTAGCAACAAGTAGTGGTTTTCAGTAGTACTTCTCTAGCTTTTGAAAAAAACAACATCTTGCTTATCTCAATGATTCTTGATAGATGTAATATTCTTTTGACCCATTTTGTAGGATGGCGAACAACCACTTTCAATCAAATCCTTGGCTTCATGGGTGCCTTATTTTTGGTCGCCATACCCAACTGTCTCATCAACTTCTCTATGTCAAACTCACTAGAGGGTTGCTCCAAATACCACAGGTACAAGGGGGGTAAAATGGGTATACATTGGGGTAAAATGACCAATTTACTCCCCTTGTGGCTATCATTTACTCATAATGAGCTGGAATAACCCTCTGAAATGGACCCATGGAGTTGGACCTTCAGCAGGGCCCGAATTCATCGAATTTTCCGAATTCATTGAATGGGGAAAATCTCCAAGAGATGCCCTTCTTCAGATGACGTGAAACAGATCCTGCCAAAAAGGAACAAACATACACTCCTGTATAATATACATATACAATATACATATATATATACATGATATATATATATATATCATATATGTGACATATGATACATATGATATATATATATATGATTTCATATTGGATGTGGAAACCCGCCATTTGTAGATCACTTCCCTAGGGAAACCATGACTTTTCCAGGGTTTTTATCCACACCTTCGCGGGGTTTCCCCGCCGACTCCTTGCCAGGAGATGACCGTCCGGTGACGTAGACGATGCCACCAGCCTGCGCTTGAACACCATTCTTTTCATGGGTTAAATATGAAAAAAAACATCCATGGGTTTTAAATATGTTAACACCATGATTAATCCATGTTAACACCCAGTTGCTAAATATGTTAGATCATGGATTTAACATGGATTTAGCAACTTGAGTTTTCTTCAACTCCCAAGTTGTGTTTTTTTACATATTCATCGAGTTTCCCATCCTTTTTCAAGTGCCAGTGGTTTTCCATACCTTTTTCCCCAGCCGTGACGTTCACCACCGGCCTCAGCCAGGGACTGAGCGATGCCTTTGCCGATGCCACGGCTGGCACCTGTGACCACACCTAGGCAACAAGACATGTCGCGGAACGGTAAAAAATGGATCTTTGGCGACAAAAATGATGATATCATGGGAATTCACATGGTAACTTTCATGTTGATATGTATGTATATATATATATACACACTATATAGATATATATATATACAGATAATTACATGCATGCATATTTATATATATATATGTATATATATTTATATACACATACATATGTGTATATATATATATGTACAGTATAATATGCGTATAATGTGGATTTAATGGGATGTACAACACTCAATATAATATTTGAAATTGTCCGAACATAAGATGTTCTTCAGCAGCCAATTTGCAGGGACTTCAGCCAATTTAATCTGGATTCAACGAATCGATCATGAATATGGTCTGTGGTAAATAGCAGTGACATAGCCATTTTATCGAATCTTCAAAATGCGATGTTCAATTCCAGGTACACTCTGTTAAATAAACAAAAAAACCTCGAAAGTGAGAAACCAGAAATGAGGGTCTATGATGTCTATGTTTATTTTCAAAAAAAACAGTGGGTAGATCCACATAACAAGGCCATAAAACAGGCTACTCACGTCTCGAGCTCAGAGCCAAGATACAGACCAGTCCGCTCAATCGCTTGGTTTCCTGACGGTGAAACCAGCTATGATTTTCTCAGGCGTTTTTAAGAGAACTTTATGGAACTTTAAGCTGTTTGGAATGTGGAGATCAACTGATCAACTTTTATTTCCAAACCATGCTGTTGAAGGGGTATCTCCCGAAACTCGTCGGCACTCAGTCGAAATTCGCCGCAGCATGGCGCTGTGGAAATTCGGCGCCTGTGTCCCCACCATGCGCTGGGCACCCAAAAAGGGTTTGCTGGGTAAGGTGGAGGGGCCACTCACTCCAGGCACCTCAGATAGGCTGCGAACTGGTTCATTGAACTGGGAACAAAAAAAGATCTTAAAGCTTTGAAAGCTCCAACTAGAACCAAGTGGATAACTTAAGTTTCGACATGGATCATTTCGCTTTGATACCTATGGAGGGCATATCATTTTCAGCTTCATCATCAGTCTTTGTACAGGAAATTGATGGGAATTGCGGTTCAAGCGCATTGGAGCAAACTGCCGATGAAATGGGTCCTATCAAGTGATTTATCACATTTCTATATGTTTCTAATGGATCGCCTCAATACTATCTTCATAACCAATCGCATCATTATTTGATGGTGTAGGTGTCTGGTACCATCTGGTACCTGAGACCACCCCCCGAAAAAACAAAAAAAAGTGTCAAATGATTGGTGAAACAACATGAGCAGTACATCATCCCAACTAAAAATAAACCTTGGCAGTTGTGATGAATCTTTTCCCTTCTTTTTGTTGTGGCTTCAATGGAAAAGTCTGCCCCCACACGGAAACCGGACCCTGCAACAGCCAATGATGCCATACTATGCCCAATCCTTTCAGCCACATGAATACTCGAGGCGCAACTTTCTCTGAGTTTAACTCTTCATCAGCCATTTCATCCACCATTTTTTTCAGCCAACCAAACCAGATATGATCTAAACCATCATTTTGGATCTACCATCTGGTTATGACTAACATAGCCATGGAAAGATTCACCATTTTTAATAGGCAAACCATTCATCCAAAATCAGATATATTGTTATTCCAATGATTAACCATAGATTAACCAGGACAATTCCATGGTTCCAAAGCACCAACCAGTCATCCAACATGACCAGGGCACGCAATGATCCAAGGGCCTCGTAACTCCCAAAACCTGCAAGTCCACCTGACGACGGATACATTTCGAAAAACCCACGAAACTTGGAGATTTCTGACTGATACATTGGATACATGGTCATGAAATATCAACTTGGAAATATCAGTCAGAAATATCATGAAACTGATACTTGGAGATTTCTGACTTGATATATGGGAAATATATGGGAAATATATGGGAAATATATGGGAAATATATGGGAAATATCAACTTGGAAATATCAACTTAAGGAAACATCAACTTAGAAATCATGGACTCATGATATATATATTTCTAAAAATTATTGGAAACTCAACCTTTACCAAACGATACAAAGTTGGAGTATTTTCGGTCCACAGACATGAGACAAACAATCCACAAAAAATGGGGTCAGCATTGGGTCAATGGGAGATACTGGGGGTTAAAAAAACATGAATGCATGCGAAGTTCATGAGTTCCAGTGGTTTTGGTGACACAAAAACTTGTTTACATGTAAAAATCACCTGGGTGGGTCTTCAAGACACAGATGTTTCATACCAATCGCACTACCTTTCACCCAACCCATGGCTTTGCGGTGAAACATCGGGTAGACACAATTTCTGGACAATCCGATTGTATGTTCTCATCTGCAGAAAAATCCTTAAAAACTAAGTGTGATGTTTATCGGCATGTATTTCCATTATATTCTATCACCGCATGTCCTACACTACTACATTACTACATATGTACTCTGGTATGTATGTAATCGTTTTGCATGAGTGAAATTAATATCTGTTAATTAGTAATCCCTGATTAATAACTTCAACAATGCACCACATTTTTTTTTCCTTGGATGTTACTTTTCTCCATGTCTGGGGGGTTGCTATTCATAAGATATATGTCACTCATCAGATTACCATGGAAACATCGTTTTTGTGGTGGCCATCTGGTTATGACATTCACAGGGCTTGCCATGGAAAGATTCACCATGCTATTAAGAACGGTGTTTACCATCTAGAAATGGGCCATCTATACCATGGCTATGTTAAATAACCAGAGGGTACATATAAACCCAATTACATGATCTTCTCGTTTTCATGGTTTAATCTCCATGCTTCATGGATAAATTCCCTACAAGGTGGTCCCCCATAGTTAGCGAAGTTGGTTTTCGACCACTCGAAATAGGCTCTCTGGTAGATGATGATATGGTTTATGCACCAACTGGCTTTCTCTTTTTGTAAGGTACCATTTCTATCCATTGATCATCATTGTGGGTAAAACAATAAGCATTCCCCAGTCATCACCATTTTCATAGATGGTATAAACTTACCATTCCCAGTCATGGGTGCTTTATGGCATTGTTTTACCCACATTATATCATATAGCTATTATAAGCCACTCAGTCATTACATCATATGGCTATGATTATCTTCTATTCATTGATCATTGTTTTACCCACATTTATCCCACATTTATCATTGATCTGGGCAAATTAAAATAATTCACTAACCTGAAATAAGGCCATTTTGGGATGATTCCCCTTATTAACCATGATTCCAGTGAGGTCGCAGTGTGGTCGTTATAATTTGCCCAGATTGATCATCATTTATATAGGTGGCAAACAGAAAAACCATTCCCAGTCATGGGTGCTTTGTTCTTATTATGGTTCAATGATTATGTTCATGGCATTTATAGATATTTATAGTTGATTTACCTATGAAAATCGTGATTTTTCATAGCTATCTTAGTCTGGTTGGTGGTTGACCTACCCCTCTGAAAAATATGAGTTCGTCAATGGGAAGGATGACATCCCATTAATATGACATGGAAAATAATCCAGCCATGTTCCAGTCACCACCAACCAGATCACCATCATATTCCCATTGTTGTTGGTTTATAGCCTATTAACCATTATTACCCTCTGGTAAACTAACATAGCTATTGAAAATGGCCATTTATCGTGGATTTACCCATTAAAAATTGTGATTTTCAATAGTTATGTTAAATTACCAGAGGGTAACCATTATTAACCCAACCAACCCACCAGTAGTTTACCAGGCATCCCTGAACGGCACTGGTGCCCCGTGCCTTGGCAGCCGCCTGGCGCGGCCGCAGATCGGCGCAAAGCTGCCGCGCCCGGTCCGTCAGCGCGGAGCACGCGGAGCTGGAGCTCTCCGCGCGGTGCGCCAGTAGGAGGGCCGCCCTGGCCATCGGGGGGATTGAACTGGGACTGGTTGGTGGTATGCCGACCCCATAAAAAAATATGACTTCGTCAGTTGGGATGATGAAATTCCCAATATATGAAAAAATTGGAAAAATAAAATTCATGTTCCAAACCACCAACCAGGGGATAAATAGGTCCTATGATATAAGGTGAACATATCAAATATTCAGGTATTCAGGTATGTATATGTATATTTAGGTTTTCAATGAGTCACAAGGTTGCTATAGCTATCTATGATATCTTAAGGTTAAAACCATTTATAGCTATATATCTATAACTATGCTTATACGGGCTATATCCAAAGTTATGGGGGCTAATAACATCATGGTTATAGCATGTCATATCCATTTCTAACCTCAACTGCAGTAGATATCATAGATGTTTACCCTGGGGTAAACTAACATAGATGTGGAAAACCTATGCTTTCCCTCGAAAATGTCGAAGTGAATGGTGGGCGTTCCACATCGAACTCTTACTTTACTGCACTGGAGAGTAAAATGCTTCTATTCCCATAGTACAGCCCCCAACAGCTCTGGACCTCGCGCTTTGCAATGCTTTCTCGCGATCGCCTTGGCCTGTGGAGGCCCCATCAGGGGCTGGATGTTACGGCGGGAGCTACTTGGAGGATCCGGAAAATGAGCTGAAATGCTTTGTAAATAGCTCATAAGTGTCTGATTTTGGAAAGTAGCAAGTTTGTAAATTGTAATCTAATTACTGGTTGCTGGTTTTAACCTCAAGATATGAAAGTCAGTTGGGATGATGAAATTCCCAATATATGGAAAAAAATATGTTCCAAACCACCAACCAGTTTTTACATGAAATCATAATATGTATGGTTGTTTTTGTAAGGGCATCAGGTTAGAGGGGAGGGTTCCAAGGGTGCCAACACCCGCCTTGCTGTGCCTTGGCCGTGGCCAATAATGCCAGGGCCTCTCCTGTGGCGACCCAGGAATAGTGGTTAATCATATCCCACATAAAACTGGGTGAACTGGTGAACTAATACATGGAATGTGGGTAAAACAATAATAATAATAGGTGGTATCAACCATTCCCAAATGGCTGGTTTATGGCATTGTTTTACACATTATATAATATGGCTATTGTAACCCACTTAGTCAATGGGATGCACATCCAAGTAGTAGCACTACTGACGAGTCAGAAAACAGGGATTTCGCGATGTTTTGCTCGTCATGTCTTCAATGAAAAGCATGATATCATATTCCGGTGCCTGGGGCAAAATAAAACTGCGCTCCATTACAAGATTCAAAGGGAGAATGCTGTCATCCTCAAAACAATCATCGTTTGCTACATATCTTGCGGACATTTGGGACCAAATGGGTAAACCTCAAGGTTGGGAAACCAATGGGTCAACAAAACCCCCGTTTGCTCGAGCAAGTATCCCCCAGGTCCTGTCTTGTCACCTGTTGACTTGAATTTCTCGGTGGCTTTGTCAGCAGCCTGGCCGCGCAAAAAAAAAACTGGGGGTCAAAACCACTTCAACCAGCCTATTGTCCAAATGAAATCTGTATTCTAGTGGTGTTCCAGTGGTCTCTTACCTCAAAGCATATCCGTTTGCATTGTTTAGCGTGCACTTTGGCATGTGATGGTCCATGTTCAACATCAACATCATCAACCCTAGGATTTCAGGTTTAAGTTTCTATTCATAGTATTTAGATGTAATTAGATGTAATTCGTAATTCACCAAAGATATCTCAATATTATTATTTTGTAATATCGTTCTCCATTCGATCAATAATTACAGTCACACAGTCAACCGAAGGCTTGGTCTGCAAGGTTGGAAGCGCCGAACGCCTCCAACGCTTTCACCCAAGCTTGTTGGAGGCTATAGGCCTGATCGAATAGGAATCTTTTCGGATGGTGAGAAAGGCATGGTGAACTTCTCCGAAAAGTAGGGATGTATTCACCAGTTGGGATTTACCCGAATGGGCATCTTCTCCAAAAAGGGCATTAGTCCTTAAAATTGCCATTCAATCACGGGGAAAATGATGCAACACGGTAACCTATTTTCAAGGGAAAACTAATATAGTCGTGGCAAACAACCATGGGGTACCCAGTTTGGGGCCCTCTGCAACGGCGCAGTTTCATCTTCAGCATCAAATCATCCAAATTTGTTCAGTTGAGCCATTTCCCAACTGTGAAGGCAGAACTCATGGTTTAAAGAATCAACCATAATTTAACATTTACACTTGTTCAACAACTATCTATCATTTAACTCATGGTTTCAGTATCAACTGATGGCCATAAATGTATTAGTTTCAACAATTATCATTTTATGCGTTCTTTCCTGGCCGTAGCAATAGATAGTTGTTGAAAACCCGACCCTCTGGCAGCTGGCTTGCCAATGATTTTGATCCAAACCCGGACGAGACTTCAACAATATGCATGTATATATATATATGTGTGTATATATATATATATGTGTGTATATTCAAAAACTATATGATAAAACCTAGTATATATATAATATATCTATGATTGATTTCTTTGCAATATATATATAATAGTCATATTAAATGGGTTTGTCAGGACAAAGGCTACCCCATTCCATCAACTGGTTCAATCCCTGGTGGAGAAATATCCACATCAAGCTGGTGAAATCCCTATGTTTCGTTGCTGAATCCCATCCCGTTACTCGGTGCGCCTGTTCTCCATGTTGGGTTGCTGAATTCCCATGAATTCCCTATGCTTCATGGCAAAAAAGGCAAACAAAAATATGCCCACATACATTCTTCATGGGTTGAATCATTGAATCCCTATGATGGGCACTACCATCTGGCAATCTAATATAGCTATTTAAAAAAAAATAAATAAAAACATCATCTGGTTGGTGGTTTCAATCCCTCTGAAAAATATGAGTTCATCAGTGGGATTATTATTCCCAATATATGGAAACAAATAAAAGGTTCCAAACATTTCCAAACCACCAACCAGTCATTGTAAATTGTAAATCACCGAACTAAATGGGCCATCTATATCATAGCAAATTATAAAATTGCCGGAGGATACCATGAAATGGTTGGTCATCCCTACCATCCCTACCTATTCTTTCTTGGTTAATTTAAACCCACCTTCCATCTGTCTCTCAAATTGGCGCTTTTCTTTCCCTCCGTATTGTCATTGAATCCCCCCACAGGGCCAGACTTTCCGATTTCTAAGGATCCAAAGTCATTTTTCAAGAAGACCACATCAAAGAAGCTCTCGTCGCTTCTCGGGGTTTTGTCTGAAATGGCATGCCCCTATACAGTCATCGACAGAATTTTGGAAATGAAAAAAGGTTCGCGCGCCGCAGTTAGCGGAAAAGGTTCGGGACCGAAACCAAGACAAAAAGTTAGCGACATTACGGACTTTCAAAAAAAATAATTTTTGGAAATAGCAATTTTCAGATCCTGATCCTCTAAAAAAGAAAAAACAAGTGAGACAAATGTCTACAAAAGCCTTTAATCCACGATGCAAAATTAATTTTGGAAATCTTACTTATCGGATCCTGGCACCTACTTTCAGCCACCCGAGGTCTTATTCTCAAGGGGAAAATTATAGAAACCATGTTGTCATGCTGGGCTGCCCCATGGATGCATGGTCATCGCTGCCTTTTGTGCAGACTTTCAGAAACTTACGTCCTGCGGGATTATGGGGAGAAAATTCTTGCGGCAGTCGTCCCACTGATGCTACTGTAGCCATAATCATGCACTGTAGCTATGGCCAAAAGAATTATGGAAACATGTCAATAGAAAAGTTGTCACCCCTTTCAGGAAACAAATAATTATGGAAATGGTCATATGCCAAGAAACACCCTCACATGGAAAAAAAAATTGGAAATTTAACTGCGGCACGTCACGCCCCTTCCAAAAAGGTTCGGTATACAAGGTATTACCGATTTTTGAGGTGTGCATTTTTATCAGTAAAACAGAATTATGGAAATATACGGCCCCGGCGCGCCGCAGTTGTTTGCTTGCCCATGTCGAACCTTTTTTCCATTTCCATAATTCTGTCGATGACCATAACCAATAGTTTAATCATCATATTTTTCCTGTTAAAAGCGCCATGCTTGGTATACCCAGACACGCCCATGAAAAGTTGCAGGAACCGAAGCTGGTCTTCCTGCGCCCTGCATGCTGTCTATCACCGGAATGAACCAGAGCTATATGCTTTATCTTCATGGAAATCACCCCAATCCCATGCCATTCATATCATATATCCCTATTAAACATTATAAAACCATCTAAAGTCATATTTCAGCCCCTATCATTTTAGTCCCTATCATAAAAAAGCCATTATAAAACCATATAAAACCATATAAAACCATTATAAAGCCATTATAAAACCATATAGTCCCTATGATTTTACTAGTTGAACATGACTAAACCATGGGTATCCCATGGTTCCGCGCCTCCGCCACGGCCACCTGCGCCTGTGCCACCTGTGCCACCTGCGGCGACGTCGAGGCCTCGAAGGCCTTGGCGGCCGCCAGCGCGTGCTGCAGCGCCCGCTGCGGCGCCTGCCGTGGGAAATCCCTAGAAAAACACGGGGAAACCCAGGAGTTGGCTGGGTAAACATGGTAAAACATGGTAAAACCCATCAGAAATCCATGGAAAATCCATGGAAAATTGGTAAAACCCATCAGAAATCCATGAACATCTCCGATTTATAGAATTGTTCGAAGAAAAATTATGCATGGACCCTGGATGTTCATTGATGTTCCCAAGATCTAGGTGAACAATTGTATTAGAGAGCAAGCCATTGACTTAAAAACATGGTGCACTGCGCATGTTGCATATGTGTCGACTTTTTTGAAGATTTTCATGTGACATGCATGATGCAGACTTTAAAATGCCTGAAATGCAGCTGAAAGCTGGCATAACTTCTGTTCACATCAAGATTGCCGGCTGGCAATGCAAAATAACAACTTGAAATCTTGAGTGTCACTTTGTAAACCATCTATCAAGATTAAACCTGTTCAGTACCATATCTTGCCAAATTCTAGTACCTGAAGAAATTCTCAGGTGGAGGTCATTCAGCCATGGGCATCAATAGACGGAGGCATTGCAGGAACCAGTACTTTCAGTGACACCACCGGATAAAGTCTGCAACCCACAGGTCATCAGCTTTTGTGGATTAGGTCACTACATGTCATTACTCAAAACCTCCATGAAATCAGTAGTATGTATCAGTGTTCAGTTGGGGGTCCGAGTCGAAGTATACCTGTATATAAGATGTAAACATATACAAATACCCACTGGTAATTTGTTACATAGCTATTGAAAATGACCATAGAAATAGTGGATTTTCCCATTGAAAATGGTGGATCTTTCCATAGTTATGTTAAATTAACAGAGGGTATATAAAAACACAATGGATACAATGATCCATCATGATCCCCACGCCTTTCAACTCTTTTCATTGTGATCGATCAGAGCTTCATCCCACGACAGCTGGCTGCGCCTTTCTGGCAAGGTCTACCTTTGCCAAGATGAGGTTCGAGGGCCCCAGCACCTGGCCATCCGCCCAGGTGACCCAGGGATGGGAGATTTGATGCGTTGGAATGGTTGGTGACTCTGAATTGATATATATATATTGAATATCATTCATATTATATGAACATATATGAACTATAGAAAGTTTGAACTGATTAATTTGCTAATTTTAATTAATATGTACTAACATTATGAAAGAACTAATTACTAGTTTACATGCACAGTTGTACACGAATCACATAATATCTGTCGTGGTCGTGGTAGACATATATACATCACGGGAGGGATGCGGTCATGTCCTCATTTGTTGGACCTGATTTAGCATCCCTTTTTTTGGGTCCATCAAACAAACCATTGCAGCATTGCCATGATATCCGAAATCATATCCCATGAAAATCATAGATGACCTGGAAAGGTTGCGTGTCCTGATCATGGAGTGGAAATTTTGGGGATTGAAAATCCATGAAATATAAATGAAATATATCCACATCCCACATTCCCATGGAAAACACAGCAGTTTTCATCGCTAAAAGATGAAACATGGATCCCGCTGCGCCTTCTCCTGCAACTCTTGGGCTCCGCCCTCCCGCGCCACCACGCGCTCCGCTTCCTGCATGGTAACCAGAGGTGGATAGAAATGGCATGGAAATGGCATGGAAATGGCATGGAAATGGCATGGAAATGGCATGGAAATGGAACTTCAGATTCAGATAGTTTGAACTTGAAAAATCATGTTCATCATGTTGACACCAAAAAATCATCCATGCTGAGGTTCCGTTGGTTCTGGCCTTGACTAAAATCGATGCAGCCTCTGGCTTTCCCAAGTTCAGTTGAGTTTCCGCCGCCTGCCGCGGAAACCGATCAGTTTGGAGGCAACCTGAAAGTCCTTTGTGACGAAAAAATTACCCACCATAGGATGGTGATCATCCACAAAAAACCATCACCGGGCAACCGTTTAACCCAGAAACGTCATTGCGAAATTCTGGGCTTGTTATCACAGAAATAGCCTCTGGTAAACATACACAAAACTATTTTTAACATCACCATGCTATTAATGGGTAAACCATGGTAAACCGTAAACCTTTTCCTGTGGGTAGAGCGGTTCCAGCCTCCCAAGGGATGTCCAAATTAGACGAATTGAACCAGTCGAGCGTCGTGGGAATTCACGTTGCAACATTGCAACTTTAGTAGGAAGTTGATGGTTTCCAATATAGAAAATGTTCCAAACCACCAACCAGTTAGTATAGGTTGATATAGCTTGCGTAGGTCCATCTTTTTGGAATGAAGTACTCAAGTGCTCAAGAATTCAACGCGGCTTTGCCCATTTTGCCCCCTATTGGCCCATCAACGTTTTCTGGCACCACTCGCAACGGCTGTCCGAAACAACGCTGGGGAGCACCTGAAGCAGCATCGCAATCTCGCCCTCTGGAAGCCCAATCTCACGAAACGTCAGCCTGAGCCAAGGCCATGGGGAAATCCTTGAACTAATGGAGGTTTTAAATGGGAAGATCAATGGAAAATCAATGAACATCATCTATACATGATGGATTTTCCAGCAAACCATATTGCTATGTTTGATTACCAATTGGGGTAACTTGTTGGTGCATGGTCCAATGGTTGATAACGGGAGCGTCTCAGATATCACTGAGGATCGCCACGGCAGGGAAGAGGGGAAGCAAACAGTATTTGAAACAACCAACAAGGCATTCATTGTGAGCCCTAATTATTCAATGGATGCTGAATATTCTTTTTGGAGATTTCAATGTCTTCCAGCATCCCCATCACTACTGCAGTTCCCGCGCATTCCGTGCCATGGGCAATCTAGGATACCGCAAAGAAGGTTAAACTTCAGCCGGCTGCCCAAATCTATGGCACAACAAATCCACTAACCACGGTTTATGGATTATTTACCCATATATTTTGCTGGTTGATTTTGTTATCATCTTGGATCCTAATTTTACATGGAAAATGATTGTACATTTTTTAAGGTTTTCCATGATATCCCTCTTATCTCCCTGTTATATCTCTACTGACTCTACTATATCTCCAGTAAAATGGCCAAGGTACAGCTTCTCCCGCAAGGGCCGCAGGGCCGTGTCGCGCTTTGCCGACTCCTGAAACCAGCCATTGCAACCATGGAACCGACATCAACAATCTCCCATGATAGGTCGAGGATATATGTTGTATCCAATATTTCCATCGGTTATCAATATGCTGCCAGTTTTACATCCAATTTTACCATGTTTTATCAATTTTTACATCCACTATTTCCATGGCTTATCCATGGGTTCTTCTCAGATCTCTTGTTTTTTTTCCCCTGCTGCGAAAAAAGCCGATCCGCCGTGGCCCGATCCCTGGGATCGGACAGGAGCACCTCAGGGCTGAGAGTCATCACACTGCCCAGTTTCCCCTGGAAGTTCTTGGCATTTTGCAGTGCGCCTAAGCCTCCCGAGCCCCTTGGCATGCTGGATTTCGGCCATGTCTTGAGATGGTGGATTTCAGCAGAAATCGAGGGTTAGCCATCCAAAAAAAGGGGATTTCGCCAATTGATGGGGATTTTGGGGATTGAAATATCACCATTTGATGTAACATGATTTAACCAATGAAGAATGGACATGGGTCTAAGATGGTTTAAGTAACATCACGGCGTAACTGATTTTTGGGGATAAACATTTTTGTCGAACTGGCAGGGTTTGCCCCCAGAATTTTATGGTCATTAGATGATGGGCATGACATGGCATGACGATAAACCATGATGGGCGCTTGTCCCAACACGACTTGCTTGAACAACCATGGAATCTCTAGAAACTGATTGGAGATTCCATGTTGTTTTTTTTTAACACGGAAAAACGATGGTTGTTCCCACGTCCCATCACAACGTCTCATGACATCCATGGTGGACTACATTGACCAGGTGGACGTCCACTTTTTCACCAGTCCAATGATTCCTCAGAAACCATGGTTTTTCGCGGAAAAACATCGACCATAGAGGCTGGGATGAATGTCAACCCCGGATTATAATAAATCCATGGTCTATGAAAATTAGGGGGTACTCCTACAATAGTCATAATCTGATACTTGAATGGTACACCCCCAGTTAAACAGCCGTTTGGGGTTTATTGATCCGGATTTGACATTACAAGGGACACCTGCTCCTTTTTTTCGCCCCGCCGCCTAGTTCTTTGAAGAGGAGGAGTGCAGAAAGGGCATAGCCCTCGGCATCTGATGTCTCATTCACCTGGCGGACGACCTAATGGGGTAAACCCCCATAAACCGATCATTTAAGGGGATGACTTCTACCTGGTGAAATTGGGAATGGTTTATTGTTGGGTTTACCACATTATTTAGAACCTTCAACCAGAGATGAATATAGCCTGATCGAAAATCATGCCAGCATGCCACATCTGACCCCGTCTCTGCTGTTGACATGGGGTGTTCACAGAAGCAGAGGCGACTGCCAGTTGGCAACATCACCTCTGTGGCCCCTGAAAAATACTAGTCGAACAGGATCAGGATTGTCAACCCATTTCTTGGCGGGAAAACAAACGAATCTATTGGTTGACAATCATGAATTATCACCATTTGATGATGTTTTAACCACTATCAACCCATTTGTTGGATGGTGATACTATCAAATATCAAACCACCAACCAAATAATCGCTACGTATGTGTATACAAAATTGTTCTGTATATACACATATATATATATATACTTACATCATCTAGTGATTAAATCGTTTAAATCCCATCATTTCCCCAGGTCTTTCGTCTCAATCTTTTGTGGATCAGCCAGGGAGCCAGGGAGGACGACCATCCCAATCTTTGGCAGCCCTACCATGAATGGATTGATCGCCAAAGACCGGGTTTCTGAATGGTTTTTCCACATCTTTTTGGATGTTTACCCTAGGGATCCCTAATTAGATCTGGAGAATGGTCCATTTGTTGATGATTTCCCTATTAAAAATGGTGATTTTCCACATCTATGTTATGTTTGCCCCAGGGTAGGGTCAAATTCCCCATTTCAAACGATGGCGAAATCCCCTCCTGGCACCTGAAGGCATAGCCGCGCCAGGGCAATCAGCGCAGAGGCGCGTTCCTGGCGCCATGGATCAACTAATACATCAATATATCAAAAAATAATCGTATATATGTATAATCATTAACCATAATACTACGGTTATTATATGGTTATTATATGGTTATTACATGGTTGAACAATCATACTATATATACTGTATATATATATATATGTATATACATGTTGTATATACACACGTATGTATGTATGTTGGTATGTAGGATCCACCTTTTGTCATACCTCGTCATTGCTGCTTATTACAATTCAACATCATACCCCATGATATTAGTGTTCATTTAGGGGAGATTGACCACGATTTCTGATTTGTACTGTAAATGGGATTAAATTGGGGGATTAACAAAAATAGGGGTTCCTGAAATGGGATATCCCAATAGCTGGATGATTATGGCAAATCCCAAACAAAAGTGGATGGATAGATAGATAGATAGATAGATAGATAGATAGATCGATGATAGATAGATAGATAGATAGATAGATAGATAGATAGATAGATAGATAGGATAGATAGATAGATAGATAGATAGATAGATAAGATAGATAGATAGATAGATAGATAGATAGATAGATAGATAGATAGATAGATAGATAGATAGATAGATAGATTAGATAGATAGATAGATAGATAGATAGATAGATAGATCGATAGATAGATAGATAGATAGATCGTTAGAGTTAGTAAGTATATAAGGTCATGATGAATTGTGTATCTATTTCAACTAATGATTACTAATGATCTATTTTCGATGAACTATAGAAAACTATGTAGACAATACGTCAATACGTCAATACGTACAGTAATCAATAGTTTTCTTGGGAAAAGAGATTTTCTTCTCTTCGGAATGATAATCATGAAACCTAATCCAATTCCCTTTACATATTTCACATAGAGGTTTTTGATGTCGGTCGATTGGCATTGTTTCGGACCCTGAATGGATTGAATGCTGTGAAAAAGCACAGTACCCATGTGGGATGTTCCAAACAATTGACCATTTTTGGCATGACTGAACATTCTACTTGCCAAAAATAAAACGAAGCACAAACCAGCAGAGTGTATCCCAATATATCTCAATGCCACATCTGACAAATACCAATGTCATCATCATATCATCCAACTTCATGTCTTTGATGGTTTCAATTTCCATACTGTAGTTTGAACATTCAACACATATTTTCATGAAACCACCAAGTAATCCACCATCTGGATTTCTACACTAATCCGGGTGTGGCAAAAATCATCTAAATATCGCTTAAAAAATAGTAAGTATCCAATTACCTCGTAAGTCACTAACAACTCTCATCCAACATCCAACATTTTCAGGACCTATCTGGTGCTACGTTGCTACCCCAAGTCACTAAAAAAGGCTAGACCTGGAGACCTGGATGATTTACATGGAGGTTTTACATGTTTATCTACATCAGGACAATTATACATACATATATATATATATAATCATATATATATATGCATATATATACATGTAATGTGCATACATGCATATATACACATAAATATTTACAGATATACATATACATACATACATATATATATATATACATACATATACATATATATATATACATACATATATGTGTATAAATCTACTCCGCATTTCTCATCCACCGAAGCACCGCGCCTGTGGCGCCTTCGAGGCCTCCGCAGAGGTCAACTTGCTCTGCAGCTCCCCGAGGCCAGCCACACCCTGCGATCATCCAGTGATTTCTATGGGGAAATGTTGGTTAATGTTGGTTAATGTTGGTTAATGTTGGTGAATAAATATGATATCCAATGATATTTATATCCCTGTTATCTCGGGATATACAACTATTGTTTCATTGTCAAAATATCCCAAATAATCCACAGTTTTTCTGGTAAAACAATTTTTGATGCTTCATCCCAGCATATATTTCCGTTCTTTTGTCGGTTACTGTCTGGTTGGTGGTTTTAACCATCTTGACAAATATTAGTCAATGGGAAGGATTATCCCATATATTATGGAAAATAAAAAATGTTCCAAACCACCAACCAGACTATGTCTATGGGATAAATAAGAGAAGCATAGAGAAACTATGCTGAAGATGATATATAATGATAATAAGCATGATAATGATGATCATGATCATTATTATTGCGTTGCTGCTAATTATTGTCATTGTTATCATGACCATAGCGGGTCATGATTGAAATTATGACCGGGGGATACTAGGGGATACTAGGTTGAGTGCACTTATAGCATTGTAACTGGTGGAAGTAATCGAGAAGCAATTCTGTTCCCCGAACATATTAGTTACCATACCCCCAAAACAAATTCCTGGTGAAATATGTTGTCAATGGGAATTTCAGGATCCTAAAATGGAGCTACTGTACCATATAAGGCCATATTTTCAAGGATATTCCCTTACATAGGCCTTAAACATAGGCCTTATATATGGTGGGTACCTCCAATCAATGGCTTCCTGAAATGGTTGATATTGGATCTGATCATTTGGGTATGGCATTATCCATTGCCTGTTTTGGAAACGGAATTTCATCACTAACTTTCATTCAAACATACGAGAAATTGGGGAAACATCGGGACAGGATGAAATTGCCGAGAACAGCAATTTCGTTGCTGCTGCGGAAAAATGATGTTTTAATGGGTGCGAATAAAACATTTGATGCAAACAAATTCATTGCGGAAGAGTGCTAATTACAAAATGGTGGAATAGAATGACATAGAATGGAACCAATAAATGTGTAGGAACAAGAATGTGGTTCTGGTTGGTGGTTTCAACCCCTCTGAAAAACATTAATTAGTCAGTTGGGATTATTATTCCCACTATATGGAAAAATAAGACATGTTCCAAACCACCAACTAGGGTCGTGAGGTTAAGTACAGTAGATGGCCACCTGTCTGTGGAGTTTTTTTGATTGCCTCAGTGGGCTTATCATCCTAGGTGAATGCAAACTTAGAAATAAACAAATGCACCAAACCAGTTACTGCAGTCCTTTGATGTACTTGGGATTTTGAGGTGATGCAACGGGTTGGCAGGAACCAAACCATGCAAAAAAATCGGATGACAGCACCAAATACCACACCGAAGCAAAAAAGGAAACATTCTTAATGGTACTCACAGTTCACATTTTCGGGGTTTGCCATCTCTATATACATTGACTCCACCTACAGAATCAAAGTTGTACCCTCTGGTTATTTAACATAGCCATGGAAAGATCCACCATTTCTAAGTTCGGCAAACCATCTATAAATGGGTCATTTTCCATGGCTATGTTAAATAACCAGAGGGTATATTGTACCTATTCTTTCTATCCCCAATCATTGTCGGCGAAGTCGGCAATGTGTGGCTTCCACTCGGACGATTCCCGAAGATAGGATCCACAAAATTTTTGTCCAACCTAAGCGAACTATGTATTACTCATGATTACTGAATATATATATATAGTTACTATATATATATAGTTATTATATATATATAGTTACTATATATACATATATATATATATATATCATATACTTTTTTATTTTTTAGAAACCGGCAACTTTCGGGAGGATTCCCTTCTGCTCAGCCAGTTTTGTATGCTGAGGTCGGCCTTTGGCACAGCTGCAGCATAAAGTGAGCTCCTGACTCAGGTGGAAACACCAAGGAGTGGTGCATCTGAACTATGCTCTGCCAAACTTGAGTCTTCAACATCACATAAATCTCCAAGTGTGGGATCTCCAAAATCTGCAAAACCCGAACTTAAAGTCTGCAAAACATAGTAAAACAGAAAAACAAATCTGGCCTCAGGGTTCTCATTTTGATCCACAACTGTTTGAGATCTTTGGGAGTGACAATTCTGCATCCTGGCCATTGAACCTCACAAGTCTATCCATTAATCTCTACAGTTGCCCAAAATCCCATTAAACATGAGAACCTCAAATTGTTTGATTGCGGAGGGTCTTATCCTTTTGGCAAAATTTATTGAAGTTTTGCTCGCCTAAGATTCATCAAGTTTCATGACATTTGTTGATGATATCCCAATTTCTGTCTTCAACTGCTGATTACCCTCTGGTAAACGTTTACATAACTATGGAAAGATCCACCATTCTTAATGGCTAAATCCACTATCTATGGTCATTTTCAATAGCTTTTTGTTAACGTTTACCAGAGCAAAATATCCTCATTTCTGGGCCGTTTGGTGTTCGAACTGTGTATCCCACCAAATCCTGGACCTTTTGATGGTTGGTTTGACCCCGCTACCTCTGAACTCATACATTTATGGTTGGCATTTATAGTTGATTTACCTATGAAAATAGTGATTTTTCATAGCTATCTTGGTCTGGTTGGTGGTTGACCTACCCCTCTGAAAAATATATGAGTTCGTCAATGGGAAGGATGACATCCCATTAATATGAAATGGAAAATAAAAGCCATGTTCCAGTCACCACCAACCAGATAACCAGCACATGTCGATTTCAACCCCCGACCCCCTGATTTTTTAGATGAAATTGGATAGTTTCCATAAGACGGTTTGCTTTTTCCCACACCACTCTGCAACTTTCATTGGGTGTTCAACTATACTGCTGCTGAACAAATAACTGTTCTTACCAAATATCCAAATTAAAAACAAATCCAATCAATAGTTCAATAGTTGCTGCTTATATCCCCATTCATGTTGACAGAATGTTTGATCTGGGGATATAGTAACTTCTATCCCCAGACATGGTAAGTATGAAAGTAACTGTTGATTGCGGATATATCCCAATTGTTGCTGCGGATCCGTCCCAGCATGCTAACATATATATATATATATAAATAATAATAATAATAAATAAATAATAATAATAATAATAAATATATATATAAATGATATATTATGTATGTATATATATAATGTATATACTGATATGGGGATATTGATGGATATAGCCACTTCTATCCCCATTCATGTGAACAGCTGGTTCATATCGCCACTTTTATATGGCTATGAGTTACAACCCAGCCAAATGGTATCCTAAGTATCCCTAAGTCATAGCTGGTATAGCTGGATGTTTATTCCCCAAGTGAGTTGTGTTTTTTTTCCTTGCTAAACTGCAATACACAAATTAGGACACCTACGCGGGGCCTACGCAAACCACTCCTCCCAAGCAAAACTGCCTACGCGAGGGTTACCTTTCAAGAAGTGCCTACGCGGTTGCCTCCGCGAAAGTTGCTGCAACGATCTCTTTACTTGACGTGATGTGATCACAATTCTGGTTCAGAAGAGGAATAGAAAGAATTGGAAGATGACGATTCTTTGGGTGACTTGTGAAAGGAAGGCGGAAGCCTCATCAAGAGTGGAGCACTGTGTCATGATGTGATCGGCAGTCATGATGAACTCATGGAAACATTAGAAAAGTGAAACGGTAAGACTTTGATGGGCTACGGGCCACAATTTGACCTAGGGCCTCCGCGTTTCCTACGCGAGGGCCTACGCGGAGCCTACGCGAAAATCCGAACCGAAAATGGCTGTTCGAAAACTTGGCACTTGTAATTTTCTGAAAAAGCGCTTGTTTCTTTAATCTCCCCTTTCTTCCAGCTAAACATATGAACCATACAATCCAGTTTGCATTTAAAATCATTGTAAGCCACCAAGAAAAACAAGAGTTCGAGGTCAGAAACAAACAATCTAGAACATCCAAACAAGTGCCTACGCGAGACTGCCTACGCAGCCTCTCCTACATTATCCTACGTATATGCCTACGCGAAACCTACGCACCAAGCAGAATAGCCTACGCATGAATGATGTGAGTTCCTCCTCAATCTAAATTCCATCATCTGGAAAAAAACGTGGCTCAAGTGATATGGCAGTGTGTCAAAACCTTGTACCCCTGGTGAACATCAAAATAGCTGGTAAATGGATGTTCATCCCACTAAAAATGTATCTATAGGTATTGACCCATACCCATATGGTAGTTTTATGTTTAAATTCTCCAATCGAGCATCGCTTGCGTCAGCACCCCCTCTGCAGCGCCCCATGTGGCCGCCATGGCCCCGCAGGTCACGTTGCGGCGGCGGCGCAGCTTGGACCAAACGGCGTGGTTGGGGCGGTTGGGGCTGGGATACCATGGATATCATCAAGAAATGGTGGGTTGAGCCATGAAGAAATGGGAGTGAACCATGATACCCATCAAGCACAGGGTTTGATCAATGAATGATATCGGACATGCACAATTTAGCTGGTATCCAATTCCAAAATGTAGTGGTAAATTCTTTCTTTTCTGCATCTTTTGGTGGGCTTACCATGACCAGTCAACTTCCAAACACTGGGACGTTGACAACTAACAGCTGGGAATGCTGGGAATGTTCATAAGGTGATGCATTGCACCAAACAAACTTTGGGATGGCGCCAGCAGGAATTGGAATAAGCAACTTTGGAACAAGTCAGGAGACGGTACATATGAACATGAAGGCCTGTTACCCTCTGGCAATCAATCGTGGCAATGGAAAATCCAATATAAAATTTATGGAAGATTTTCCCTCTTAAACCTCCATTTATAGGAGATTTTCAAGCCAGCCACGTGGCTTAATATCGGAGGGTAAATGAAAGTTCTGCAAGGAACATCATAGGACTGCAACGCCTACCTGGTGAGATAGGGGCTTTTAGTTTTTGAATCAATAATGTTAACATCTCCCACAAGTAAAACCTGTCATAGTATGTAGTGGAAACCCCGAGAAAAGGTAGACACGTCTCTGCCCAGTTCTCTTCATCATAGCGAAGTTAAGACATACTTTAGCCAGGAATATGGTAGATGGTTTCCTCTAGATTTTGGAAACATATCCCATCAAAATGGCTTAAAACACATCATCTTTCACACCATCAGCTCCGCGGAGCCCATCAGCAGCACAGGTCGTTTTGAATCCGTCACCACGTTCGACAGGTTGGCATTAGGTTACAGCACGGCAGCATTGGTCGGCACTCAGCAAGCTGGCTCCGCTGGCTCCTAGGAGAGGGCGATAGCTGTGATTCACTCCAGGATTGCCACAGAACCTGATTTAGTAAGATGGGGGCACGATTTATAAATCATAGACATATAGAAATATATGGAAATATCAACCAGATAGACATATAGAAATATATGGAAATATCAGAATGTTGGGGAGCCCCCCTACTAGCAATCTGGGCTAAAAAATATCCTGGGTTGGAATTTGGAATTGACCGTTGTTCTATTGGTAGTTTGTTTACGTCCCCTAGTTTTACGGCCTGTGTATTTTTCTAAAGTTTAGGATCAACATGTATTAAACCTTTCATGTTTCTGGGATTTTTTTTGAGGTGTATCTAACCTGGTTGGTGGTTTCAACCCCTCTGAAAAATATGAGTTCGTCACTGGGAAGGAGTATCCCATATATATATGTAACATATATCATGGAAAATAAAACATGTTTGAAACCACCAACCAGTAACCCAAAATAGCAATCTGTCCAGCCTTTTTCCACTGGTCCGCCGCCTTTATCCAGTGGCTTACCATCATTTTCTGCGACTGGCCGCTTGGATGGTCCCTATTTTCCAAGTTGGTCGCATATCCCGTTGTATTCCATGATATCCCAACACAAAATCCATGATACCCTCCGGTAAACTAACATAACTATGGACAATCACCATTTTTTATGGCTAAATCCACTATAAATGGCCATTTTCAATAGCGAACTGTTAGTTTACCAGAGGGTATCCGTTTATATGCCCACAACATGTTGCCACAAACTGGTTGGTACTATCACCCAATTTCTGGAATACATCCCACTTCCCCTTCCAGCCATCTTCAGACTCACCCAAATGTCATATTATTGATATGTTGTATCCTGTTGTATCCCATTATCTGTTGTTTATTATATATCCAGAAATCCCAATCACTCATTTTAGGCCTGGGTTAGCTGTAGATTATGAATATTATGGTGGGTATATTGAGTCATTTGAAATTCAAGGATATACAAACCAATACAATATATATATATATGTATATCCCAGCAAATTTATGTCGGTTGTATCCTCCGGTAATTTCACCTAGCAATGGAAATCCCCATTGTTCATACGTACATCATATAGTTTATAGTCATCTATTTCTCTGGTAAAAAATAACAGTTCGCTATGGAACATGGCCCATAGAAATAGTTGATTTACCTATTAAAGATGGTGATTTTCCATAGTTTTTTGTATGTTTACCAGAGGCTATTTCTGTGGGCCATTGTCCAAATCGTCACGTTACGTCCCAAGTGGCAACGCCATCAGCGAAGATCGCCCGGCTCGATCTTTCAGCTGCAGCAGGGTGCAGGTCCAGGTCCTGCTGAGTTTTCAGCACCACGAGATATAGGGGAGATTAACCAATCTCAATCAACCCCCCTATATATCCTATATACCCTCTGGTAAACTAACATAGCTATTGAAAATGGCCATTTATAGTGAGTTTTCCCATTAAAAATGGTGATTTTCCATAGCTATGTTAAATTACCAGAGGGTAATTAATTGAGTAATATTGAGTATATCCCCCAATTTCATCCACCAGTATATATTTCAGGAACCCCCTATATAATCTATATATTTAATCCCCCAATTGTTATCCACTTTACAAATCAGACATCGTGGTCAATATCCCCTAAATTAATACTATTATCATGGGATATGATGTTGTATTGTAATAAGCAAAAGTAATAACGGGGTATGTAAAAAGGTTTAATCTTTAGATGTTTATCAACATGAATATGATACAATATGGCCAATCTTGGATACCCAATGGCTGGAAAGTCGCCATTTCTAGGTGGTCTACCTGTTGAACATGGGGATATCATGGGATATCCCTGGCTGTGATCAGCGGTAGATTGAACCCTATTCTTCCATTCAAACAATCTTAGCGTGAAGTTTTGTTGTAGCTCTTGGCAGCAAAGGTTGATAAAGCACAGGAAAGGGCGTAACAGTCAATTTATCACTGTTTATTTATTTAAGTCAGACTGGCATCTGGTATCCGCAAATGAGCGCACACTTGCATTAAGAACTATCAGAAGAAGGGTGAGCAGTTCACACCTTCTAAACTCCCGCTACATTTCATCTGGTTGGTGATTCCTGCCCCAAAAACACTGTTCATCAAGTGCAATCATCCCAGTCTTGGATGGAAGTTGGGAGCACAACGTATCTGACGTATCTGGCCCTGGGAAGCCCTGAAGCATCTCGCCATCTTGGAGGCGTTTCTTTTGCAGTGACTCTGCAGCTCTGTTCTTCTTGCGAAATCAACGTAGAAATGACACTTCGAAAGGGCGCATGTGGAAGACTCCATCTGATAGAACTGGGACAGTTCTGGGACAGTTCGCGAATGGCTAATGGTTTGGCCACGGTGATTTTTTCAGCCGAAACCGTTATGATGTTATGCCCATCCCACCATGGGCCTCGATTGATGACCATCCCGGAATGAATTGATGGGTTTTAATGGCTGCTGATGGGTTAATTTAATCCACATTGCATAGACTCAACAGTTCAGCACCCAACTAAAACCATCTGCTTCCTGCCCTTTGCTCCTCACTGCATCGCAGGAAAAAAACATATACATTAGTACATTATTACATTATTATACATTAGTATACAGACAGATAGATATTACATGCCGCCCGGCCTATTCCAAAAGGTCTTTCCGGTGGTCTTTTTACATCAAGAAAGCATGGGAAAACAGTGTGGTATCATCCCCCAGACGGGCGGTCGCGGTCCAAAAAAAAGGTCACCAATGATGCCATGATCCGATAGCCAATAGCCATCTGTACGAAAACCATTCAAAGCTCAGTCCATATTTGCTACAGAAATTGGATCAACAGTTTTTAGTAGGGGATGATGGGATGAAGTTCCATGAAGTTCCATAAAGTTCCATGAAGTCCCATCATCCCCTAGAAATGGAATATCCCATGGATATAGGATGATATCAATGGCCATTTCAGGAACCTAAATTGGAGGTACCTACCATATATAAGGCCTATGTAAGGGAATATCCCCACAAAATATAGCGGATCCTGGAATTCCCATTGATGATATAGGTACCTATGAATCCCAGCTATGACATGCTGTGAAAAGGGGATTGCCTTCACGTGGCCATAGGCTCCCCCTCTCCGAAACACGCTGCCTGGTCCCTGTGCTGCTGAGAAAAAGATCGGCTCCTCACCGGAGATTCCAACAGGATTTTTTTGGATTGAAGCACTGGGGAGTCAACAAACAAATCACATTCGACATCTATCAACATACATGTTTATTGTTACATCAAAATGTGGATTGTTCACCAAAGATTGGAGCTTGAAGAAGGCTAATATATCTGAACAATACCAAACAATACCAAACATACCGAACTCAAATAAGCGGGAAATTGAACAAAAAGGTGAATTTCACCGGCTCAGACTGTGTGGCTGTTTGTCCTATAAACAATCCCAAACAAACACAACCGATTCAACTCACAGTGAATTTTACAACGATAGATAGGGATAGAAACAGCAAAAAATAGGGAGTTTTAGCATCAAACCATCTGATTTGACTATATTTGACTAAAATATTTATATACCCAGCACCATCGTGGTCTAAGATGTCTAAGAAACGATTCTAATCCAATAAACTTGAAATCTGGCACCTCATATGTGTGGGTCAAACCAGATCCAGAAAGTGTGGAGAGTGAAGCCAAATTTGCAACAGGCCGCTTCATAGTATTTTCAAATGCACTTCCGAAAGTCAATCAGCACACTATAGCACACTATAAGACTTTGACGTTCAGATGACCTAGCTATACAAATGCGAACTGGACTGCGACAGCTGAGCTGTCACAACCAGCATCTGGACTGCCCCAAGTCACAACCGACCAGCCAGGATCGCGGCAAACGCGAATCTCGTTGCTTGAATCTGCCGAACAGCCTTGAGCTGGCTTTTGACCCCGGAGCTGTCACCATCAGCATCTCCCAAGTCACAACTGACCCATCCTTCAGGATTGCAGCAAAGGCGCTATCAGTTGCCTGAATCTGCTGGCTTTGAGCTGGTCTTGGACTTGAGAGCTGCTACCACCCTGATCTCGAGACCCCCACGTAATAGCCCTTCACCTCCAGGGCAAAACAATGCGAACGCTCCTGTTGCCGCTAGCTTTGCCTCCACTGCAACAGCCAGGAAGTCTCCTCTTCAATCTCGGCAGCTTGCAGAGACTGCGCAGGATCCACCACTCTACCAGTGCCAGAAGCCTCAAGCTTCCTATTTTTGGAGGACTGCAGGAGCCAAAATGTCTCACTGCGGCCGCTTGGCAAAGCTAGCTATGTTGACAGCATCTGTTCATAAATAAAACCAACAACTTCTAACATTTTTTCCCGTGAATCTTGATCCAAACTGCACCACTCTGCCACTCTGCCAGGTGGGGAAGTCTCCAAAAATATGACCATTTCCAGCGCTTTTTTACAAGACATCAATCGCAGAATCTGGTGGAGAGCTGGTGCATTCTCTGCCTGTATGCTATCCCAGCTAATCCTGGATACCCTGAAACAATAAAAAACTCATTAGATCTACTTAGATCTATTTGTTTTAAACAATGTATAACTGCTATATTGTAACATTATATTACAATTTTGACGACAAAACACATACGTGTTGCTTTAGTCGTTACGTGTTGCTGCAGCTACACCAGTCCTTTCAGCCCGTCCTGGAAGATGATCTCGCCGTCGCCAATCCTCCACTGGTATATCTGATATTATCTTGATTAACTACAAATAACATACAATAAATAATTCTATGTTAGTATACTAGTATACATTCTATATTAGTACATAGTATCATTCAAGACTTTCAAAAAGGAAAATATCAAGGGACGTTGCTACTACACATTATCCTTAAACCTTCCGTTGTAGACCGCTAGCCGCCCTGGAACAGAAAGAGATGGGCTGACTTCCTCAGTCACCCCCTTTTTGGATGCTTCAACATACCACCTTCAATGATTCAATGCTTATACTGACTGAAATTTGAAGGGGCCCCTCTCTCGGGTCATACAATAACCATCACTCTCACCATTCTGTCTGTTGAACAGGCCCGTTTTGATCTGTACAGAATATGATCTGGTCGCGTCATGCATTGTGCTTCATCCAAGGTAGGATTAAATAGATCGATATGATATTTGAAACATGTTTGAAACCATAAACAAAATAAAACTTGGCTAAGTTATATTCCCTCCGCCATTTGATGGTGCTAAAATGCCCAGTGTTAAACCATGAAACGGGAATGCCGATCCCACCAGTCTACCCTTGAAACATCCTAAAGCCATTTTCTTGCGGCCTGTGTTCCTTCCGAAGCATCATTTACAATGAGGCCGGGCAACATTTTATGCGCAATCCCAACTCAGAATGGCCATCGGAAGCGCGACTCATATCTACTTGGTGGTTTGTTGGACCTGTGTTGAACCTATCGAAACCCATCCAAGTCCCAAGCAACTGAACATCAAAGATAAGCATCCAAGCCAACTAAGGCCCTGAACAGTTTGAAACAAATCCATCAAATTCCCCCAAACAAAATGTATGGCTAACTGCCACCAGTCTCTGGGCATGCACACATGCTTTTTTACATTACGAATATCATTGGTTAATATATCCGTGGTGTAGTGAATGCAACCCCTAAATCTAATATGGGTCATGGGCCCCATTTTTATATTGTCTGGAAGATGATAAATTTGCACACTTAGATATGGTCATGGAGTCATGCTGGGATTCCGTGTTGAAAAAGTAAATGTACCGAACATAATTTTGACATGAAATAACATCAGCTCCCAAATTCCTGGGTTTGCTAAAATTATGAACTCCATGCAGCAAGCCTTCAGAAACACTCCTTGGTATCCATTGTGTACCTTCTTGGAGATGAAAATGGCAACAGCAACATCTGCAAACATGCTGTCAAACCAGCCATGTGGTTCGTGATCAACTGTCATTCCAGTGTACTGGTTGATAGGGACTTCCAGAATGGTCATGATCATCCGCGGTATGTTGGATCCCTTATAACCCCTTACAACATCAGCCAGCAAGGGTTTTGAACACTGCTAAATTGAATGGGTATGTATGAAGCTTCCGCACGCCCAAAGCGGGATTTCGTAGTATGTATCATGGGATTCCTCTTCAGCCATTCTGGCAATGGACAATTGCACCCTTTGATCAGGTTCATAGATGATTCGATGTCCCCATCGAACAAAACCCAAGATGGAAAAAAAACTTATAGATCATGTGCTCCAATTTAGTCCAATTGTATAAATATGTCGTTCCACGATTTCCCCATGATACGTCTTCCACTTCTGTCCTGTGCCATGCACGCAGTGTCGCTGGGCGCTCCTTTTTCTGCTCCTTGGGCAGGAGCTGGAGCCCCACAGGTTGTTGGTTTATGTTATCTCATGTAGCTATGAATATATCCACCATAAACATCCATAAATCCACTCGATTGCTTGGTGAAATAATTGACTTAAGTATCATCAATCATACATACAGGGAAAAGACAATGTCATGCATGGCGTTGAAGGGCATTTCCCAGTGTAAACGCTGTATCCACGAAGTCATGCCTAAGTCATGCCTATTTTTTCTCTGCATGGGACGCTGTCTTTTTTCACAAGCGCAATCATATGTTTTTCAGATATCTAAGTCATAAAACAAGTGTTTCACGACATTCTTTGATAGTGAAGAATTGCCTTGGCTATCGGTTGTTGTCCCCACAAAAAGGCCCTTAAAAACCCTGCAGAACCAGTGAAAACCCACAGGAATTGTTTCTGGTTGGAAGGGATGAACACCTTATGGCATCTTACGGCATCCCCCATGGACTGGTAGGTAGATTTAGGGCAGGTAAACACCACATGAAACACTATTAAATACAATAAACTACCAGTTAAACTGGGATGCTGTGAACAAATATACCTGCTGAACAAATTACCACAGTTACCACAGATCGGAAAACACATATGTGGGTAAAACAATGCCATAAACCATCGCCCAAATCAGCATTTTTGTAGCTGGTATAAACCATTCCAAGTGGGTGGTTTATGGCATTGTTTTACCCACATTATTGGGCTTACTATCACCCCAATAATCTCTTGCTGATGCTGAACTGATGTGGTCTCCTTCGCCCGGAAGACCGCAGCCTTGGTTCACCAGCACTGGGCTTTAATCAACAACAATGGGGAAAGCAAGATCAATGGGGATAGTGGATATATGTGGTATTTGCGGGTCAGCCTATGGGAAAACGGCTTCATCCGCCCGGGAGATGTTTGAAGGTGTGAAGGTGTGAAAACCACCTTAACTTCTGACATTTTGACATCTTTGAAGTTCAAGACACGAAAACAATCACCCTGACAAGATTATAATCTATATAGTTATAATAATTACATACACAATCATAGAGTATCATACGACATGCATCTTGAGAACTATGAATGAGCAGGCCGACACCTGCGAATTCTGTAGGGTCGCTGTGAGGCCATCCCAAAACAGCGCCCCAAAGGTCACAAAAAACGTACTTTATATGTATATCTCTCTAACACCATTTACACCGTCTATACATGTTTATACCATCTATATATACCCTCTGGTTATTTAACATAGCCATGGAAAATCCCTTATAAATGAGGGTTTTAATGGGAAAATCATCTATAAATGGGCAATTTTCCATGGCTATGTTAAATAACCAGAGGGTATTTTTTTTTTTGAACAATGATTTGACCCACACCCGTCCGAGTTTGGTACCTGAAAATTCAAGGATGTTATCCCGGAATCTACTGAGTACTATAATCATCATTGTCCCCAAAAAAGGCAATTTATTAGTGGTATTATGTTATACCTATTATTCCCCCCGTTTTCAGGTACCAAACCCATCCAAACCCATCTCTCAAACCATCCAGCAACTAGGAGATCTGCAGATCTCAGAGGGTGTGCTTGCTGGCAGCGTAACCTTCAGTGCCAGTGAAACTGCTGTCCATATCCACGATCAGTGGAGAACCTGAAGGACAGTGAAAGCCGTGGAGCCCTCCAACTATTGGGGTTATATTAAAGACTCTGCAATGTTTCAGTACCTTTCAGATGCCTCTTTAAACCTTGAATTTATTTGAATTTAGATTAGTTTCAACATCCACTAATCTGGGCGCCTCAGGGCCACCTCCGTTGCCAGAAATTAGTGTTTAATTCCATAACATTCCCATGGTAGAAACTTCATACTGGATCATCTGATTGTGTCTAACTTCCATAGCACCCATTCCTTGGGAGGGTTGCCAACATTCTCAAAAATGGCGGTTTTAACCCATCCCTCAATTCGAGAAACGTCGAACGGTTTCATTTCTTTTCATTTGTTGCTGGACGGAAAGCAAACACATTTGAAAGATCAAGTAACTTGTTCCATCATATCGTTTATTCCTGGTTGCTTTCTGGTGCTAGTGCTAGCCTATCAAGATCCACCCCAATGCTCTAGAATTTGGTTGTTTCAAATAAACGTTGAGACTGCATCTTTCATTTGCTTTATGTTCCTCCGATTCAACCACCTTTTATTTCGCCTTAACTGCTACTTCGTTTTGCAGGTTGATGTCTCACGCAGCAACAGCAACAGCAACAACAACAACAACACCAACTCGATACAACTTGATACAATTTGATACAGCTGGATACAACTTGATACAATGATACAACTTGTGTGCCGAGTATTGCCCCTCATGGTGTCGTTCTTACATTGCCAAGCCTAGATACCCATAGATACCCAGTAAATCACAAAATTCGAACTGGCGATTGCATTTCCCAACTTCAAACCAATGGTTGTATCATCCACTTTCATCTAGATTTCATGACCCCAGTTTCATTCTGAGGGGCCGCTGAAGGAGTTCCACACGCTGGTGCAAGCCACATGTGCTCCCACCACTCCCTCCTCCACCTCTACTACTTTGGTGCCTGAGAACCGGTCTGCGGCAAATGGCAAAATCGGCTACCCCGAAATCCATTACATAATAAGCATGCTCCCCATTGTTTGTTTAAGAGGTAAACACATTGTCAAACACATCCAAGTGTTGCTTTTTCCAAGGTAAGGTCAACGATCTGTATTGTTCACGTGTTTTCTGCGGCACCAACTAGACCTTTTTCAGGAAAAAACATGTGAGACAAAATGAGGAACAATCAGCAAAGGCAGGTAATCGTATGCAAGACTGCAAATCCACTCACTGATTTTGAACCATTGGAATTGCTTCTCCCCAAACCATCAGTTCAAAAATATGCGGAACTGCATCCATGACCCCACGGCAAATCTTAGATACCCTGCAAGAGCTTCTAGCTGAGGTATCGCCATTAAGGGGGGCCATTTTCAGCATCCATTTTTACAAGGTATTGCAATGCGTCGTTTTGCAACCACTGAATCCCGCCAGTGCCACAAAGCCATTCGGCCCATTCACCTACCCGGTACCCATCAACCCATTGACCTTACTCTTCCCTAGCTCGCCAAAGCACGGATATCAAACTTGTGAGGAAGTGGGTTGTGGGAGTGGCCACACCTCAGGCGACGAACTCGGTTGCAGGTGTCTGAAAATGGGGTATACCCCATTTTCGATAGCCATCAAATAAGAGGGAACATGTGGTGGAAAAAACCATCAAATGTTGGGGTTAGGGTACCCTATTTTCAGACAAACCCACATTGTAACCATAGAAAAACATATCCCACATGACTTGGCACAGAATGCACTGCCAGTGATCAATCAGGGCAAAGGTCAATACCTACAAGGTGGCCGCAGTTCACCCCCAGTTCGTTAGCTAAGTTTGTTTATAGCTACTCTTTTAAGTGTGACTTAATAAGTGTAAGTAGGGTCTATGGATGCCTATGGTAGATGTATCAGCTATATATCTAACTGATAAAACATAGGCATATGGTAGATATATCAGCTATATATGGTTGATATATCAGCTGGTTTAAAAACCTATGGTAGATATATCAGCTATATATGGTTGATATATCAGCTGGTTTATAAACCTATGGTAGATATGGTTGATATATCAGCTGGATTATAAACCTATGGTAGATATATCAGATATACATAGTTGATAAATCAGCTGGTTTAAAAACCTATGGTAGATATATCAGCTATATATGGTTGATATATCAGCTGGTTTATAAACCTATGGTAGATATATCAGCTATATATGGTTGATAAATCAGCTGGTTTAAAAACCTATGGTAGATATGGTTGATATATCAGCTGGATTATAAATCTATGGTAGATATATCAGCTATATATGGTTGATAAATCAGCTGGTTTATAAACCTATGGTAGATATATCAGCTGGTTTATAAACCTATGGTAGATATATCAGCTATACATGGTTGATAAATCAGCTGGTTTAAAAACCTATGGTAGATATATCAGCTATATATGGTTGATATATCAGCTGGTTTATAAACCTATGGTAGATATATCAGCTATATATGGTTGATAAATCAGCTGGTTTAAAAACCTATGGTAGATATGGTTGATATATCAGCTGGATTATAAATCTATGGTAGATATATCAGCTATATATGGTTGATAAATCAGCTGGTTTATAAACCTATGGTAGATATATCAGCTGGTTTATAAACCTATGGTAGATATATCAGCTATACATGGTTGATAAATCAGCTGGTTTAAAAACCTATGGTAGATATATCAGCTATATATGGTTGATATATCAGCTGGTTTATAAACCTATGGTAGATATATCAGCTATATATGGTTGATAAATCAGCTGGTTTAAAAACCTATGGTAGATATGGTTGATATATCAGCTGGATTATAAACCTATGGTAGATATATCAGCTATATATGGTTGATATATCAGCTGGTTTATAAACCGATGGTAGATATATCAGCTATATATGGTTGATGTATCAGCTGGTTTATAAACATATTGTAGATATATCAGCTATATATGGTTGATATATCAGCTGGTTTATAAACCTATGGTAGATATATCAGCTATATATGGTCGATATCTCAGCTGGTTTATAAACTTATGGTAGATATATCAGCTATATATGGTTGATATATCAGCTGGTTTATAAACCTGTGGTAGATATATCAGCTATATATGGTCGATATCTCAGCTGGTTTATAAATCTATGGTAGATATATCAGCTATATATGGTCGATATCTCAGCTGGTTTACAAACCTATGGTAGATATATCAGCTATATATATATATATGGTTGAACTGTTTATAAACCAACTGTTAACTTTATTATGGGCAGCACCTCCTATTACCCTCAGCATCTTTCGGAAGAGCTAAGTGGGATGATCCCCCCAGCACGTTTCGAAATGTTCTGTGCGTTGAAGATGTCATGAAACCATACCCAGAATTGCTATTTTAATGCTTGACATTTGCAAAACGATAAAATGTATTCATTAGCCAACCAATGGTTTTTCAGGACATGTGTACTTGTGATATACCATGATTTCCATGATAGACTCATCATAACCACCCTTTTTGATGGAATCCTCATGTATCATTTACACTCCCATATCATTTGAGATAAACATAGATAAACTTCATTTTCTGTTGAAGAAAACACATCTATGTATATATATATAGCGGCTCAATCCTAGAACTAGTGGCTCAATCCCTTCACATAAAACTGCTTGGCTCAATCATGGTTCGCTCAGATGTTCACGTCCGAGGTGCAGATACAACTTGGGTTTGATCCGCCTCACCAATTCGTTGATCCACGGTGGTTCATTGGCCTTGCCCAACAGCACCCCGGCTGGAGGGCTGTGCGTCACCATGACCTCAGCAAAGGGTAACTGGTTTTTCCAGTCATGTGGAACTTGAGTTCTTTCATCTATATGTATATATGTATGATAAATATAGATGTGATATATATATATATATATGTATGTATGTATGATATAAAATACTATATATATAAAATATTATATATATGAAATATAAAATATATTAGACATGTGATATTAATAATATTATATTTAATATCTATGTATATTTATATATATGATATATAACATACTATATTTATATATATGATGTATATATACATGATATATATTTCATGGTAGACATTGATAGTCATTAATATGTGTAATTTCATGTCCACGGAAGAATAACATGTCAATCTAGTAGTAGAATTATGGACATAAGATGTTTCATTGATCATTTTGGTGGATTCATTATGGATCTGTTCACCAAAAATCATTTGAAACATGATATGGATCCCAGATGCTAGTTTTTGGTATGTAAATCAAGGCAAATGGATGGAGCATCTGGGGATGAGAAGGACTGGCCTTTTGGAAAGATACAGTCCATGAGAATCTTGCATCTGGTCTCAAAGTGCAGCTCTGCGAAGATCGCTACAGTGTACAGCCTTCAAAAACCACATGAATTGTTGGTTTCTGAAAACAGGAAGAAACCAACCATTGCTATTTTTATCATATACATACATACACATTGTCATTTTCTGGTTTTCAAAAAATCAATCAACTGGTGGTTCCTTGAAAAAAATGGCTACGGGTCACTAAAAACCCTGGAATCGCCTTTTGTTCACCGAAATCGTGTAGGGATCATTTTCATTTTGGGTTTCAACATCAGTAATATACTGGATTTTCCATTTCTTATATCTGAAAATCCAACATATGTAATTATAATTTATATATATATGTATAATGTATGTAATATATATATACACCCTCTGGTAATCAAACATGAATACATGACAAATCCAGTATTATCAATTTTTTTTCCATTAAAACCTGCATGGTTAGTGCCAGCATGTCCCAGCAGCTGCCATGTTTGATGACACCGGAAGGTATCCCCATGCTATATGGTTGGCTAATGTTGGTGAATTGGATATCCAATTGTATTTATATCCCTGTTATCTCCCACTAAGCAACTATTAGTTTGATATAGTTTGATGGTCTTAATCCCAAATAATCTCATTGTTCTGGTTAAACCACTGTGCTCACCATTTTTGATGCTTCATCCTAGTAGTATATATTTCCATTGTTTTGTCGGTTACTGTAACTGCTTGGTGGTTTCAACCCCCCTGATAAATATTAGTCAGTTGGGATTATTCCTAATATAGGGGAAAAACACATGTTCCAAACCACCAACCAGCTGTAATATCCAGCCAAATCCATTGAACGCCAATCTTGGTGCCCATCAAATCATCCCAGGAGCATCGAGACTTCCAGGTATCAAATGAGCAGTGTCCTGCAGATGGATTTCACTGTGAAAGATGGGGGGTTGAACCAACAAACCTTTGAAAGTGGATGGGCCCCAAGGGCTTTCAACCATCCCAAATTGGTGGTGCAGGATTTCGCAACCATCCACAGTATCATCAACCATGGTCACATGGCACAGTAGATGCTGGTAGTTACGGGATGTTCAGAAAAAACGTTCATCCCCCCATTTACACATAGTTTTGAATGGGAGACCCTCAATCCGTCTCGGTGGCAAGTCTGGCCTTTCCAGAAACCATGGTCCATCCCAGGCCGGCTCCAACCCCTCAAAAAAAACATGGAAAATGTGCTTCACCGACATGGCCAGCAGGAAATCTTCGCCTTGAGAAAGCGCTGATGCTCTTCGGATCCTTCGGATCCTTTCGCCTGGGCGCCAGGCTAAACCTGGAGGTTTCCACACATGGGGTACCCCCAAAATGGATAGCTTATAGTGGAAAAGCATGGAAACGCCTAAAAAACTGGGGGTCCCCCCATTTCAGGAAATCTCCATAGGTTTACCTACCAGAGCCAAAAACCATTTCTGATTTTATGCGCGCGGCATGCCATGCCATGCCCATCCAGGACTTTTGGAGACAAGTGTCGATTTGAAAGGCCACATTCCCAGACTTTACAGCTCGTTCCTGGCCTGGGCTGGGACGTTCGTGGCTTGTGAGCTTGGAATACTCATTGGGTTGGTTGGACAGGACAGGAAACACTTTGTTTTTTACCATTCAAAAATTGGGATGTCCTCTTCATTGGTCAGCCCATCTCTGACCATACTAGAATGGTTTCTTGCTGTATCAGGGTGTCAAAAAGAATGGGGATGCCAATGGATGCCCCGGAATCAAGGTGCTGTACTGGTCTTCCAACCTTGGAAAAAACACCAACCATTTTGGAATTAGTGTGATAATGTGGGATGTATAACTGACATTAATCAACTTAAGATGATATGGATGTGTCTGAAAAAATGGTTACGGTAACCCCACATGGCAATTTGAGCGGGAACATGATGATAGTCCTTTGGAATTGAGGGTACCGTATTTTCAAATCAACCTAAATTGGCTAATGGACATTGTTCTCAGATTGGATTTCTGTTCGCAATTATGGTTCCATATGGTTCACATGACCACCCAATCAGCGGCAATCCCCTAGAGTTAGTTTAGCGAGATGGAATAGAACCAATGAATGGTAACATAAAAAAGATAAGATGATGTAATACAACATAAAATACGAACCAATCATCAACCAACCAGTTATCAATCATATCATATATCATATCATATCTCAATATTTGTTTGCTACTTAAAACCCATTCGAAAAGATGGTTAGACACCCAACTGGGGACACCCCTGTTGCTGGGCCTATGCTGGCTGTGAAGGAGACGCCCGATCCCCACACACACAACGCGCCGCCTGGAGGGGCGTGAGCACCGAAGAAGCACCAAGTGGCTATGGGATTCAAATGACGGGTACCCTCTGGTGAACTAACATTTTGCTATGGAAAATCACCATTTTTGATGGGAAAATCCACTATTTCGACTGGGCCATTTTCAATTGCTATGTTAGTTTACCAGAGGGTATGATGGTTCAAACATGTTCCAATATGATGGTTGAAAGGGGGATTTATGATGGGTATGATTGATTGGTATGATGGTTCAAACATGTTCCAAGAAAATGATGGTTGATGATGGTTGAAAAGGGGATTGAAGCACCAAGATTAGGTTGAAACATGTTGAAACCGTCAAAGGCAAAGATGAAAAATGGCATATCAAACCAGACATATCAAGCCATCTTGGAATGGAAACCCTTCAGCCATCCTGGTGATCGGTTGTGTAGTCATGGTTGCTCAGTCGCTTGAGGTTGTAACATGTTTTTTCACCACATATGCTTACTAAATGTTATGAACGCGTGATGAAACTCCTTCCACCATCTTCCACCAAATACTGAATAGACACAAACGGAATTCCCGAGTAGTTTTGGATTTCTTCATTTATGATCCTAAACATTGGAGGTATTTCATATTGTCATATCATGTTAGATCAGCGGAATGGATTCATTTGTGTGGTTCTAACTTTAACCACATTGATGGTTCCTACCACCAAAAAGAACAAGACCAATCAACGAACCCGAATGCAGTCACATAAAACATGTTTGAGAAAAATATTTCAACAGTCTTGTGCATTCTTCCCCTGTTACCTTACCAGTGTAGACTGTGGAGTGTGGGGTGGAGTGCAGAGTGTGGAGTGTGAAGTATAGAGAATGAATAGTGGAGTGTTGAGTGGGGAATGTAGCGCGTAGAGTGTGAAGTGTGGAGTGTGGAGTGTAGAGTGTGAAGTGTGGAGTGCGCAGTGTAAAATGAAAAATGTAGAGTGCGGAGTGTCAAGTGTAGAGTGTAAGGTGTGGAGTGTAGAGGGGGGAGTGGGGATTGGGGAATGCAAAGTGTGGAGTCTAGAGTGAGGAGTGTGAGGTGTGAGGTGCAGAGTCTACTGCTTGTAAAGTGTGGAGTGCGGAGTGCACAGTGTGGAGTTTAAAGTGTAAAACGTAAAGTGTATGTGCAAAGTAGAAACTGTGGAGTGTTGATTGTAAAGTGTAAAATTAAAATGTATAGTCTAGAGTGTGGAGTGTGAAGCGTGGAGTGTAAAGTGCGGAGTGGGGAGTGGGGAAGTGTAAAGTGTAGAGTGCAAGTGTAGAGTGTGGAGTGTGGAGTGTGACATGTAGAGTGTGGATTATAAAAGACATGAAAGTGTGGAGTGTAAAGGAGTGTAAGGTGTGGAGTGTGGAGTTGGGGGAGTGGGGAATGTTAAGTGTTGCGTGTAGAGTGTGGAGTGGGGATTGGGTGGAGTGCAGACGAGTGGGGAGTGGAGATTGGGGAATGTAGAGTGTGGAGTGTGAGGTGAAGAGTCTACTTGTAAAGTGTGGAGTGCGGAGTGCACAGTGTGGAGTTTAAAGATGTTTAAAGCGTAAAATTAAAGCGTAGAGTCTAGAGTGTGAAGTGTAGGGTGTAAGGTGTGGAGTCGGGAATGGATATTGGGGAGTGTGAAGCGGGAAGTGGGAAGTGGAGAGTGCAGAGTCTGGAGTGAAGGGAGAGTGTGAAGTGTGAGTTGTGGACTGTAGAGTGTGCAGCATAGTGTGTGGAGTGTGGAGTGACATATGGAGTGTAGAGTGTAGATTGTTTCCCCAGTGGCCTGACTCAAACTCCAGCAGCACCGGATTATCCGCTTGGCATAAATACCTGGGAAATGATGGGTTTTCCCCACCGGCTTTGGATAACCCTATGGGGATCCGGGTGGAGAAACATGGACAAACCCTTAGTTCGACATTGGCACCATGTCTAGTATTGACCATGCTTCCTGAACGATCCACAAATTCAGGCCATACGGGTTAACAAACTCCAGAAGATCTGCATAATTCTTCAGTGTCAACCACAAAACTACAGTACATCCTTTTTGCTCGTCCTGAAACAAACATGGGGCCCTGGTCATCCCAGCACCATGTATGGTATAGCCATAGCCCTATGATTAAATGCCCCCCAAACATCCCCCAATTCATGGGTTACATCATCTAATCCAACTTTTCACTTGGGCTTCTTTGTTGGTAAACTGCTCGAAACAATCCAATGGAGCTGCATCCCACATATGGATGGACAGTAAAACATACTTCCAATGGATTGGTTTAGGGGAACACCTTAATCGGAAAGCATGGATTTTCTGAATCCCAATATCTGGGGGTTCCTGTAAAGTTTCCCGTAAACCAATCAACAGTGATACTTGAAACCGCCAAGGAAAATGTCATGATCATCATGACCATCTGAAACCAGCCCTCTAGAGCCATCTTTTCTATCCTTCTTCCGAGATGCTTCACGCCGAAATGATGACAGAGTTGCCGTGCACGTTCAGTACCCAACTGATCCTTGTGCTGTTTCGTAGCGACAAAACGGTCAGATGGGAAGAATCATTCCATTCGAAAGCTCACGTGAAATCCCAAACAAAGGTCTTGTCAGGAGGTTGATGCTGCTAGTGGCCAAAACAAGGACCTTAGATCTGCAGGGTGCTGTGTAAAATGTTTGATATGCCCCTCTGCTTTCAAACATCCACAACCTGAACCAATTTTGTATAATTTTGTATGTGTGTTTTGATTATTATCAGGTCCAAGTTTCCAGGATGAAGTCATGATTGCCGCCCACCAGCAAACGATGTTGGAACTTGGACTCGCTTCCGAGCCAAAGAAGTGCGGACTTCAAGCCCAGTGATGAGGATTCGAACCATCGAAGAAAGCCTTGAAAGTCCGATTGGAACTCCTTTAGCTTGTCTTCCTTAGCGCTGAAAAATGTGCTCATCACTTGGGACCATCCTCCAACTTGTGGGGTTGAAAACAAAACACATTTGAAAACACCAGCCAGTATGGGTATGAGTTCAAGTCTGGTCAACTTCCAAGGTTGTATGATACAGCAAAACCTACACGGGTCATGTGAGAAAGTAAGAGCTGGATTTGAATGAAAGTGGGGCACCCCTAATCCACCTGTGTATCGTCAGTTTCCCTATGAACATTGCCAGTTTGGCGATATACTTTTTTTGCACACCCACACACATATATATATAATATATATATGTATGTGTATATATATATATATATCAAATCGTTGGTTATATTTCCATCATGGTTAGTGTTATACCTCCATGTTTTACCTCCATGTTTTGATAATATATCCTCCATGTTCCCTAATATTCTGTTGGGATCTGTTCGGTGTATAACCTAAATTTAACAACACTAACTAAGAAATGAGAAACACGGAACGAATAAATTTGTATACCCTCTGGTACTTGAAAACAGCTGTGTTCACAATCACAAATGCCATGTAGGTATATATAGATCATACTAGTATAGGTAAACAAATATTCTTTTCCATAGCTATGTCAATTACCGGAGGGTCAGTTACCCACATTGGAACCCCCAAAAAAAAATCCACGGCGTGGCCGCGCATGCGGATTTTGATCAAATCCCAGTGACAAAGTCCCGAGCATCCTTGGAACGCGATTCCTCATAACCTCAGTTCGCAAAAATTATGGGTGAACTCGCTGGAGGCCCTGGGTGAAATTTCATGAAGGCATACCAGGAAAATAATAAAAAAAAACATTCACGAAACTCATTAATATAATCTCTAATATACCTAGTTGAATGATTTGAATGAACAAAAACTTGATCGAACTGGATAAACACAATTTCTCAATATCATTGACAATACGCCAAATTTCAACCATGAATTTGGCCCCTAGCGCTCCATGATGACCTGAAGTTACACGACCAGTGACGAGTTACCGGAGGAAGGTTGATTCGTCAGTCGTCAGGTGCACATGAGGTAATACTCTTTAAAGGACCAATAGGGAGAACGATAATCAATGATAATCATCCATTTAAATTGCGGGTGTTCCCTGAAAATTTCACACAAACCCACTTGGAATCGCTTGGGTTCAATCGAAACTTCCATTGAGCCAGGCTCAATTTCCGAACTGGTCGAAAATTATGTGGGATGCGAGAACTCATTGTTGAACCGTGACTGCAAACCACCCGATAGAAGGGGTTCTAAAATTATTTATATATCCTAGCCCCACCTTCATCTTCATAAATGCCCCACAAGCAACCAACACACACACACACTCACCCACACACACACAGACACACCAAAACATTGATAACTTCCCTCATCTTCGCCTGAGATATAAATTTTACGGGGTGTTTCCCCTGCTAAAAGTTTCAGTTTTAGTGGGCTATGTGGAAAAATCATGAAAAATCCATCTAACCCCAGAACTACCAAAAATCATCCGGTAGATATATTAGTCCACTTCGATGACGATGCTCCCGTACTAATTGATACAGTATACTACAAAAGTTCTATAGAGTCAACTCTTGAAGTATATATATATATATAAATCATTATAAAATAAATCCATTTTGAAGATCAAGTCAACTCTTGAAGTATGTGTATATATATATATAAATTTTAAAGATCATTTCCCCAAAGCCTAACCACATCTAGGTAAGCACCATTTCTGGGAAATGTGTTCTGCTGAGACACTCAGATCACCCCCGTGAATCAACAGATCTCCCTCTGGGAGTTGCAAATTCTCCTGGAGGAAATGTGTATCACCTTGGCCGATTGGAAAGTCATGGGTTTTGTACACCAAATGCTGGTTTCAATCAAACATCATCAAAATATAGGGGTTTTTAATGGTTTTAAAGCCACCATATGGGATGACATGAACATGGAGTACAACATTCGGATTTCGGATTCATTTATTATCCAAAATCGGGGGGTATAAAACCAAACATTATGTGGGCATGGGATAGAATGTGGGACCCCATACTAATGGGTGACCAGGTTAGACCAGTTTCGGGCCCCAATCAAATTCCAGGACAACATGCAGGAGTCTGTGGCAAAAGTGGCTCATAATTCTTGTGCGATGCTCACTGATGTTTCACCCGTTGCGATGTTAACCCTGGATTTTCCCCCTGGATTTTCCCTCAATTTTCACCGATTTTTCACATCATTTCCAGCAATTTTCCAGCAATTTTCCCATGTTCTTTGGGAAATTCCCAGGATTTGCCCAAGCAAAACAGGCCGATTTTTCCCTGCGGCAGGTTGCTGATGGCCACTACTCGCAGCGTCGCGGTCTTCGCTGGCACCGCGGGCAGGGTCCGCACTTTCGGGGGCAGCTGCAGCGAATCCTGGGCGTGAAGTTGGAGAATTTGGAGGAAAAATGATGGACAAACTGGTCACGATTTAATGGATATAGACTGATTTAGATGATTGGAATGGAGATGAAATGGACATGGAATGGGATAGTCGGGATAGTCATGTGGCAACATGATGAGTTTGGGGGCAGTCTGGGTGGCATTCTTCTCTGGAATTATCTGTCTGTGCATGTACGTGTGGTAGGAAGAGCCCTGTGTGCCTCTTGCTCAGCCACGCCGTCAGCGCATTCACTGCAAATCTGCAAGGTGAAAATAGCACAAAATACTGGGAAACTACATTCGACACACTTGTTAGCTTGTTACGAGGATTTGCAAGGTATGTAATTTCTGAATTATAAATCATTCACTAATCCGAAAACAGCTCACAAGAGTTCGATTGGGATGATATGGGAGCCGTGGATGGCGTCACCAGGCGCCGTGAAGGGGCAGCGAGCTGAACGAACGTTTCCAATCTCAGATGGTCATCTCATCATAATCATCATATGCTCAATCGACGAATATCCATGATATGTATACAACAACTTAGATATATAAGATGATTATATAATACGCAAATTTATGCATTTTGACTTGCATACAGATAAGCAGTATAGAGCCAGGTGTAGGTATGGCTCAAGTAACATACAGCTGTCACGGCTGTCAAAGGAGCCATCCACAGCCCTCCATTGTTGGCTAACCCTGAACATCACATGTGCAAATCCAAATGGTCCGCACATGTTCAACCATGCCCAGGATACCGTACATCATTTTTTTGGCATCGTCAATGGGTTTCATTCGCTTGAGGTTGCTAGAATCTATCCAGTCTATCCAGACATCCAGTTCAAACAACATGGTATATAACGGCATATACATGATTATACATGTATATACCCCAAAATCGAACTGCTTATTATCATGTTCCCGCATTCTTGGATATTCTTGGGGTATACGGCATACAGGTCTAGCATAAGGTATACAGGTCTAATCTTGCCCTCCAAATCATCAGTGCCAAGAGTCCAAGTACATAAGACTGGTCTCCTCACAGCCCGGCGTGCGTTGATTCATCGAAAAATCATGGGTTGGGTCAGCAAAAATCAACAGAACACCAAGGCTTTACCACGCCAAATATGATATATGTGACGGTTTGTCAAAATGTATTCTTCTGGTTTGGTTGATAAATTGTAATTCCTTGCATGCCGCTTCTTGTTTGGTCTTTAAGATTGTGATTTATCTAAATATTCTGAAAACATCTGTCAATGATTTTAGGGAAATGGTCATATGAGACTTTCCTGACATTTGTTCCCTTCCAAGAATTTCTGAGAGGAATTTAAGTTTGATGAGAGTTCAGAGGATCTTTTCTGATTGAGATCACAGCAAACTCTGCATAGAACAAGAGCCCAAACATGCAGATCAGATGCCTAACCTCACCGTAACATTTTTCCGGGCGTATCATCATATATCATTATACATCATCATATATCATCATATATCATCAACCATAATGTATTATCATATCTCATCAATCTGATCGTGTATCATCATATATCATCAATCTGATCGTGTATCATCATATATCATCATATATCATCATATATCATCAATCTGATCATATATCATCATATATCACAATATATCATCATATATCATCATATATCATCATGTATCATCATATATCATCATATATCATCATAAATCATCATAAATCATCATAAATCATCATATATCATCAAATATCATCATATATCATCACATATCATCATATATCATCATATATCATCATAAATCATCAATCATCATATATCACCAATAAATCAATCATCATCCTATATCATCATATATCATCATATCATCATATATCATCATATACCATCAATCATCATCAATCATCATCAATCATCATATATCACCAATATAATCAATCATCATCATATATCATCATATATCATCAATCATCATATATCACCAATATAATCAATCATCATCATATATCATCATATATCATCAGTCATCATCAATCATCATATATCACCAATATAATCAATCATCATCATATATCATCATATATCATCAACCATAATGTATTATCATATCTCATCAATCTGATCGTGTATCATCATATATCATCAATCTGATCGTGTATCATCATATATCATCATATATCATCATATATCATCATATATCGTCATATATCACAATATATCATCATATATCACAATATATCATCATATATCATCATATAATCATCATATATCATCATATATCACAATATATCATCATATATCATCATATATCATCATATATCATCATATATCATCATATATCATCATATATCATCATATATCACAATATATCATCATATATTATAACATCATATATCATCATATATCATCATATATCATCATATATCATTATATCATCATATATCATCATTATATCATCATATATCATCATATATCATCATATATCATCATATATCATCATATATCATCATATATCATCATATATCATCATATATCGTCATATATCGTCATATATCGTCATATATCGTCATATATCATCATATATCATCAATCTGATCATATATCATCATATATCACAATATATCATCATATATTATATCATCATATATCATCATATATCATCATATATCATTATATCATCATATATCATCATATATCATCATATATCATCATATATCACAATATATCATCATATATCACAATATATCATCATATATTATATCACAATATATCATCATATATTATATCATCATATATCATCATATATCATTATATCATCATATATCATCATATCATCATATATCATCATATATCATCATATATCATCATATATTATATCATCATATATCATCATATATCATCATTATATCATCATTATATCATCATATATCATCATATATCATCATATATCATCATATATCATCATATATTATATCATCATATATCATCATATATCATCATATATCATCATATATCATCATATATCATCAATCATCATCATATATCATTATACATCATCATATATCATCATATATCATCAACCATAATGTATTATCATATCTCATCAATCTGATCGTGTATCATCATATATCATCAATCTGATCGTGTATCATCATATATCATCATATATCATCACATATCATCATATATCATCATCAATCATCATATATCATCATATATCATCAATCATCAGCAATCATCATATATCATCATATATCATCATATATCATCAATCATCATATCACCAATATAATCACAGTTGTGAAGGATATTTGAAACATGTTGAAACATGTTGAAAGCACCAACCAGCCGAGACTTGCTGCGCTAAAGCCCCCCAGGTGTTTGGTGATCCGTCGCACCTTGGACGTATGCTGTTCAACGAGCCTGGTGCGAAGGCAGACATTTCATAAGTCATCATAAATCCAGTCTGCTTGGATGGGTAGATGTTGATTCCAAGCATTTTTTTCATGGATTCCAACATATTCCAACCTAATCCAACATATTCCAACAACGTCTGAGTGTTGAGCCGAGTGTTGAGCCGCTGGTGATAAAAAGAAAAAGGTCATCTCAGCAGTGTTGTTTTCAAACGGACAGGTCCGTGTCAGGCCGTTCCATGGATCTACCTCATCGAACCGAGGGGATTCCAATGGGATTCCGCCCTGCAAGCCCTGTTGGACTGTTGGACAGCTGCTTTGTTCATCCACTGATCCACATTGACCACAGGTGCATGCAGCATGCCCCATCCTAGTATATTACCTTGATTGTGTACAATGGCTAGACATTCATCTACCATTCACCAGCTGGTTTGTACCATTTGCAGCATCTTTTACGACTCCTGATTGACGTTGAGGCAGTCAATGTGTCTGTCCCAAATTATAGTTGCAATTAGGGGATATCCTGCCAATACACGGCCATATTAGGACAATTACTTTCTCATGGCATTTAAGGAGTAATTAGGGTTATACATGGGTATACTCTACCCAAAAATGACCCACATCTTTCATCATCATTCTACATCCGGTAGCCATTTATATCCATTTGTAGCTGCCATATCGTTCAGCATTTCTGCAGCTTGAGCCAACCAGTTCCCTGGTGCTCCGATCCCCACTAAATCGCCTGTCATGAAAGTACTCCACCCCTGCACGGCGCAGCCGACTCGATGCATCAAAGGCCACTCCCACGTTTTCTTCCTTAACGTCCTTGGGACCTGAGTCGATCGGAGATTCTCGGAGACTTCTTGGAGCGCTTGGAAGATTTCTGAAGAAAACTGACGAAATCTCTTTGCAATTCAGAAAGGGAGGGCTTAAGCATTGTGAAATATAGGAGGTTAATTGACATTAAGACTATCTGGATGATGGTTTCAACCCCTCTGAAAAATATGAAAGTCAGTTGGGATGATTCTTCCGGGTTCACCCTGTGATCATGAATGAGCCACTAGTAATAGGTTTAATTATACACAACACATGCGATTTTGAAATTCATGGCTATATCTTGCAAGCGGATTTCCGGTCGTTGGCCGGAGTCTGTGTTCAGCCCGTGAAACAGATTCAAACAGGTCCCCAATCATCCTACATGTAGGGATGGCCAAACCCCCCTTAAATCACCACTCCGCCGCTAGGAACGTAAGGTTCCGCTGGTTGGTTCAGCTTGGGATTCCCACCGAGGAAAATCCACATCCCCAATATATTGGGTAGTATAACCCCTGTAATCATCAACCAACAGACTTCAGCTGAACACTGTTTACGTGATTTTGGCATACGAACAAGCACGATTCCCCTTAGTGAGCTCCATCCTTTTTTCCCCTTTTTGATACTTCCAGCCATCCCAACAGGGCAACACCATGTCCATGCCCGAATCAGACAATATCAGACATGAAAATATCAGGAATAATATTATTGGGAATATCCATTAAGTTATATATTGGGAATTATATATAGTTCTGATATTGTCTATTTGCAATATTACCAATGATCATATAATTGGATTAATATATCAATACATCACAGATGAACATTTATCCGTCGCCAACATCTATGGTTAATTGCGATTAACCATCATCTATGATGAGGCAATCTATTATCATATCAGGGTTACTATATCTATGGTTAACATTGGTAATTCATATATCTTGGATTGAGATATCAACTTCTATGATGTATTAACCACTATCTCAATCACTATCATGAAACTATTAAGATAGTGATACCACTATTCCACCTCACTATAGTTTATCATAAAAAATATCTTAATCAAATCTGAATCCACTATTCCACCTTCGAAAAAAACCTTGCTTAGTGCTTCACCGGTGCCACGAAAAACCATCGAAACGCCGAGCCGCAGGGCTGTCCGGTGATGATTGTGAACCAGGTGCTCGGAGTACAGATCAGCATCTTGGCCAAGAGATCTTCCATCTGCCAAAAACCGTACGCTGCCGTTGGTCCGGACAAAAATGGATCCAACAATATAGATGTTATTACAGACATATATAATCATATATATATATACATACACCATGTATCTTTAATGATAGAAAAGATAGAACCAAGGTTGAATGATTTTCCTGAAAACCAATGGATGATGAGCGAAATTCCCTGATAATTATTCATATAATTTCATGATCATTCATTGATTTTCAGGAAAATCCGTTCCAAAGGCCTTCGTCTTTTTCGGAAGATCTGGAACCGCCCAAAGGAATGTAACGAAACATTGAAATAAGATGGCCAACAATACTGACATTTTCAGATTTTCCGGAAGCGCTGAAACATTTCCGGAAGCTTTTTGGATAGTGGTTCCGTGGTACCCTATAACCAAAGGTTTCCCTACTCCAAATTACATAAACGATCCGATTTTGGATACTTTTTGGGTTCCCCATTTTAAGACCCCCCATAGTGTGACTGTGTTTGTTATTTTCTTCAACTAACTACCAACCAACTTGGTGAGATGACTATCCAAATCCAAAAAAACTACTGCTGTGGGTAAAAAACCATCCCCAATAGAGCCGTTAGCTTCATATTCAATGGCTCATGTGGCTTGACATGATACCGTATGCCATCGAAAAAAACAAACAAATATATATATATATTCTGGTGACACAATCCGGACATAGATGCCCGCAAATATCCCCTTAAATGGTCGCTTTTCCCAGGAAGTGAAACACTGAACAAGTGATGTCCAGTTTTTCGCCAGCGAAACAGTCATGTTATCTGGTTAGACACATGGCGAGGCAAAGGGAGCCAAAACCCTCCAAAACCCTGGCTACCCCCAAAATCGCCGGTTTTTATGGATGTTAATGGATCTAAAAATTCCCGCAACGATGGTGGCACTAGGTTTTGACTCATCCCATAGAATGTGAAACCACCATCCAGATTTCGCTGGTTCTATCGAACTTATTCTATACCCACCTCGCCATACAACCAACAACAAGTGTGATCACCACTTTTTGAGCCCCAATACTGTAATCAAAGTTGTAATTCGGGGTTAACCAGTTGATGTAACCATCTACTTCCAGCATTGAAATCATTAACATCAAGTCTAACCAGTTGATTCACCCATCAAAAACCACAAACCAGCCATAAATCATGGAGAGTTTCAGTCTTCCCCTCTGGTTACCATTCAACACGACGACTTCACTGGATCCCCCGCCCCGCGGAGCCCCCGCGCCTCCTTGTCCACCGTCTCCAGCGTCTGAAACTCCGAGCGGCAGAAGAAGGTGAGCTGCTCGTGGGCCACGCGACCGCTCTGGAGCGCCTCAACGTCATGACTTTGCCCACAAAATAAGGCCTGAAGGGCTAAATTTCAGGGAATATGCCCACAAAATATGGCCTGAAAAATGGTACAGTATCTCAGTATCTCCATTTTACGATCCAATTCCCATAGAAATATGGTACCCTCCAGTAAACTAACTAAACTAACTATGAGCATGACTTACGCTGGTAAATCATCATACCCTCCAGTAAACATACAAAAAACTATGGAACATCACCATTTATCAAAAGTAAATCAATGTGAATAATCTATAAATGGTAAACTAAAATAACAATGACATAGTGTGGTAAAGCCAATTCTTTATCCAACTCTTTGGGGATCATTTTCACTATGCATTGATATTTATGGTACCCTCTGGTAAGAAAATCATTATTTATAATAGTTCAATCATCTATTTCTATGGTCCATTTTCAATACTGTAGCTATAGTGGAATTACCAGAGGGTAGTATTGAAACAATCATGGTGACGACTGGGGATCTTAAACTTAAGAAACCACCATGATACAGTTTTGAACCATGAAACATATGTATCTTATACACGTCCAACATAGGGATTTAATAAGACGGGATCAACTCACCAAATAGGACTGTGATTGGTCATTTCGACCCAAAATGCTCATGGGAATAAGACCTACCTTGTCTTATGGAACCATGGATGATTGAATCTTGGATGAACATTACCTGAAGGATCTTCCAAGGAATCCTAAATAATGGTTAGCTTTGTGATCCCAAGTCCCCGTGGGGTTGTCCAGTCACGATCCATCGAAGTACCATAAGGACAGAAAGGGGGCAGCCACGAGACCCCAAAAAAATATTGAAGAAACTATGGCAACTATGGATATGGGGAGCAACATGGCAATAAAATGCAATAAAACCATTTTCACCAGCAAAAACCGATCCAACATGATCCAACATGTGGATGTCCACCAAACAAGGCGCATCTTGGTTGAACCCTTCACCTCACCACCTCAGTCTACAACTCGAATCGCAACTCCTGCCTCCTTCCAGCGCTTTTTGAGGGACTTGAGCACGTCTTCCCCAAACTGTTCCTTCACCACATCTACCCAGGGCACTCCAGGCTTCGCCATGGCATCAATGGATGCACGAAATCGATAGCTTCGCTAAGGCTGAGATCATCCGGGCTGCAAGATTGGTAGATTGGTCCATGTTCAAATGCAATCTTGGGAACTCTGAATGGAAATGCCAATCGACCCAGAGAACTGCCCCAAAGAACGACTTACCGATTAGCCGCTAGTCCTTAAGTCGACAAAGTTCCAGCGCACCTCTCACCTTTCCGGATATTTCTCCACCCAGCCGACCCTGGATCCAAGCGACTTAGCAACCGAAGTCCCGCACGAGCCTTCGGGTTACTATACCTCCAGCCCGTTGGCAACGGCTGGATCCAAGGCCAGGTGTGCCACTTGTGGATGCTCATGGGGCTAGGATGTTACAATGTTGTCTCTACCAGCAGACATTCTGATACCATTTTGCAGGGAATCGTCTCCAGTAGCAAATGCTTGAGAAATCATCCACCATTGGCAAGAGTTTGGAATGGTAGAGCTGGCAACATCTGGCAACATCTGGTGATAGGTAACAGTATTCTCCGGAACAATTGAGGGGCCGGCTTAGTCTACCATTTAGTATCTCATTTACCAAACCAGTTGGGGGTACCCCTCTATTCATCAAACAATCAGCGGGATTTGAGCAATTGCCGCCGCGTCAGCTGTGAGGCTCCGAACTCACCACATTCAAAGTCCGGACGAGTGCTACTGCAACAGTTCACACCTGTCGTGACACATGTGGCAATTGGAAATCCCTTATAAATGGATGGTTGAATGGATAAATGGATAAACTTAGCCAGCCAAACTCCAGGCATCTAAAAGTTTGAACTTTCAGATCAAAAGGCAGGCTACATTAAAAACAAGTTTAAAAGTTAGGTCTTGGACTGCTAAGTAAATGGATATAATAAATGGCGGATTTTCCGATGCCACATTTGATTCCCGGAGGGTATTTCTGGGTGTTTTTGAGCATTTTGGGACTTTTAAATGCTTTATCATGTTTTATCCACCTTCATCCCATGGTTTTTATGTCTTCATTCGGGATCCATGGACGCCATAGGGATCAGCAGCATATCGAGATCAGCCAGTTGGTTGGGTCAAAACCCTACCCCTAGGCCCTAGATAGCCTAAAATAATCTAGAAATAGCCTAAAATAGCTGGATGTAAAACAACAATCCCCCAGTCATCCCGAAATTTCATAGGCAACTTTGACCCATCGCCATGCCGTGAAGCCCGGCCTACTGCCCAGAAGTCATAGACCGGCAGGCTGCCCTGACACCGGTGACACCGGTGACCATGACCCCATGCTTCTGGCGGGTTCAGATGGGGGAGATTCGGCCAAGCATGGGCAAAGATACATATATTTTTACACCATCCCCAACCATCTTTATGGCTATAAACCATCAATTTCTACGGCTTTGTGACTAACATTATCTGAAATCCCCGACCTGCTGGTCACTTATCAGGTCACAAAAATCAACCAGGCACCGCCTCACCATTGGTGATAGGCGCCACGCAGTAGGTGTTGCCGCCGTCACGAAAACCTGTCCGGCAACACATGGCTAGGGTTAAAATTAAAGACCGCGAAGACCATAGATGTTATAGATGATTTTCATATAGATCATGTTTTAGTCTATTTTTTGTATGAACAATCCACTTTGGGGGATACCCAATGACTTGACCCATACCCAAATATGGGATATGTCATATGGGGCTGTCTAAAAACCTTGATATCAATCAAATGGTGTTTCCACGCGTTATCGTTTTTTTCCTCTTATCGTTTTTCCAAGTGCTGGCTTCACACCCTCATGAAACAATTCATATTGTGTTTTCTTTGTGGGATATCACCTTACAACCACCAGCTTCACATCTGTTTTTCGGGGAAAAACTTGCATCTGCAAAGCTTGCTGCTTCGAACATGTCCCATAAACAATATATAATGTATATGTATGAGCATCGTTATCGTTTTTTTTCCTCTTATCGTTTTTTCGAGTGAGAACTACATATAGCTAATGGGGGATCATGGCATACTAAACGAATAGGTGCCGGGTTATTATACTCTCCCATATGGAAGTACCACAACCGATGACATTTGAGGCCACGAACGGTCCCTTCATCATGGATAATCTTATAGCAACCCCCCAAACATCCAAAGAACAGGTCTCATAATTCTCACAGGGTCTCATATCACATGTTCATACATGTTCCGCTTTTAACCACAAAAAACATTGCTGTACAGAACAATCGCGAACCTGCCGTTCACGAAAATCTACCTACAGAGCTTGCATTCTGACACGCTTCTCAACTGATCACTGCCACCTAAGGACTTGCGCAAATCCAGAGTGCCATGGTCAAAGTCCACCAGTCCAGCCTCAGGTTCAACCAAAAAACTCTGAAAGGTTCAGGAGATCAGTGTATAGGTTGGTTAAAGGATAACGAGAACTCATGATTTTTAGGAGCCAACGATGCAATGTAAAGGCCACACTTTTGCCTTAAACGAAATCTGGGAGATCATTGGGATGTTCCCTGAGCTTCGTGAAGTGATTAGCAGCTGAGATTATCATCGGATCATTGTCACACTGATCTTTGAGCAATCTTTGGGCTTTGGGGGGCCTGGGTGATATGAATCTGTGCACAAGCGTGATAAATTGTTGGACACACATATATATATATGTATACATATAGAGGTTTCCTAAAATGAGGGTACCCCAAATCATCAAGTCATTAGACCGTGACAAAAAGTATTGAAACACATGGTGACGACTGGGGATCCCCCATGACTTCAGAAACGGCACCTTTGGGAGGCCCTGCATCCATCATCTGTTGGCCCTTCATCTGGCCCACATCGACCTGACCGTGGCAAGTTGAGTTTACCCTCTGGTTATGTCAAAATAGCTATGGAAAATCACCATTTTTCATGGGAAAACTCACTATTTCTATGGCCATTTTCAATAGCTATGTTAAATTACCAGAGTCTACAAGTTGAGAGAACTGGGAAGACCTCCAAGAAATATCAAGAAAAAATCTGGGAAATTATCGGACAATAATGGCAAACCCAAGGCAACACCTTACCATATTTACCCTTAATCCTTTACGCACACAAGAAAAAATAGAAAAAACTGTTCTATGCTGCAAAACATTTCCGTTCTTGCCCACTTTGGGGCCAAAAACTGGTGAGTTCAAGCGCCTCACCTGAGCTTTCTGCTTTCAGGACACCACCTTTTGTGCTTTGTCTTTGTGGCAGATTCCCAATATTTTCAGTTTCAAGCAGAATTGCAGGTTTCAATTGATGATGCAGGGAAACACGAGCATCACCAGATCACCAGTTTTTCTAGCTGTTCTCCATTGGACTAGCATCGACATCAGATTTTTTAATGTGTTGACACTATTCCCCTTGCCATCTACAAAATAGCTCACAAAGTCATATATTCTAGCAGCACTCCTCCGACTGTATGTTTGATGAGACACAACATGGGAGTTTTTTTTGTTTTTGTTGTCTTAAAATGCCATCTGTTGGTTCAATGTACATGTAACATCCCTATTTCTTGTTGTTCCATCACCATCTTTGATCGCATCAACCTCCATTGTTCATCCCCTTCGCACCCACCACCTTTTCTGCTCCCTGGGGCTCTGAGAGTCCCAAACGTCCTTGTAGAATTTCAAGTCCATCATCAGGGTATAAGCATCTTCCATGGTGTACCTTCCAAGTGGATTCCATTTCCCATGCTGACCATTGCAAGATGGGGATGGGTCAAAACCCTGGTACCTAGTGAACCCCAAAATAGCTGGTAAATGGATGTTCATCCCACTAAAAATGGTATTAATAGGTATTGATCCATACCCAGATGGCAAGTGACTCAGAAATTTCAACGCCGGCACTGGACCAGAAGATGTATCGAAGATGTTCGCAAATGGGATTTCGATGGATTTCTGCCATTGGCATCTGATTCGAAGCCTCCTATTTTCCTACTCTCTTAAGTGTCAAGGTCATCAAACAAAAACCAAGTATCATCATCCTAACGGCAGGAAAAAGACCTCGAACCCAGATGTTTCCTGGAGTTTCCTACCTCCAGATATTTCCTCCATACGAGTACCACGCCAGGTCAGTGTTTTCGGCGCCTGTAATTTAGGGAGCCAAGTAAGCCTGCAGCAGAAACCTGAGGGACCCAGTGGAGCCTCAAAGAGGAACCGAAAAAGTCGGGGAAATTCATACGGGGAAGGATCGGTGCACCTATTGATGTTGCCATGATTTTGTGAGCAAAGATCCATTCACCAACTATATGTAGGCTACCTAGGAGGCCAGACCACTCATAGCCATATCTCGGATATCTATGGATATCTTATTTCTGATATTTCAAGCTAAATATCCCCAGGATATGAATTTTATCTGAGACAATTGGGACAATTTATCTCCCATTTTCTCAGAAGGTCCGGATGCTGTGATCGAGTCGAATGACTGATGCTGGATGATATACTGGAGGAGACTGGGCCAACAGCCACTTAGACTGTGAGAGATATCCATCTGCGAACATCTGGGAACTTGGTTGTGGAATTTCCTGGCAAGCACATGAAATATCAAACTTCCGTCACATCAGGTCTAATTCAATCATGTAAGTTTAAATACCGTATATATATATAATTATATATATATATACACCTGTAACATCTCCCAATAGTACGTACCGTATATATATATATATAGAACCCACCTCCAAACAATAGGGGTTCCAGATCATGGTGGTTGATGACTGGGATAGCTTAAGTCTATTCTGAATTCATTGGGATTAAGGCAAACAAGGCAGAAGTCAACCATGGCTTTTGCATGCTTTTGCCATCAAATGGGTTTCCTGCAAATTGTCCCTGGTAGAAGTGTTGGAAATGCATCTACCAAGTCTACAGGAACACTTATATCATTTACTTGGATCGAAACTGCTTTGGGTGTCCGAAATTGCATGGTTGATACAAATCCGCCAGCCTGCCGGCGTGTTTTGTGGATGTTCTTGTTACAAACCTTGTGATAGCTTTAGCTTCACCTATAGATTGCTCCTTCAACGGAATTTGATTTCGCTGCCATACCCCCTTTCCACACATATACTGTACTATAGTCTAGTATACTCTCGTCTCGTATAGCTTTGTATAGTCTAGTCGAATCCAGTCTAGTCTAGTATAGTCTGTCCAGCACACTCACTTTGACCTTATTTCCATCATCCTCGTCTAGGTCGTCATCATCCTGATAACATCCTCATCATCACCATCGCCATCGCCATTGCCATTGCCATCGTCATCATCATCATCATCCTCGTCCTCATCCTCATCCTCCTCATCCTCCTCATCCTCCTCATCATCCTCATCATCCTCATCATCCTCCTCCTCCTCATCATCATCATCATCCTCATCCTCCTCCTCCTCCTCATCATCATCATCATCCTCATCCTCATCCTCCACCTCCTCCTCCTCCTCATCATCATCATCATCCTCCTCATCATCATCATCATCATCATCCTCATCCTCCTCCTCCTCCTCCTCATCATCATCATCATCCTCATCCTCATCCTCCTCCTCCTCCTCATCATCATCATCATCATCATCATCATCCTCATCCTCATCCTCCTCCTCCTCCTCCTCCTCCACATCATCATCATCATCATCCTCATCCTCCTCCTCCTCCTCATCATCATCATCATCTCACTTTCTTCATCATCATCACTTTCTTCATCCTCCTTCATCATCCTATCGGTGTCTTGTCTTTGGTTGCTCCGGCTCGCCCCTGGGATGCGCTATTTAAAAAAAAAAAAAAACGTTTTCTCCAAGGTTTACTGCCCGTTCGGCCGCTGTTGCGCCCAACACTTTCCATAAGCACCTGCAACTCCTGCCCTTCCTCTGCACATCTCTGCACTCACGGTCTTTTGTCGCTTGGATGTACCAAGTAATATACTGTGGCTCAATACAGTGTCATCTCGTAAAGTCTCTTTACATCTTCATCGTCTAGGGTGTCGTCCTCATCATCTTCATCTTCACAGCTTTTACACAAACACTCTTTTACACCAACCACACTTTGCAGAAAACAACTTTCGCACCAACAAGCTTTCACACAAACCAACTTTTACACAAACTCGCTTCTACACACATCACCTTTTACACATTTACGGGCACTTACACCAACCAGCTGCACAAACCAGCTTCTACCCAAAGCTGGTTAAACCCGAATCACCTTTTGCACCAAAAACAGCCTGGTGGCCGGCGGAATGCCGAAGGCGCCCAAGGCTATTAACTATATATATAATTCCAGTGTATACCTGTAGATTTGGATATTATATATTATTATGTTAAATTATATAATATTATATATATATGTGTACAGCAAAAACAATCCGGTCGCTATAATCTCCAGATAATTCAAACAGTTCCATCTCCTGTTGTGGAACAGATAGGGGCTGGACCAATTACCAGCTAACAATGAAAGCCACAAGATTTGAAATATCATCCAATACATCATTATTAAGCATGACATTGGATTTAAACCAATACTTGATACATCAAAAGACACACGTAACTAACCACTTCAAGAATCGATGTCAAGAGGCCGAAAGCAGCATGGACACGGCAAAGTAGTGATACCTCAACAATGCTTTAATGGATTGATTCATGGGACAGCGTTGTGGAACCCTGAATTATAAGACTATATGGGTGTCCTGGAAATCTTATCAATTCTGGAAATACTTGCTGCTGACCATGCTTCATCTCGAGAGTTTTGGTTCATGCTAGGGAAGTGCATGGGCATGGGGCATCACGGCAATGTAAATGGAGATATGGGTCAAACTGACCAATCCCCTTTGAAGGTGTCATTTTGGTGATTCATGATAGATACCAAATCTAATGTAAAGCCCCAGTATTGACTTACACACCTGATTGGGCTTAACATTAAGATTATATTGGGATAGTAAATCCAGGTTGCACTAAGTAATACAAAGCATATTAAGATTATATTAAAACTATTATATTGAAACTATTGAAGTCCTACTTCCTCCCAGTGCTGGATGTCGGACATCCCCTACGCTTCCAAGGTGCCAATGAGCAGCTCGCCTGGTACAAACAATGGAGGCTTCAAACCCTGAGGATCAAAAGATGGTGCTATAATTTCACTTATCAGAAAGTAACTTTTGTTTTTTGAAACCACTTGGGGGTCTACTTGGATCCTCAATAAAGAAAAAATAAAGTCCTCTGGACCAGGGAGCGTTTTTTAACAATAAACAAACAAACAAAGTTCTGAGTTAAAGCCGCTTCATATAAAGTTGCATGCCTTAAACAAACGAACATGACCAACAAAAAATGCATCATGCAGATTCATGCAGTTCAATGTCCCGAAAGCGAGGCGATTCTCCAATCACTTCCAATTTGCGGTTTCCCAGCGCTTCCAGAATTATGCCACTTAGCTTCGACGTCCCAAGTAGGGAAGGAACAATATTGAAACACGCCAGAAATGATTTGGTTACATAAATATCCTCTGGTTATTTAACATAGCCATGGAAAATAGCCCATTTATAGATGGTTTACCTAGTACAAATGGTGATTTCCATGGCTATGTTAAACAACCAGGTGGTATATCTTTGTTGTATTCTGACTGTTCTTACTATGATCCACCATTAGGGGCTCTGTCCCCCTCCTTTACTCCATGTTTGCACTGGATTGATCCAAACCAGAAATCCTTAATATACTAAGAATGATAAATGTCTGGTTAATTGTCGAAAATTAGTCAATCCAAATACAAGGCTGAGCCATATAAGTCAGCACTAATCGACAAGAATCATCAAACAATCGAACAGTTTGGATAGTTCACCAACTTTCGCAAACGATCGTAAATTGCGCATTTCATCCCAGTTGAGATATGTTAAGATTAGATTAGAGGTGTCACCAAAAAAATAGCAAACTAATTTATGCTACTTTCATGAATGGTGAATCACCTTTTTGTCTTTTCGCAGCTTAACTAAGATAACCTACAAACACTGGTATGTTTCCCAGGATATACTATCCATCCGGAAACTCGTCAACAATCAACCTATTCATCCATTCACCAGTTGGTCTACAGTGGTTGTGGATCACTACAAATGATCCACCCAAATTATTGTGGGTTAATTCACCGTGCACCCATGTACTTCACATCCCTTTTAGGATGCCTGAATAGTCACCAGGTCGAAATGTGAAGATCTACCTGGACCTATTTTAGGGAAAAACGTTTTGACCCATTTGTACTGCATTTGTAAGCAACTTATGCTTTTTCATTTTTCATTTTTTTTCATATAACATTCTACATATCATCATTCCCAACCGGAAAATAAGCACTGATTGCCATGAGTCCCCTAATCCCAACAACAACAAATAGTGAGTGACCCCAATGATCTGAGCTTGCCCGGCTCACTGCTGCTCCATCGGAAGGCCTAAGGGATGGTTGCTGGAAAATCCCGAAACAAAATATGGGCTGAATAGGTAAATGATAGGTAAATGATAGGTAAATAATGATTAAACATATGATATATTATATGATAAACTATATATAATTATGCTGGTAAATGGATGTTTTTCCAAGTTCAATAAGTAAATCACTTAGAATTGGTGAGATTTTTTGCCATCTGTTTGCCATCTTTGTCTCATGCTACGAAGGCTACTAAGGATACCAATCCAGGGCCACCAATGCCAAGTGGCTGAAGCACAAAAGAAACTACCATGAAATCAATGTGTAATCTGAAAATGAAACAAGATAAACTGGGGAAAAAACAAACTCATTTTGGGGATTATGTCACATCACAATTGGAACTCAATAGGAACATCTTCTGGAAATGAGGATGCTCCGTTTCCGATTTTTGACTAGCAATCAACATCTGTTATGTACCAACCGAATGGGTATTTGTTGTGGCTTCAGTCCTTGCGTTTGCAGAGCTATAATCCCACCCAACAATGACCCTGAATGAACAATTCCACCACTATCCCAATTGTGGCGTTGAACATTTTGACACTTCCACAGTTTTTCCCGTCATGATCCAATATGTGTCCAATGCGGAAAAAAGTCCCAATATGGCATTCTCATTTATAAAAATGGGGAACATGATCGTCATCCATTGGAACTGGGGGTTTTGACCTAAGTCAGACACTGAGCACTGGGCTGCAAAGGTGGAGATGCCGGCGGTCAGGACAAAAGTCAGAACCACTAAGCCGGCCTTGGTAATGATGGTAATGATTCAATGGATTGCAGGGATGTCAACCTGAAATCTTGGCCCTCGAAGCAATTCTAGGAGCGACACGTCAGAAATGTGGAACGAACATACGTCTGTTGACGGTCCAAAACAATAGTGGACTGTTGGCTGTTGGCCCTCGAATAATAAAACCCATAGTTGGTTTCAGTGGAGGTACCCTCAACAGCAAATCAATCATCACTCTTGGGTTTCTTCATCCGGGGTCCGCGGTTGACATTAGCATGTTTGAGGCGATGATCAACGCCAATCTTCGATACGACTCACTGGCCGATCATGGCTAGTTGGTGGTATACCTACCCCTCTGAAAAATATGCAAGTCAGTTGGGATGATGACATTCCCAATATATGGGGAAAAAAACATGTTCCAGTCACCACCAACCAGATGGGATGCTGATGGATTTTGAGCTTCTTAGTCCGTTTCCCATGACTTCCCCATGAATCATGGCCATGCCGTTGGTTTTCCCAGGGCTTCATTGCCCGGTCCCCGGGCAATGATCGGATGCGAGAAACGCAAAGAGAAGGACAGAGCCTGGGAGAAACGCAGCACGGGATGTTGGGGATGTTGGGATCCCATTTCTTTTTGGGGGATAAAAATATGGATCTCTAACATGTCGTGAGCCAACTTTTATAACATCTTATAACTGTTATAACTGATTTGTATCATGTTTTATCCATGCTCTTCCCAACCAGACACACCCCGAAGTCTTCAAGCAGATCATGGTCTGGTGGCAACTTGCTCACCCCATCACCATTCAGTCCGACAACCTCTTCATGGTGACCCATATCAAAAAGCAACTGCTTCGCTGATCGATATTCCCAGGACCGCAGGAGCTGGATCATATATACATATGTATATATATATACACTGTATATATATATATATATGTATTGATATATGATATATCTATGAAACCTACCCTTGGGCTGGGGAAAAAAAGGAAGAAACCGGAACATCCCGAATTGGATGAATGGAACCATTACAGGAGATCCTCATATGTACCGAGAAAACCCCATGACTTCCTGTAATATATATATATACACACCCCGTGAACCGTCCTTAATGTCATATTTGTTGGTAAACCCCCAAGAGGAATCCAGATGTTTGATTGGTTTTGATGGTGAAACTTGCAATTTTTGGGTGGTTAAGCCATGTTTAGCTGCCCGACAAACCCTGAGGCGCTAACCCAGAACACCACGGAAAAGGCGCACCATGGTCTCGGCGACACTTGAAGGCTACCCAGAAATGCTCAGACAGAAATACATACTGTGGATGGAAGAAATCCTGCACCAGTTGATAGGTGGTTTATCCCATAATTTATAGGGTTTTAACCATCCTTCTGGTGGTGCAGGATTTATTCCACCCACCGTAGTTGTAGTTAGTTACATATAGATACATACTGTAGATGGAACATCTCCACAGAAACAAATGTGATCATTCGCTAGGGAAACCACTAGCAGTTTGCCATACTTATGGCCAATCCATTGCTGCCTTACCTTGGACATAGCCCCCACCCACTGACATAGTGGGCAATGAAGGTTGTAGGAAAGCCCTACTTTTTAGAGATGATAGTTCGTCGCTGGCAACGTGGGTGAAGGCTATGTCGGAGCGATGATCACGATGATGCATGGTAGATCCAATACATGTTGTCTACTTGAAGAATACACCTGATCCCCTATGAATTCTGGAAAACGCAGGGGTTGATACTCTTCCCAAGTGGTGCAAGATGTACCATGGTATCAGCAAATTTTGCCTTATCTGGTTGGCAGGATGGAACTGGCCTCATGAGCTTTGTAGCTTTGTAGGTGCATGTCGAAAAAAGCTCCGGTATATCATGCATTGTGCAAAGAATGTAGTATTATATACATACATGGGACGTACCCTCTAGTAATTTAACATAGCTATTGAACATGACCATAGAAATAGTGGATTTACCCATTTAAACCTGGTGATTTTCCATAGCTATGTGAACGTTTACCAGGCCGGGTATATAGCCTTTAGCCACTTTGCCAGTCACCGCCAGGGCTTCCAGACATCACCAGATTACTAAAGACCACCACCAAGTTCAAGCTCCTGGGCCTCGCGGCGCGAAAAGAAGCCCAAGGTGTATATATTTTGAAGTCACCATGGATGTTGTTTCAACAAGTCATCCCAAATGCTCAGAGTGGAAGAGTTTTCTTAAAACCTAGATTTTGCTGATTTATGGGGTAAATGTTGCTAAATATTCCATACATGGAGCATATGGGCATGGTATGTCATGCTCATCCATGACGACTGGATGCTTTGGGGTACCCCTATGACTTAGGAACCCCCATGAAACCACTATATTTTGGTTTTGAGAGGGCAACTCTGAAAATATTACCCTTATGACTAGCATAGCCTAGCCATGGTATAGATGGCCCATAGAAATAGATAGTTTTCCCAGCTAGAAACCTCCATTTATGGTTGGGATTTTACATGGCTATGTTAGTCATAACCAGATGGTAGATGACATGCCTCGACCGTTCTTAAAGCTCACGTGCCAAAATTTGGACATCCGTACATGAGGCCATGTGCCAAAGCAACTTCAAACTTTCGGGCATTCAATAGATTCGATCAAAGCTGGGAAGCCTGGAATTCTCAGGCTCCCGGTTTTCAAGCTCCAAACATTCAGTCCCAATACAACAACATGTTCTACAAATTAAACATTTTTTTTTCGCTCCGCTGCTTCAGTTCATCGCCAATAATTGTTCCTTGTCCTTGCAAAAGTCCATTTGTTACTGCTTAGGCTTCAATTTCCATCTCGTTCCATACAGTTTCGCATTGTTGCTTTAATCCACTGGTTAAAGACGCGTTTATCCAGCAAATATAGCATCTATGGACATTATTGTATATGACTTTCTGGATATGCCCAGTTGCTACTTACTTGGAACCGGGCAACGGAACCGCTCAGTGCCACACTTTGCGAAGCCTCCATCGAAGCGCGCTGCCTGCAATGGCTGGACTTTCCAGGGTTTCAGTGGATGTTCGCTGCAACCCTGACGTTGCGCCACGTCTGACTTCAGGTGGCTATGAAGATAAAGTTTATGTTATTACCCAAATCAACATACTGTTCATAGGGGGTGGCGAATTTTGATCCCTCATGGAGATGTAGTTGATGTTATTACCCCAATCAACATACTGTTCATAGGGCGGTGATGAATTTTGATCCCTTATGAAGATAAAGTTGATGTTATTACCCAAATCAACATACTGTTCATAGGGGGTGGCGAATTTTGATCCCTCATGGAGATATAGTTGATGTTATTACCCCAATCAACATACTGTTCATAGGGGGTGGTGAATTTTGATCCCTCATGGAGATATAGTTGATGTTATTACCCCAATCAACATATTGTTCATAGGGTGGTGATGAATTTTGATCCCTCATGGAGATATAGTTGATGTTATTACCCCAATCAACATACTGTTCATAGGGTGGTGATGAATTTTGATCCCTTATGAAGATAAAGTTGATGTTATTACCCAAATCAACATACTGTTCATAGAGGGTGGCGAATTTTGATCCCTCATGGAGATGTAGTTGATGTTATTACCCCAATCAACATACTGTTCATAGGGATAGGGGGTGGTGAATTTTGATCCCTCATGGAGATATAGTTGATGTTATTACCCCAATCAACATATTGTTCATAGGGTGGTGGTGAATTTTGATGTTATTACCCCAATCAACATATTGTTCATAGGGTGGTGATGAATTTTGATCCCTCATGGAGATATAGTTGATGTTATTACCCTAATCAACATACTGTTCATAGGGTGGTGATGAATTTTGATCCCTTATGAAGATAAAGTTGATGTTATTACGCAAATCAACATACTGTTCATAGGGGGTGGCAAATTTTGATTCCTCATGGAGATATAGTTGATGTTATTACAGCAATCAACATACTGTTCATAGGGGGTGGTGAATTTTGATCCCTCATGGAGATATAATTGATGTTATTACCCCAATCAACATATTGTTCATAAGTGGTGGCAAATTTTAATGTGACGATGATCATGATGTGATGATGTGATGATGTGATGATGTGATGATGTGATGATGTGATGGTGTGGTGATGTGATGATGTGATGATGTGATGATGTGATGATGTGATGATGTGACGATGTGATGATGTTGTTGATGATGATGATGATGATGACGATTGTAAGTGTGGAGCAAAGTCCGGGTTGGGGCGAATATGTTTAATCCAACATATATATATATATATATATGTATGTATAAGTCTATGCTGAGTGGGAAAACGTATCTATAATCAATGGATTTAAAACCAGTGCGAAACTATGTATATATATATAACAATTTCCTGGAAAAATGACACCACACTTATGGGTATGGGTCAAAACTTAAGGCGCAGGGGACAGCAAATGTTGGTTATTTTTGGGACCTTGACCATCCAATTTTAGGGATGCCCAATCAAAACATATTAATTATGGAGTTGTCTAAAAGTATTGGGACAACTACACAAATTGATGCTTGATCATCGTTGTTCCATGAAAACACTTTTATATTAATGCATTTTGTTGGGGTACCCTGCTAAAATCACGCACATTGGACATCATTGGACACTCATTTGCCAAGTCATTGTTCCCATGGCCCAACAAGAACTCGACCTTCAAGGCTTGCGTGCTGCCATACGGCTGCCTCAGTAGGACAAGGAGCCTTTTGAAGGGAGGGGTTGACGCGTTGAAACGTGGCGAAAAACCGCCAACGACTGGTCACTTAACCAGATGTTCACCAATAAAACATAATAAAACATATTATTTCCAAGGAGCCAATAGCTGAGATAAGTTTGGGGATGATTTCCTTCATCATTGACTGCCTCTTGGAACGAGCTTTGAGCCTTGTCATTCGCTTTAGAGGGGAGACTCATGGTGCAACATGTATGTGCCAACCCGATGGCCCCTCTGGCCCTATGGCTGTTGGGACCTACCTTTCACTTTGCGATAAACACAAACACGCAAAGCTCTGGCATAGTGCAAAAAGTACTCCTTACTGTTGTGGGTGTGTCCGAGAATGGAGGCAGTGTCCCCAACAGCTAGTTTGTATAGAATAGACCTTATAGTGGATTCTAGGGTCTCAATCCAACATGCAAATATTGCCGTGGTGTTCCAAGCAACACTTCGTTTGCTTTTCTCAACTTCGAAACGGAAGAACTTCCAAGGGATGTTTCGAGCGCTTTCAGGAACCGTAGGTGACCCCACGGCAGCATCGCGTTCTACGTTGACACCGGCGGCTAAAAAGCGCGCACCGGCGGCTAGAGCCAAGGGGCGCGGAATCAACAGCAGGTCATACATCGGGATACCCCAATATACTCATTAAACAGTGGGAAACATCTGGAAACACTTGAAAAACATGAACAAACGTTGCGACTCTAGGTGAACCTTAGTACGCCCCTCCAAGTTGCCATGGAAATTGATGCAGTATATCCCAACACGGAAAATGAACATCAGTTAGGAATATATCTGTGTCTGCCCAGACAAAAAGGATGCATGATGCACCCCGAAATAGCCATTAAAGAGTGGGAACATTATTTTCTCATATCTCTCAACCATGGTATTTTGAAGTGCACTATTTTTGGACAACCCCATAGGTAGAAATTAAACCAGAGGTGCAGAATGATTAGCAGACCACGCCTTCCAACAAACATGGGTATTCAATGCATAGCTGGCTCAGGGGACAAGTCATTTCACATGATATCCAATAACATCCCAGTCCAATCATCAAACATCTCCCCACAATTTACTCATCAAAAAACAAAAATCGAAAGGTCAGACTTTTTCCGTGGCACGTCCCACCGGCAGTTCCCCTTTTCCTTAGGTCATCAGCAGCGTGGCCGTGGAGGCCGTACCAATTACCAGCCCAACGGCGGCGAAGGCCAAGGGCGCCAAGCCATTCACTTCGCGGCCAGTGAGGCAATAGGCACACAGCCCGGGGAAGACGAACCTGTGATCCATCAGTGGGGCCTCAACAGGTTCTTATGTTTATATGTCTAGATATATATATATATATATATATGTCTAGATATATATAATATATATATATGTATACATATATAATATCATATGTATATGTATGTATATTTATATATTCTATGATTGTATATTGGGATGAGTCAAAACCTTTATGACCATGTTGGGGGGAATACACATCCATTTAGTCAGCTATTTTAGGGTGGGTCCCGGGGTTTTGACTGCCATATGGGTTTGATAGATATAGATTGATCCCAGGATATTATGGTCATTTGTGCGCCATGGTGAAGAGTTGCTGGATGGGGGTATATGATGGGAATAGCTATGTTTTTGGTAATGATTGGATTACAATGTTTGTTTTGTATTTAAAGACGAAACAAAGAATTGGGATTGTCTTGGGGGATGGTGGGGATGATGGGTGCTCACAATCAACAATCGGAACATGGGATGAATGGAGCCCCTGGCCACCCATCCCAAGGGAATCCGATGGGCACATGTCCCGATGGATTCGATCCTCTGAGATGGGGATTCAGCCAGCAATCTGAGCTCATGGATTCAGCCAATCTCACCCTACAACAAATCAAACTTTGAGCTGGTTAGTAAATCTTCATGACAATCACAACATATTCAAGTAGTAAACTACCCAGGTTTACTCAGATTCTGGCCATTATATATCACCCATACTTATGCTTGTGGTTAATGGATCTTAATATATCTCAATTGTTAAATCAGCTAGATGCTTCAAAATTCAAAAAAAACGGTCAAAAACGCCTAGAAATTGCCTTTCTGCCCCAGATCTCAGGGGAACCGGGCCCTGTTCCGGGCTCTGCCGTGGCGCATGATGGCCGTGGTACACACCGCCGAGGTAAGGCCCAGCGGCAAGGCCAGCGCGCCATCCAGCAGCCGTGCCACCAGCACCATGGCAAACACCAACAGCAAGGTGCTAACGCCGCGGCCAAGGCCTGGAACGCGCAGAAAAAAAAAAACAGCAAAAAACTGGGATCAAGTGTGAATGTGTTTCGTCTGTTTTCTTTGACATGTCAATGTTCAAAGATATATGTTCAAAGTTTTTTGTTTTTTGAAGTATATTCTAAGTGTTTGTCCACCGGACTGTCCACCGCAGGATACACGAATATCTACTCGTATTTACTCTATGTGTCTGTAGCCAAGTGCCGGGACTCCATCCAACCCTCCACCCTCCACCTTCACCCACCTTGAGGTGCTCCGGAATCTAAGCCCTTTGTGAGGTGCGTCAGCGCTGCCCTCGCTAGGGGGATGTAGACACCACTGCAGGCGCAGGTCAATTGCAGGGCGATGGCCAAGCGCGCCATCAAACTGGGCCAATGCGTCAAAGGGAAGCCTCAGCGATCAGGGCAGCGATGGATGGAATATGATGGAATGATGGGGAGGAATGGGGATGAAGATCACCAGCAATCTCCGAACTAGCAGGATACCAAGGGTGTGATCCAGCAAATTAAACAAACTTGATTTCAAGTGGGGGGAACAATCTGGAATCTGCTGCTATAACCACCCTGAATGCCAGTGGACGCTTTGAACTGGTCATTGTTCCAGTGGGAGGTCCCTACCGTGCGGAAGAAAGCGTATGTCACAGACTCTGGGACAGCGAAGGGTCTCAATACGTCTCAATTGCACCGACATCTTCATCCTGATGTCATGGAAGTACAATATGATGAAAAATCCCACTTGAACTTCAAGTCATCTTAATTGAAATTATTTGATCTTTTATAAGTCGTCCCTCTCAGTGAGACCCGTAAGTTTATTATTAGGGTCCCATCAACTTTGAAATCATGTTTTTTATTTTGTTTATTAAGGTTTTTGTTTTATCAGGGGAAAGCTTGGAAATCCATTTTTTGGCAATATGTTAAAAGGATTTAAAGAAGGGATGGAATTGATTTTGAAATCGAAATGCTTAATTTTGTTCATTAAGGTTTTTGTTATTATTAGGGGCACCCTAATACTAAATACCCCCAATAATGAAAATAAATCACCGTGTTTAGCATGTGGGGGTGGTGTTTGAGTATTAGGAAGCAGAGATTATGACAAATAATTTGAATAATTATCGAACTTTAAGTGATCTTTTATAAGCAGCTCTCAGTGCCCTCCAAGGAAACAGCCAAGGTGCCATCCAGCACATTGTCCGGGGCTCCCTGGCAGAATGAGACGTAGCCCGCAGCGCCACTCACCAAGTAGTCCTGCAACAAACTTCCATTCCTCCTCTTAGATGGGGCCCCAAAAATCAATCATGTATATATATATATGTATATACATAGCATATATATATATAACATGTATATATATAAATATGAGCTCCCGTCAAATTCCTTTGAGTAGTTGCTATTGTTATGGTTATCGCTTTCGGGGGGGCCCTATCGCTTTCCAGGGTTTTGTGGAAATCAGAATATTCGAGATCCTTTCATGCATGCATCCTCCTTTCATTGTGCATTCACTTCCTTTCATTTTCCTGTCATGTTCCTTTTATTGGTATGCATTTCCATTCATTTTCCTTTCCTATTCCTTTCATGTTCATTCCAATGTGCATTCATGTCCTCTCATCTTCCTTTCATTTGTACACATTTTCCTTTCATTTTGCATTCATGTCCTTTCATGTCCTTTCTAAAGTTATGGTAATGGCTCTATGGCTGGGCCAGGGGACCGAGTGCAACAAATGGTTATCGCTACGCTAAGGTTATCGCTAAATAGCCCCTCCAGCATATGACATTGTTCGAAGGAAACTTGCCACAAAACGACAAAGAGAGAGAGAGAGAGAGAGCGAACGAGTTGGATGCCAAATGCTATGGTAACTGCAGGAAACAGGGCACCACAGATTGAATTTCCTTCATCATCCTTCATCGGTTTTGCCCGTTCTGTGAATGTGCACAACAGTATTTGCTTCGTTTACGCCAAGTTTAATGGACTGTAGTCTATGGTCCCAGGTTATCGCTTTTGGGGGGGCCTATCACTTTACAGTGTTTCGTGCACATCTCTGACAAAAAAACTCCCGCAATACTAAAGTAGTCTTCAACCAATTTTGACCGTGGTTCACATATGAACAATAATAAACATACGTATTTATATAGGTTTTTTTCTATTGTGGGAATTTCATACATCTAAAAAAATCAAATATGAACAAATCCATGATTATCCGTGCCATTCCAACTCAATTCAAATGGCATTTGCGCTGTGACTTCAGGGCTCTTTCGGCCTGGGACGCCAGGATCTAGTCAAGAAATCCAAAGGTCACTGGCCAGGGCAAAACTGGTTGAAACATCTCAAAACTGGAAATGCTTCCAAATTTAGATGGATTTAAGCTGCCATTTAGCCGTTTTCGCAACCAGTCCAGCAGTGCAAAGCCCTGCGCTAACCAAATGAGCGCCAAAACTGAACTGCGCGGAGGATCTTTCCTCGTTTCACTCATGTGTGCGGCATCGTCGAAGTACACGGATGATCCCCCCAAGTCACTTAACGATTGGTATAAAACGTTTTGTGACCGCCAAATCGGCACGAAATGCTTGGTGCATCACAACCGGTTGAACACCACAACCAATTGGAATGTGTGAACACAAATATACCGATGCTATTGAAGTTTCCTGAACAATATTGAGTTTTATCGTGTTTGTAGCTAGAAACTGCCTACCTTGATCTCCTACTTCTCAAACTGAGATATGTCATTCTCAAATCCACTACAAAGTATAGCACAGAGGCACACTATAGTAACTCCCAAACAGATAGAAAAGTGAAATCTGACATCAAGTAGTGATGATTTACGTTTCCATTGTTTTGGGTGATTTCTATATATAGATATATAGATATGTCATGATATGTCCAAGAATTGGTCACCCTCCCCATCGATTTCCCACCAGCAGCGCGGCCATGTGGCAAAGGGCCCATCTCAGAGCGAATGGACACGAAGGCAGTGGCTGCATTCATACAGAAGGAGAACCTGGGCCCAAAAGCCGGTAGTGCAGGTAGGTTGGGGGCCAAAAATCCCAAGGAATCTGATTTATTTCGTTTAACAACCCAACGCCATAAAATATAAACAACTTTTTTAGCAACTACCATTTGGGGATGGTTGACATCCCACAAAAGTAACGATTTTGGGAATGGTTGATGGCATTGGGTTTACCGCATTATAGGTGAAGAGCCAGCATTCGTAATGCTAGTCCGTTCATTGTTTGGATGCGCATCATTCTACTGGAGGGTACTGCAATCGCCAATTCTTGTGAATGCACTGCGCGTCCAGTTGCTTGTTACATTGGTCACAATATGGTGAATATGGGCGAACCACCACTTTTTAGTTTAGCAAATCCACGTGTTTCTTGTTGGGCTGAAACATCAACATGTTCTTGGTTCAGCAGCATCAACATTCTCTTGAATTTGCTTCAGAGCCACCAAACATGAAGAATAATCCTAATCCAAATGGATTTCCCAAATGGTGGGGAATATAACAAAAGTCGCCTTCAACAAATCTCAGATTCTTGGTGTTCCAATCACCATGTGGGTGTTTCCCAAAATGGGGATCCCCATGTCACCATGGGTTGCAATATTAAAATCATCTACTTTGGATGTTTTTTGGGCACAGTGAAACCAGTGTTCAAGAACCTACTGCAGTAAGAACATCAGGGCCTGGATTGCTGGATTCAACCCTTTCTGTCAGCTACTTGAAATAAGAACCCTAGGGTACCCTGGAATTGTAGCAACTGGTTCTTATCTCCCTTCAACGGGTATCAAGATACCAAACCTTATTAAATATTGATTATGTTTTCCAACCTGGTTGGGCGGATGCCTTTCTTCTTCCCCTTAACATGAGCGGGAACATCCAACTCGTGTACTGCAGATGAAGATAAACTCAAGGCAAGCTAAAGCTGAAAGCATGTATGTTCCACATAGTGCAAGAGGCCCTCTCGGAATCGCACTCCCAACCTCCCGCTTGCTAGGCTGATGCTCTACCAACTGAGCTATTGGCTCTGTGGCCTTGGTGTCTGCCATTCCCCTTAAGGCTGCGCAGCAACAAATCCCTTTCTGCATGTGTTGGCGCGTGTGCTTTTCAGCCCGCGCTGCCTCACTAGAATACTCCCCACACAATACCACGCTAAAATGAACTTTCAATCCCTGGCATGGTGGAAATTGTGGCCTTTAGCTCTGTTTGGAATGCCTGCACCTGAAAAACTTTTTGAAGCCTAAACATTTTTTTTTCCAACCAACTCTGTTCTGAACTTAATACCATGTCAAAACAAACTTTCAAGCCCTGGCATGGTGGAGTATCTGGCCCTCAGCTCTGTTTTGGATGGCTGCTCATAATTCTAAATTGGGAAATGACTAAGAATTTGCAAGACCCTCACCATATGAACCCCTTAAGAACTAAGCCGTTAAGAACTTGAGGGTACCCTCGTTCATAATTCCCATATTTTCCACCTATAGCACTTAAGAACCCCAGGGTAGCTGGACAATTCTTAATCGGTTCTTATCTAACGGTTCCGCTGTACCCCCATGTTAGGAAATCACCGTATAAAACCACCATGCCTAGGAGACCATCCAGGAGATTGCCAGGCAACATGGGTACCGCCGCCAACAGGGCAACTGGCGATGACCGCCAGGTGACCAGCGATAGGCCTGAAGGAATGGCAGCACAGATGTTCAGCCAATGGGGTTGCAAACAAACATGTGGATTTTTGAAACATTTGACAGGCGACCATAAAACATATGGATTTAAACGATCTTGGGGGTGAAGCAACCAGAGTTGCCCTTTGACAAGCAACAAATAGTGATCCGAGACTGTTCGGGTTGGGAGATTTGGGGCGTAGAGAACCAGTGAAGTTGTGGTCTTGCGGTTAGGTTTTTTTTAAGATTTACAGCGATCAGGTGGGTCAATTCAACATTGATGTCTGCATTCCCAGCGATGGCATATCCACTCCTTGACCTTCTGGTAATCAAACATGGCTTTCAGGAAAATCCACAAAGCATCCAAAATCCATCAAAATCGATGTGTTTCCCAGTGAAATTGGGATGTTTCCAATCATCCTCAAATTCTCCCCCTCTCGTTCGATGTGTTTCCCATTTTTCAAAGCCCATTGACTTCGGGGTGTTCCCAGCGTTGCTGCCTGAAGTCTGGGCCGTCTGAGCCGCATCAGCACAGGCATCCACGAAGGGAGGTGATGATGCCCAGGGGACCATACAAACCACAATGACCTGCACTGAGTTGCTGATGACCTTCACTGCCCTGTGATAAAATCGAGCTCCAATGGCAAACACAGCGAAGTTCTGCAAGTTGCACTTAGAAACAACCATTTGTTTCATCACCAATCATCAACAGAAGATTGGAATGACATTGGGATTTGAGCAAACTAACTATATAAAAAGATCGAAGAATCAGCGGGAAACCCGGTGACATTTAACAGGCAACCCTCCAAACATGGGGTTCTGAAAAAAATGATTACACAGATGATTACAGGTGCTTTAAATATCAGCGCTTTCAGGTTTTAGCCTCGAATTTGCTTTGGTAGCAGAAGGATTTCGGAGAAAACTCACGATTCATGACCAGTAATGATGAAAAAAATACAACAAAAGAACAGACTCAGAACTACAAAACACACACAACAGAGTTGCAAGCAGTCAAGGGGATGGAACGCAAATTCCGACGGTTGTCCCATTGAAACCACCAAGGTGCTGTGGTGAGGATCATACACACTGTGCCCACGGCACCCGACATCCGCAGCCAGGCGTCCTGCAGCCCCAGTTCTTTCGGGTTTTGTCTGAAAGATTACCAGCAGATTTCATGGTTTATCATGGTTTATCATGGTTTATCATGGTTTATCATGGTTTATCATGGTTTATCATGGTTTATCATGGTTTATCATGGTTTATCATGGTTTATCATGGTTTATCATGGTTTATCATCATTATTTTGGGGCTATATAATGTGGTGAGTACCAGTATATCACGCTATACACACCACATTTTCAGAGCGATATCTGGAAGATCAAACAATCCCATACCTTGGCGTTACAGTGTCATGGTCAGTGGAGAGAATTGGGATTTGCTTAACCAAAGTGGTGACTTAACGAACAGTGCAAGGCGAAGATCATGGGATATACTGGGGTATATTTATTGGTGGTTTATGGTTATTCATCCCATGCAATGGGAATCCTATGAGAATATACAACCCCGTTAATGTAGCATCCTGATTAGTATGGTGAGTTGATTTTGCGACAAGTTTTCCCAAAATAATTCTGAACCTGTGGAATTGCTGGGGTGGGTCGGTTTTGTGCCAAGTCTTTTTCTGATGCTATGTTGTCAGCATGTTTTCTTTAGTTTTTCATATTTGAAAGTTTGAACATTTTGTTCTAATAATTAACTACTTATATATTGCAACATGTTTTTGAAAAAATATATTTAAAAATAACATTAAAACCCCATCAAAAAAAACAGAACCCAACCATTTTTTCACGGGGGTAGCCCATGAGCAACATTGATACTCAATAATATGTCTGTTTGTTGTGGTCCTCTATTGTGTCCAGCTCCTTCTTCTTGTGGTGAACATTTTCAAACATCCCTTTACCCTTTCCTTTGCTATAGCTTTTCTCTTTTATTTTCTTACTTCCATTCTTTGGGAATTCTCAAAATGTCTAATTTCCCCAAAATATAGGATGATCCCTAATTAAAGCCCAATTAACAAACAGTACCCAAACAATTTTTCAAGGGGGTAGCCCATGAGCAACATTGATCTTCAACATACTTGTTGTGGTGGTCCTCTGTTGTGTCCAGCTTTTTTCTGAGGTGATTTTTTCCAAATTCCCTTTATCATTCTCCTTTACTATAGATAGTGTTTCTTATTTATTTCAATTCTTCTGGCATCATCTCCTTGAATTCTATGGTGTTTCTATGATATGTCTATCAGATTTCAACGGGATGTCTATGGGATTTCGGTGGGATTCCTATGGGATTTCGTTGTGGTTTCTATGCTATTTCCATGCTATTTCTATGATCTTTCTATGGGATTCTTATGGGATTTCCATGATATTTCTATGATCGTTCTATGATATTTCTATGGGAGTACGATGATATTGCAATGGTATTTCTATGATCTTTCTATGAGTTTCTATGGGATTCCTATGTGATTTCAATGACATTTCTATTGAAAGTAAATTGAAATCGATTGAACATCAAATTTGAAGTAAATTAAAATCAACTGAAAGCAAATTGAAATCAATTGAACACCAATTATAAGTAAATTGGAATCCGATTTAAATAAATTTAAAGTAAATTGAAAATAAACTGAAAGTACATTGAAATCAATTGAACATCAATTGAAAGTAAATTCAAACCAATTGAACATCAATTGGAAACAAATTAAAATCAATTGAAAGTGAATTGAAATCAATTAAAAGTAAATTGAAATCAATTGAACGTAACTTGAAATCAGTTGAACGTAAATTGACATCAATTAAAGTAAATTGAAATCAATTGAAAATCAATTGACATTAATTGAAATCAATTGAAAGAAAATTGAAATTAATTGAAATCCTTACCTAAGATCATGATCCAAAATCATTCAGACCCCGACACCTTCAAGAGTACCTAGCCTAAAGAGAGTCCAAAAATTGTTTGGGGGGCCCTGACACTAATCACGATCCAACAATGAGAACGTAAACCCCTATTATATAAATTTAAATAATGAATATTAATGGATTGATGACCACCAGTAGCAAGTCATCCCAGTTTTGCCCCTGGCACATATGACATCTCCCCCGGTCACCGGAAAAGTTTCACCCAGATCGACCCGCTCCGGCAGCAGCGACAGGGGAAGCACCACCAGCACAGCCACCATGGTGATGAGGTCACCCTTGCAGCGAACACCAAGTTCTGGGAGACTTCCCACTGAGTTTTGAAGATTTTTTGGTGGTTTTCTGGTGATCGATGTACGATGTCTGGGTGATTTTGGATGTGTTTGTTTCGAAGGTTGCGAACTGAACCAACTGGAGCAGGTTTGGGGATTTTGATGGACCTAACATTGGAGCCTATCCTCCTAAGTTGAGTTGCAACTCCAAGCCCTCTCACAACCGTGGAACTTGACCTCTCATAACCATGATCAACATTGATCATCAATACCCCTTGTTACTTTTGTTACAGGGTATTCTTCAGATCCAGGAAGCAAAAATCCACCTGCACATGGCCGAAAGGGCCCCCCATAAAAACATGTGGCGGGCTGACGGCTGACAGCCAAATATGCGTTGATTGATCATAATATGTTCTAATTTCTTTCAGGGTTTACAGTAATTCATGTTCTTTCTATGTTTTTCTCACTAGATTCACTGAATCCAATATGTGTTGAACAAGTTCAATAGACTCATTGTTTTGCTCACTAAATCACAGGTTTTCCCGTGCCGCCTGAGAGAAGCTCGCTGCTTCCGGGCTTCCTGTGAGCCGCGCCAGCACCGCCACTTCCGTTCCAATGACACCCATGTAGGACACAGAGAGTCCAAAGGAATAGAGCAACATGAAACCTTCCAAGGAATACCTGAGATCCGTTGAAGGAGACCGGCCTTAGGTGGTTTATTGATGTGAATTCTAGTTAAACATCTGAGAATGTCTCAACATAACATATTTAAACCGTCAATACCCATGAAGAGCGGGGGGTTTAACCACTATCAACAATAATATGAATATCGAATATTATTGTGTGCTGGACATTGACACCTTAAATCCTTCGAACTAACTGGCTCCATTAAATCACTCCTCTGGTAATCAAACATATGGCAATGGGAAGATCCCCATTGCAAATGGAGACAGAAAAAAGATGTTGGGAAAATGAATGAACATGAACTATACATGGTGGATGTTTCAAGATTTTTCCATTGCCATGGCCATGATTCCTGCGGCGAGCTCATTCGGGACCCAAGTCACGCACCCGCTTTGCCCAGCACAGCTGAGACAACGGCCGCATAGGACCTGACCCAATCGAGGGGAAAGGGATGGTGTCATATTGTAGCCAGGCTTTCATCTCTTCAACCGGTACACCTATGGCGAAGGTCATGGCATTGGTTTTCATACTGACCAGAAAGGTGTAGTGTTGCTCAAATCATGTACTGGTAAATTTAACATATGGAAAATCCCCATAGAACCATAGGTAAATCCTCTATTTCTTTGGGCCATTTTCCATAGCAAACTGCTAGTTTACTGGAGGGTATATTGGAGAGTCCCCCAAACCGGCTGATCATGCAAATGTTGGAAAGGTGTTGACCCAGAAAATGGGGCGATTATAATCCGTTCCCACTAATCATCACCCCCTGTAAAATATCGACCCAGAAGTACCTACGTGTACAACCCATTCATTAGGATTCTGACCCAGTCTCTCAACCAGAAATATTGGCAGTCAACATCAATTAAGCCATTACATTAGTTTTTGCCAGTTATTGCTGTTATAAACCGTACCGAATATTCACTACAGTCAACTGTTGGAGGGAAAAAAACAACTGCGGTCACTCCCCTGATGCTTTCCTTTCCGCGGCACTTCGCAGCAGTGCATTTGGGAGATCGACACACAAAATCCTGGCGACGGAGAAGGCAGGAGAGTTCAGCAACAAAACAATGGAGACTTCCACACTGGGGAAATCTGGGGAATATGAATGTTCAAGGCATGCATGTCGACTTGAGGATAGCTTCGTGGATGCTTTTCGGATCTTTGAAGGTTGAGGGAGTTTGAGCCACCCATCTGTTCCTGGTGTGGTTTCAATCACAGGCCTCCCAAGACGCCCAGGGTTCCTTCACTATGTAACCCTGACCCTCCAACGCCTGCGTCAGACACAGTCGATCATGTTACGACACCCTCGTCGGTATTACGGCACCCTCGACGTAGATACGGCATGCCCACTTTATCATTGAAAAATGGTCGGCCTGTTCATTGATTTATAAATTTATAAATCAAAGGGACGGGAGTTGTGGGGTCCGCATTCCTGCTATGTAATCCCTTCTCCCTAAAATCGGATACTGTCCAGCCATCCCGTGGAATGTACTGTCCGTATTCATGATTCCGGGACGGGATTATCACATGATTTGATAATTAGTCCCTCACAACATGTATTTCGGCAGGTGACAATACACTCAACACTGGTACAGTCCAGCAAGTACAAGTTGTAGACACTCACCAAGAAGAAGCTGAACAGCAAAAGAAGGGACCTGAAGTTGGAGAAACCCATAGATTTCAGGCAGGAACCAGAAACCAACAATCTTTTGGACGCAAAACACAGCTGCATTTTCCGGTTCGATTATTTGTCCCTACAACATTCTGGGAACATATCATCAATGGAAGGTAAAAATACCATATTATCATTCTGGGAATATATCATATATTATTTGTCCCATAGAATGGATGGTAAAGACGAATACCAGCAATGTCTCATGACCAAACTCATCCTCCACCACAGAGCCACAAACCTCACAGAGAAGCCCAGTGAAAAAAAATTGGCCTGTTCAGATCTTGTAGGTATTAGGAAATCCATGGGTTTATTGCAAGTTTATTGATGTCACCATCCATTTTTTCTTGGGGTACTACCGGGCACACCTGGCCTTGAACTGTCAAACTGTTCTCTGCAACTTGATCTAACCAGGTTCCATACACACATCGAACTGGGATGCGCACAAGACAACCGGGATCGTCCTGGGTAGCATACATATCCATGCAACGATCATCAACGTAAACTATCTCTATGAATTAATTATAGTGACATTATAATTACCAAAACAATGTACATTGAATATGTATAATTATATGTATATATATATATACACAAATATATGTATAGATACTCAAATATAGTTATTATCTAATCATATCCAATCTATATACACATATAGATCTAGGTTCAATCCCCATGTTTTCAGCTGTTGCCGCGGGGCTGAAGCCAACCCACCGTGGCGGTGGTGTAGGGCAGTGTCAGCGCACCTACGCCGATGGTGGAGAGCACCTGGAGCCGAGGCTGATAGGTGAATCATTGGTAAATCCCAAGTCGATTTTTTTTGTTGTAAATCACTGTTCTGGGAATTACCAAATGTTTTGCATCTTTCTGGGAATTGATATATTGATAAATTCCCAGATAGGTGAATCATTGGTAAATCACTGTTCTGCATCTTTCTGGGAAATGATATATGATTATCTAATGTGTGATAAGTTATAACTTATAACTGTGGTACTTGACGACTTAAGCAGGCGACTGGACTTCGTATACGAATCATGGAGGATACTCATTTTTTGAGCCATGAGCCATCTCCATTTCGGATGGGCTGAAACAAGCCAGCTCCGCTCCGCAACTCAGAAAACGGCACGTCCATCCGCGAGAAAAGGGTGCGCTCCATGGATTTTTGATGAGAGGATTTGACCACCAGAAAGCTGTTGGCCAAGCACCAGGGTCGACTTCTATCTAAGCATCACTGACCAACGCTGCGACAGGTGGGTCACAGTGGGCCACATTTTGCTGTCAGTTTTCTTTCGGCAGCGAAGTTTCGCTGTGATGCTATTCCCAGCTATGAAGGCTGCCAGTGACCCTGCTACAAGTGGTGACCTTGGCTGTCATAAATTCAATGCAATGGGGCCAAGACGCCCCCAAAAACAGGTAAAACAAATCCACACTTCAGGTGAAATTGCAACTGAAAAATGGGCACCTAAAAGTGGGGTTTCTATTCCTATTGCAAAAAAAGATGCGATACCGACATGGGAGGATTCAATGGCTGGGCGCCAGTTGGATCAACTCCCAACCAGCATCGTTGGGGGTTGATTCGCTTCCGCATTCCACCCCCAACAAATACACATAGTTCCCACTATCGTATGTATATATATATATATGTACATATACATTGCATACACTAATATACTCATATACTTGAATATGCAATTGTTTGTGTACTATACATATGTATACATATATATATATATATATCCTTTGTTCTCCTAATGATTTAAAGTCAATTTCCCTAATCATATCAGCAGAGGACGTCCGTTCCGCGCTAGTTGCGCAAGTCGTCTTCCAAGGCGCCAAGTTCAAGGTGCTGGTTCCCACAGAGGCGCCACCTGTGTCAACAGGCTGGAGAATTTCCCATGTTTTGCTCCATGAATGCACAAAAACCAGGCCGCCATTCTATAGATACCATTGTTTGAGGTAAGGTTGCTGGATGCTTTTCATTGGTTTTTCATAGCTATGACTGGACATCTATCATCTACTAAACCTCCATGGCTAGGCCACCGAGATATTTACAGCCACCTTTGATGACACCGGAGGGAATGAAAACCGCTTGGTCCATAGGGGTTTCATCAACACCAATTTGAGGAATAGGAATCCAGATATTCCAGGACATGATGGCATAGTATGGCATAAATGATGTTTGATGGAATCAACAAGATGATGATTGATGTTAGGCTTTCTCCAGACTCCAGACTCCACCTGAAACAAAGTCCTGAAATCCAGTGGCCAAAAAAATCAAGATGGTCCATAAGAGAACAGCAATTCAGGAGGTAGGTATCCACCATTTTCAGACACAGTAATTAAATCTAATTACAATCATCAGCTCTTTTCAGTTGCGAACACGGTCACCAGCTAATATAGCCAAACATATACAAGAGAAAAGGTCTCTACGGGTTCTTATGACTTCTTCTTGTTCTGGTCACACTTGGGTAATGCGTATCAAAATGAGCTGGTTTGCTCAAAAACTGAGCCGTCAATGTATCAGCATCTGTGGAAATCATGGAAAAGCCATCCAGCTTCGATGATATCACAGTTCTTGGTGAAAAGTCCATTGTTCTGTTGGAAAAGACCAATTTTTCTGTGGAAATCCATGAGAATACTGAGTTTCACTGATGGATTTCCCAGTTTTTGGTACACATCCATGTGTCAGTCCCCAGTTTCCCCATTTTCTTTGCCAGCATCACCCCAAAACACAGCCTGCAGGCTCATCAGGATATTCTCAATTAAAGTTGCAATTATATAATTGGTGTATCCACTTTGGAAAGATTGTATACTGCAATGAAATAAAACACTCCAATTGGGTTTGCCTGAAAACAGGCTACCCTTCAACCCACTGCTTTATCATCATTTTTCCTGTCATTCACGGCTATTTCGGGGGGTATACCGCGTTTTCACACACACTCACAACTGCATTATTCATGAGTTGGATCTCAATTGTTGAGTTAAATAATCCAAAAATCCACATTCAAAATCCCATGAAGTCCCATAAAAAAAAAAAAAACATAAAATCCCATTCAATCCCTATTTCTTCATGGTGAAATCCCTATTTTTGATGGTGAAACCCATCCATATTTTGGCCCATTCCCATCCTTCATCAGTGAAGACCACGGAGTTCTGGTGTAGCAGCTCGCCACAGTAGGAACCGTGCTGGCCACCCTGTGCGCCGCCGGCTTATTCCTATGGATGTCATGAAGATTTCGTTGGTTTAGACATGTTCCGGGACATGTTCAAACCATTTTTAAACCGTTTGAACACTATGCATCTTAATTGCAGCTTTTGATATCTTTTCATGAAGGGTTTATCTCATTAACTGGTTGAGTACTTGCAGAACTGCCTCTTGATACTGTTGAAGCAATATTTTGACCAATATTATATATATACAGTATATACATATGTATATATATATATATATACAGGTATTGATAAGTAGTCAGCCACAGGCTTTTCCACGCCAAGTCATCCTGCCGTTTGATCGACAACTGCTTCGCAGCTCGTGTGGAGGTCGCAACCGCCGCTGGTACACATTATCTAGATCCAAGAGTGGGCGCGGACACCTTTCTCACGTAAGGCAGTGAAGAGGTCGTAACCTCAGCGTGATGGACCTACCATAAGCCATGCCATTGGGACCTGGATAACCATGAGTCTACTAGTCAACACCAGTTGTTACTGGGGATACATCAACTATGTAGCAAGCCAACCTAACAACTTCCAGTAACTTCCAGCCTTGGTTGCCACCAAGGAGCTGTCTTGGAACGATCCATTCACATCATGCTTCCAAAAGCGATGCATTAGCTTATTCTCAACATGATGCTCAAAGAAGAACTCCTGCAAGTGGCCAAAGCTGGTCAGAAAAAGTCCCCAAAACATCACGGAAGGCTTCATAATCTTGTAAAATCATGAAAAAAACATATCAACAGTAAATTCAGTACTTTACCTTTGATATCCAAGGACATCCAAGGTGTGATTAAGATCTGTGTGCGAACCCTTTTTTTTCTGCGTCCTTCAAGTGACCGGGGTCGTCAATCAACTGAAGAACCAAAGGATATTCTACCTGGATGTTTGGGCCGTTGAGTAGATAAAATGCAACTTTTGATATTGTGATGTTTGGCCAATATGAAATGCGGCAAACGAAGGGACACCTTTGGACAAGTGAATTATGTTATGACGTGTTGATTACCCTCGTCTGTTGCCGGGGGGGGGGGTGAGGCACCTAAAAAAATAAAATAAAATGCAGGGGCCTAAGGAGAAAATGCCAATAAAATGAGAGGGCATAAGTTAAGATAGGAAAACCCAAGCAAAATACAATGGACAGGTACAAAAAGAAAATGACGTCGGCACCCTCCACCTGGCCACTGGTGGACCTACGTTATGCAACTGTTGGACCTCGGGCTCAGGCATTTTCTTTTGGGTTGATCTTGTTTTGTCTTGGTTCCTTCTTTGATTGGTTTTAACCATGTTTAGTCTTGTTTAGTCTTGTTTAGTCCTTTACATTGTTTCCTTATTTGATTGGTTTTAACCATGTTTAGTCTTGTTTAGTCTTGTTTAGTCCTTTACATTGTTTCCTTATTTGATTGGTTTTAACCATGTTTAGTCTTGTTTAGTCCTTTACATCGTTTCCTTATTTGATTGGTTTTAACCATGTTTAGTCTTGTTTAGTCTTGTTTAGTCCTTTACATTGTTTCCTTATTTGATTGGTTGATCTTTTTTAGTTTTGTTTATATATAATTGGTTCCACTTCTGACATCTGGACGGTTTCTAGAAAAGATACAAATAACTATAAATAAACTTAAGAAATCTCATTGGCTGCTGTAAGCTGCCCGTGTGTCTTTTGTTGACCAAGGAAGGCAATAGAAAATGAGGGGGGCCAACCCATTTTCGAAGTTAATGTCCAAATAATGGAAAAGGAAACGAAAAAGGAAAGGAAAAAGGAAAGGAAAAAGGAGAGGAAAAAGGAAAGGAGAAGGAAAAGGAAGAGACAGGAAAAAGGAAAGGGAAGGGAGAGGAAAGGGGAAAAAAAAAACAGTGTCTCACACGAACCATTTTTGATGCCAAAAGTTATCGTTTTCGTTATCATTTTATTAGCGTTCGTGAATCCGCTGGAACGTTTCACAAAATGATCAGGCCGTTCACAGTTGTGCATCTTTGCTATGATGCTATCTCTGTCGGTTAACTTGATGGGTTAGGCACCTCAAAAAATAAAATGCACCCACAAAATAAAATGCAGGGGTCTGACCCATTTTATTTTCATTTTATTTTTATTTTTTTTATTTTAAAAGGGGCTTCAGCCCCCCCATTCTATTTAGGTACCCCGGACGGGGGTGTTGATTGTTTGGGAAGTGGCCAGTTTACCTGCGGCTATCGCATGCTTCTACAATAGTTTTCGCATGGTTTCACCACATCAATGAAATATCATGAGTCATGAACTATCAATATCTATTTGCAACTCTTGCCATGGTAGCAGTGGTAGTGAATCCGAGCTACGCTCATACATATGAAACAAGAAAATATATCAGTAGTCTGTGAAATCACCTGTCTTCCCAAGCTTATTTGTGATACCTCCCACTTGGGTCTATTTGCACTGACCATTTCGTTTTGACATCTTTGAAACCACCACCTCAAGTATTCATGTTAGGTCCATCAAATTCATCAAACCATTGTTTTCTTTACCTTTCTTTTGGCGATAGAGATCTTTCACGGTCAATGCAACATGGAACATCATCTTCCGGAGAGGATATCTTTGGGTGAAAACCATGTTCAAATTCACCAGGGTCGCACCCCGAAAAAAAACTATTATGGAACCCGACAATTGCCATTTCGAATCAAGAAAAACATATAGTATATCATATCGTATCCCAATTGTTTACCAAACAATCAACTTGTATCCCCATAGAATGGTTCTCTTCCATGAGGGGTGGACTGCCAGGCTTTAAAGGACCCAAGGTGCTGATGGAGTATCGACATCCAGTTTGAACCTTCCGAAGAGCTTTGCGGTAGCAAATCATGTGATATGACATGAAACGATGCGATGTCATGTTGACTGTCGACAGTTTATAGGCATTTTATATTGTCTAAAAATACAAAAAACACACATCCTCTTTGACAGGTTTCACATCCAGTTTGGTTGGCGGGGTTGGGTTTCACGAACCAAATTCTACTCCGGTGGTTCTGTGCTAAATAATACGGACTGGCATGATCTTGGGTCATATGGGAGGTTCAGGGGGTTTTCACAACAAATTTATATATATATATGTGGGATAGGGGGATTAATGGTTATAGGTTATAGTATGGTTATAGAACACCCATATAATCTCATATAATTCATACAACCATCTTTTGGTCCTTGTAAAAGATGGTAAAAGGACGTTCATCTGCAAAAAAGGACCAATCTGCATACGATTGTGGTCACAGTTGGAACCGCCTAAGGGAACCGAAACGTTTCAGGGAGGTTGGCATGTGGTTTTGTCCAGAATTAAAGCGTTATCATGGGTTATCCATAGACTATGGCCATGTCAACAGGGCGAATGAAGCTTTAAACTTTCAGCCCTTGGATTCAGGGCTACTCTGTTCTCGGAAACCGAATTTATATAATCGTTAGTTTTAGGGTTGACTCTCTTTTTCCCACATTCCCCACATTGACGTGTGGGGTTTTTGTTTTTAGTGCTGTATCCGCTCCTTCCTCCTTCCTTCCTCCCGCCTGTCCTCCCATCCTCACACACACAATATCATCAAGTATCACATCCAATGCATCACTCACACATACACTTCACTCACACTAGACAAGAATGGATCATTATATGATCCGGCAGGAACTGAATCCTGAAACATGCAGATTAGATACGAAACAATGCAGGTACGTTTACACGGGTCCCGGGGGGGTGTCTTCGGTGGCCACCGACCCCCCCGGGACCCCGGTGGCCCCCTGCATTGAATTTAGAATTAGAAAGGGAGAGGACAAAGGAAGAAAAAGAGAGAGAAGTTTTACATCTATTTAGATGTTACACACACACACCCGGCCGGAGCCGGGTCAACCCTGAAAGGCAAGAGGAAGAAAAAAGCGGACACACGACGGGCAGACGGCCAAAAACAGCGCGGGGGGGGGAGGGGAACAGACGGACATCCGGAACCAACCTACACGGTGAAACGGACCTGACCAAAAACAGCGCACACACCTAAACCCCACGACACATTACGGAGAGGCACGCGGGGAAAATTAGGGACCAAATGGGGGACTAGTTAATGACAGGCAAGAAAACCAAAACAATTAATTAAAGACAGGATTCAGCTCCTAAACCTAAAGGTCGTGCGTTGTGCCAATCCAGGCCCGTGTTCCAGTCAGCCACAAGGGCATAAAACGGCTTTCAAGTTCCAACGAATTAGATGCACAAAATGTTAAACCTCACCAGACAACCATCAAAAGGCAAAAGACCACACCTGAAAGTCATGAGCCTGCCTGGTGCATGTATCATGACATGTTGCACTGTAGCTGCAAAGGTTGCTGCAAAAACGGAGGTTTGTGGTTGTTCAGTACGGCATCCCGAGGAAGAATGCATCTCTCAAGGTTCTCATGGGACCGCAGGAGCAGCGGGACACTCGAAAAGGCTGAAAAACCGCATGGCTGATTGTTGCCCTTTACTTAAACGAATTACTAAGTTAAAATGTGTGAATTCAGAATTCAAGACTGTCAACACTCACCCTGAAGAGGGTTGCCTCAAATGGCTCCATGGCACCATGTCGGAGCCACCATGGAAATCACACTAGACAAGAATGGATCATTATATGATCCGGCAGGAACTGAATCCTGAAACATGCAGATTTAGATACGAAACAATGCAGGTACGTTTACACGGGTCCCGGGGGGGTGTCTTCGGTGGCCACCGACCCCCCCGGGACCCCGGTGGCCCCCTGCATTGAATTTAGAATTAGAAAGGGAGAGGACAAAGGAAGAAAAAGAGAGAGAAGTTTTACATCTATTTAGATGTTACACACACACACACCCGGCCGGAGCCGGGTCAACCCTGAAAGGCAAGAGGAAGAAAAAAGCGGACACACGACGGGCAGACGGCCAAAAACAGCGCAGGGGGGGGAGGGGAACAGACGGACCTCCGGAACCAACCTACACGGCGAAACGGACCTGACCAAAAACAGCGCACACACCTAAACCCCACGACACATTACGGAGAGGCACGCGGGGAAAATTAGGGACCAAATGGGGGACTAGTTAATGACAGGCAAGAAAACCAAAACAATTAATTAAAGACAGGATTCAGCTCCTAAACCTAAAGGTCGTGCGTTGTGCCAATCCAGGCCCGTGTTCCAGTCGTGCCACAAGGGCATAAAACGGCTTTCAAGTTCCATCGAATTAGATGCACAAAATGTTTAAACCTCACCAGACAACCATCAAAAGGAAAAGACCACACCTGAAAGTCGTGAGCCTGCCTGGTACTTGTATCATGACGTGTTGCAATGTAGCTGCAAAGTTGCTGCAAAAACGGAGGTTTGTGGTTGTTCAGCACGGCATCACGAGGAAGAATGCATCTCTCAAGGTTCACAGGGACCGCAGGAGCAGCGGGACACTCAAAAGGCTGAAAAACCGCATGGCTGATTGTTGCCCTTTACTTAAACGAATTACTAAGTTAAAATGTGTGAATTCAGAATTCAAGACTGTCAACACTCACCCTGAAGAGGGTTGCCTCAAATGGCTCCATGGCACCATGTCGGAGCCACCATGGAAATCACACTAGACAAGAATGGATCATTATATGATCCGGCAGGAACTGAATCCTGAAACATGCAGATTAGATACGAAACAATGCAGGTACGTTTACACGGGTCCCGGGGGAGTGTCTTCGGTGGCGTGTCTTCGGTGGCCACCGACCCCCCCGGGACCCCGGTGGCCCCCTGCATTGAATTTAGAATTAGAAAGGGAGAGGACAAAGGAAGAAAAAGAGAGAGAAGTTTTACATCTATTTAGATGTTACACACACACACACCACACACACACCACACACACACACCACACCCACACACACCCACACACACACCACACCCACACACACCCACACACACACACACCACACACCACACACCACACACCACACACCACACACCACACACCACACACCACACACCACACCCCACACCCCACACACCACACCCCACATCCCACATCCCACATCCCACATCCCACATCCCACATCCCACATCCCACATCCCACATCCCACATCCCACATCCCACATCCCACATCCCACATCCCACATTCCACATCCCACATTCCACATCCCACATCCCACATCCCACATCCCACATCCCACATCCCACACACTCACACTCACACACGCACACACGTCATCACTCACACACACACATCCCACACACAATATCATCAAGCATAACATCCAATACATCACTCACACACACACATCATTCTCTCACACACATCATTCGGGGTCGGATGTGCGCCCCGGTGTCCCTCTGGCGTTCTTTGGTCTCCACCGCTCTGCCAGTGGCTTTTGCGTGGCAGGCGCGGGACTTGGTGCACTGCCAAGGGGTCGGATGTACGCCCCGGTGTCCCTCTGGTGCCCCTCCGGTGTCCCTTGGTCTCCGCCGCTCTGCCGGTGGCTTTTGCGTGGCAGGCGTGAGACTTGGTGCGCTGCAAAGGGGTCGGATGTACGCCCCGGTGTGCCTCCGGTGTCCCTCCGGTGTCCCTCCGGTGCCCTCCGGTGTCCCTCCGGTGTCCCTTGGTCTCCGCCGCTCTGCCGGTGGCTTTTGCGTGGCAGGCGTGTCCCTCCGGTGTCCCTTGGTCTCCGCCCTCTGCCGGTGGCTTTTGCGTGGCAGGCGTGGGACTTGGTGCGCTGCAAAGTGGTCGGATGTACGCCCCAGTGTCCCTCCGGTGTCCCTTGGTCTCCGCCGCTCTGCCGGTGGCACTGCAAAGGGGTCGGATGTACGCCCCGGGGTCCCCCCGCGGTGTCCCTCCGGTGTCCCTCCGGTGTCCCTCCGGTGTCCCTCCGGTGTCCCTCCGGTGTCCCTTGGTCTCCGCCGCTCTGCAAAGGGGTCGGATGTACGCCCCGGTGTCCCTCTGGCGTTCCTTGGTCTCCGAAATGCGACGAAGAGATGTGATATGTGTGCTCCGCAGCAGTCAGTCGGAGACTGGTCTTGAAGCGTCTTGCTGATTTTCCTAGCTCCGCGTGCTTCGGGCAATGAGGCATAGAGATTTCTCGCGTTTGACTGCTGAATTTTCTTCAGCTTTGTGCAAATTTAACGCGACTTGTTGACTTCGCTGACCAGAAAAAATATATATGGCTGTTCAGAAGCAGGGCACGGCGATGTATCAACTCAGCTCATTCAGGTTGATTGCTTGTGAGCTTATCATGGCTTGTCTATTCATTGTGTCTGCTCAGGTCATGATGCTGGTCTATGGCACTTGGACAACCGATATGCCCAGAAGCAAAAAAAATCTGCAAAGCGACGGGAGGATTATATATACATATGAGCTGAAACATACATCATCGGATTCTTGTATATATGCCGCAAGCATATCACCATATCACCATACACACGCACAACCACGCACTCACGTACACACACACATATATATATATATATGCACACAGACGCGCGCAACATGAACACAACACATATACATCATCACAACATCACACACCAAAACATCACTTGACGCATCATAACTTCACGTCACATGCAACGAGATCAGTATATTTACGTTTGCATACATTTACGTTACTACCACCCAACCTCACATCACACGAAACTAATGTCACCTCACAAGCACATACACATACGTATTACATCCGCATGTACATCACATATATTACAAACTGCCTCTTACACCCGATACACATATCGTTAACACACTACCCAAGTGACACACCTGTACATGCACATACATACATACACACAAACTCACCCACCATCACCCCTCCATCACTCTCATACTTCCTCTTCCCTTGTTG